AATCCATGTCTCAAGGCTTAAAAATGATTATTTAACCTGTCTCCTCCCCTTCATCTACACTAATTGCAGTGGATTTATCAAGTGACATCAATAAGGGAACATAGCTTTCTCCTGGTCTGTCTATGTCATGGAAAGAGCAGCTATTCTTAATGTTTTGTATACTCAGTGTCAGTGGCGGCTGGTGGGAGGAGCTATAGGAGGACGGGCTCATTTGTTATGGCTGAAATGGAACGGAGTCAAACATGTAGTTTCTATATGCTTGATAATGTTCCATTTATACAGTTCCAGCCATTATAATGAGCCCATCCTCCTATAGCTCCTCCCACCAGCCTCCTCTGCTCAGTGTACATGCCTGCTGAGAGGTGAATAAAATGCTTGTCACTGTCTTTTTTCTCTATTTGACCACAAGAGGGACACCTATACTGTAGACAAACTACTGACAAAGTCACTGTTACTCACTGTTCAGAATACTCAACACCCACACATACTCTCAAAGAGACACTTGTGTTTTCACTCTTATGCTCTGATTATTTTCTGAGCCCCCCAGATGACCGTAATCAGTGAGCTCAAATCTCTTCACAAAGAACCCTATAGTCACAGGAAACAGCGCACAATAACTCTGCTGAGTTTGACTGATTCTTCCCAAACTTTCAACATCCTCATGTCACTGGAGGGCAATATGGGAGGAAGAACATCAGCATCCTCTGAGATGGGCCAGTCCTGGAGGAACACATTTACTAACATCAAAGGCTTACTCTGTGTGTGCATCAGGTCTGTGTGTGCACGTGCCTATGAGGGAGAAAGAGTGTGTTAAAAGAGATGTCAATTTGTATGAAATGTTTCCATGGACACTCAGTATATTCAGTTTATTAGGTACACCCATCTGGTACCGGGTTGGATCCCCCTTTGCCTCCAGAACAGTCTGAATTCTTTGATGTATGGAAACATTGCTTAATTGGTATCAAAGGACCTAACGTGTGCCAGGAAAACATTCCCCACACCATTACATCACCGCCACCAGCATGTACCATTGACACCAAGCAGGATGGGGCATTGGACTCATGCTTACGCCAAATCCTGACTCTGCGACCGGGATTCATCAGACCAGGCAATTTTTCCACTCTTCAATTGTCCAGTATTGATGATCGCCACAAGAGGATGCTGAGGGGAAGATGGCTCATGATAATGGTTGGAATGGAGTGAATGGAAACCATGTGTTTGATACCATTCCATGTATTCCGTTCCAGCCATGACTATGAGCCTGTCCTCCCCAATTAAGGTGCTTCTGGACGCCTCTGGTGATCGCCTGCCCACTGGAGCCGTTTCTTCTTGTTTTTAGTTGATAGGAGTGGAACCCGGTGTGGTTGTCTGCTGTAATAGCCCATCCGTGACAAGGACCGACACGTTGTGCGTTCTGCACACCACTGTTGAACTGCTCCGTTATATGCCTGTTTGTGGCCCGCCTGTTCGCTTGCACAATACTTGCCATTCTCCTTCGACCTCTCATCCACAAGCTGTTTTTGCCCACAGGACTGCCGCTGACTGGATGCTTTTTGTTTCTCGCACCATTCTCTGTAAACTCTAGACACAATCATGCGTGAAAAGCCCAGGAGGGTGGCCGTTTCTGAGATACTGGAACCGGCGCACCTGGCACTGACGATCATACCATGCTCAAAGTCGCTTAGGTCACTTGTTTTGCCCATTCTAATGTTCAATCGAACAGTAACTGAATGCCTCAATTCCTGCTTTATATAGCAAGCCACTGCCACGTGAATCACTGTCTGTAAGAGCAAACCATTTTTGAGAATGGGGTGGTGTACCTAACAAACTGGCCATTTGGTGTATGACCAATGTAACACAACACTCAAGTCCATGTGATTATATGCATGGTAATTAATGATTATATAACCCATTGGTGTGTGGGTGTGCATTTAAGAAGGCAAAAAGCAACACAGTCACACACGTTGATGATGAGTCAGTGCCCAGTGGCAGGGACATTGAGTTGGCAACGTACAGTGGGGTAAGAGCGGTCATCAGAGGGAGCATAGCGTCCAGTACGTAACAAGCAGCCTGGGACCAAGGACATTAGCATGTATACAGCTTTAACAGCCTTTCCAATTATATCATTTGTATGAGAACTATTTCACGTATATCTGACCCATATCACATAGCATCAAGTCAAATTGTATTTGTCACATGCTTAGTAAACAACAGGTGTAGACTTACAGTGAAATGCATACTTACGGGACCTTCCCAACAATGCAGAGATACAAATAAAAAAATTCTAACAAGTTATAAATACACAATGAGTAACGATAACTTGGCTATATACTGTACATGGGGTACCAGTATCAAGTCGATGTGCAGGGGTACGAGTTAATTGAAATCGATATCTACATTTAGGTAGGGGTAAAGTGACTAGGCAACAGGATAGATATTGCATATGGCAACATGATATGACAGAGCTTAAAACATTTGATGAGTAACTAGCTTAATCGGCTGTCTGCTTTTCAGGACTGTTTCTTGAATATTTACAATGAATTAATCTCAATGAGTTTCTATAATCAGGGAAAACACACCTACACACACAACTTTACAAAGTGATTGTCCAACAGTTCATTGCTGAATGACAGAACAATCTAAAGTAGGGTTTCCCAAACTCGGTCCTGGGGCCCCCCTGGGTGCGTGTTTTGGTTTTTGCCCCTAGCACTACACAGCTGATTCAAATAATCAAAGCTTGATGTTGAGTTGGTTATTTGAATCAGCTGTGTAGTGCTAGGACAAAAAACGTGCACCCAGGGGGGTGTGGGCCCCAGGACCGAGTTTGAGAAACCCTGATCTAAAGTACAAAGCAGTCCAAAACCACAGGCTATTGAGTCTGGTGCAACCCACTGCAATGTACTGTATCTCATCCATCATCTAGCTCTTTTGGTATTCAAGCCTTGGATAGATTAGCAGTGGAAGGAGAGATCTTTACTGAATGCTTCCCTCACCTGTATGTCAGGTAATGGACCACACATTCAGAGGCGCAGTGAACAGTATGTGCTGCTGGAGTGTAGAATGGTTACCATGCTGAGAAACAAAAGGCACATTGTTTTTATAATAACCACATGCGTGTCTGTAATTCTAATATAAAAACCGAGAACATTGATTCAGTCAGTGTACGTTTCCCTGTGAAGCCTAAGGTAGTATTTGTGGTCCGATCACATCCACTCGCCACGGTCTGTCTCCACAAATAATTTATCACAGTCACTTGTCCTTCACTTTGTCTTCCTCTGTAGTCTTGCCTCCAATTGACCTCTATGCAGAAATAATGTATTCTGAACTAGGAAGGGTAACATACTGCTAATTGGTTGCAAAATCATGACTGTAAGATTAATATAATTAGGCCCTATCAATATTTTCCCCATATCAATATTACTGCTCAGTTGCTGAAATAAACTGCACTCAGGTTGGGGGGGTTTGACGCTTACAGTGTTTGCACTGGAGTACTGAAAAGATCCCAAGAAGCACATACTGTATATAACATGCTGCCACTGTGGTTAATTAATTTGCTAGCCAACATCTGTCCTGATCAGTCTCTACATTGTTCCTGTTTGGGGGGTGTAGCAACCTTACTGAAATCTTAATGGCCAATTGCCCAAAGAATGTGTGGTGGGCTCCACCCCCTGTAACTCATCCATGGTTTTGAAGCAATGGCTACACGTTCTACTGCATCAAAGACATGGTTAAATTATCACAAAACTATTGAAAGTGAACAGGATACACTTAAGTTTAATAATTGACTTGATTACATTGACTAAATTAAAGTTTCCAAGTTTACTGGACACCTCAGGATTTTGGCAAAGAGGCCCTTTATCTACTGCCCAGGAGTCTGATGAACTCACGGATATAATTATGCGTTAGCGCAATGACTGTTAGTCTATGGGTATCTACTAGCAACCTCGAGTAACTGCGCCAATGCTAGTTAGTGTTAGCTTTGCGAAACTTCATACTGGAAAAAATGGTATCAAGTTAATCTACTAAAGTAGATAAAGGGCCTCATTGCCAAAATCCCTAACTGTCCCTTTAGTGAAGTGCAATTGTACTCATGTGCCCATGAACAATAAGAGGTACATCTGTGCAAATTATACAGCAGTTTGCTTCAAAACAATAAACAGAAACCACCAATAACATAGCAAATACAGTAAAACATTAAACAAACCACTGAAGATAATATTTTTCTTAAAATGAGTCTACAAAAGGACCCGAATGCCAACATTCAGTCCTTTGTTGCACAGCCAGAATAGGTTCAAGTGTGGATGTGTCAACACTCTGCAAATGGAACCTCCAAGCCTCTAAACAAGTCCCCACATCTAAAACACCTGCATGTTAGCATAGGAACTCTACTAGCTTGGAATACAAATAGCAATAGAAAAATGCCAACACCCCAGTGTGCCAGATGAGACGTTCCAGCTCATGAAATATGATTGTGGGAAATGGGATCGATAACAGCAGTTGCAAATCTGGGAAGAGATGTCCAAATACACTGCGCTAGTCTCACTTGTACCTCTGGCAATATACAGGCATTACAAACTGCTGTAGTACTTCAAGGTCTGGAGTAACTAAGCACATTCAAATGACAGCACAGGAGTCACTGAAAACAAAACAGCTCTCTGGGGTAAAGCAGATGCACAACTACATTCTCTAGCTTTCCTTTATTATACAATCAAAAGGCCACTGTTAAAGCATTTACAAATGAAGTATAACAAAATGTAGAACAGCATTAACAAAAATCTCTTCCAGTTGCATTTTATGGCAACTAGTGAAAAGTAATATTTTTACTGTAACATATACACATTAAATATGGTACATCTTAGTCCATGCAGTTACGCACAGCCAGTTGTGTATCATCATGGTTTGTTTTCATTTTAATATTTGAAGTGTGTGGGAAGTTGTGACATCAGCCACCAGTGCATTACAGTCCATGTTGGGAAGAGGCACTCCAGAACTCAGAAAACTCAGCCAGACTTGAAGAGGAGGATGGCCACCTGCCCCAAGTAGAAGTAGATGAAATGCTTCGTCTCATGAGTGACGTAGCTGCCGAAGTTCCTTCCAACAATGCAATGCCATGTAGGGTTATACTTCTTGTCAAATTCCTATAGGGTTAAAAATATATAATGGCTTTAGTAATCCATGACTGAATGAGGAAGAAAATGACCTCATGGCATGCACATCTTGCAGCCTGGTTGTCCTATTTTAAACAGTTTAAAGACATCACTATAATTGGAATACATAGTCCAAAGGCAGCAGGCCTGACTGGGTATGATACTACAGTATGCACATCTCACCTTCTTTATGTAGGCTGCAATGTCCTTTTCTATATTGTATTTCTCCATGGCCTGGGTAGCACAGTCCACTGCGTCCTGCTGCATGTCCTCCGACATGTCAGCATTCTTGATTACTGCCTTCCTGTCAGTCATGCCTGCAAAGAAGAACAAAAAAGTATAGTGAAGTGATAACGCCTGAATTAACAGGTAACACGTGCAGCTATGATTGGCTTGCCCTTTGATCTTCACCGTTAACAGCGTCCTGTGCTGTTTACGGTGAAACTCAAAGGACAAGCCAATCAAGTGCAGATATCTGATACAATGTTGCAATCACCGCGGTTATATCAATGTCTCCGAATGTACTGGGCTACTTGTCTGTATTTCGACACCAAATTACGTTGAGTGACTACGACCCTGTGCAGGTTAGGTACAATACGAATAGGCTACGGAAAAACTCGATACAGGTAGAATTAAATTACATGGGGGAAGAAGAAGAAAAAAATCACATGGCGACATTACATTTATAAAATTAGGAATCTGTGCCCTGAATGATGCACAATTATAGTCTAGTGCAAACAACATACATTAGCTACTCGTTTAATTTCTACATAATTCCTTTACATTATGGATGATTGTTCAGGTCCGAGGGTGATCTGATTCGTGCCAATAGCCTGCAGGTGGTAGTGATTGCGCATTAGTTCATAGATTCATTTTCACCCGATTTTAAATTCCCAATATAAAGCAGGCTACCTTGTACGAGAAACTTCGCTTCAATTAGACAACCTGAATCACCACCATCCATGCAAGTCAAGTGAGCGTGTAGGCTACTAAATAAACATTGTCGCTCACCTTATGTAGGAGATGCTGAGACTTTTCCCTTCGAAATCAGGTAATTCACCTTGGTGGATATCAAGCTTTGCTTACTTGCTGGATCGTGCTGCGACACATTATTTTATAAGATTTACTCAAAGCAAATATGTAGGGGAAACTGCCCTTGTAAAATACCTCCCCCGCCCTACACAATTTACCCTGCCATTGGCTGAGCTGCCACCTCTTCTTGTGTTGTGAGCATTTTCTAGCAGCTCCTCTCTACCAGCATCTTATTTCATCCCACAATGCATCGTTAACAATACATGGTGAGGTAAGTAGAGAACGCCTCCTTGCAAACTCAGCTGTACGGAGTATTTATTATGCTCAATGTGTAATTTTATTGATATCGCCACCAATGAATGTATGAGTGATATTTTAAATTATATCCACTGATATTCATTTGTTAATGTCTTACACAAATACAATCCTTGTTTTTACTGGACTTTATATTGTCTGTGTGAGATGTGTAAGCACATAATAATAATATGCCATTTAGCAGACGCTTTTATCCAAAGCGATTTACAGTCATGTGCATACATTTTTACGTATGGGTGGTCCCGGGGATCGAACCAACTACCCTGGCGTTACAAGCACCATGCTCTACCAATTGAGCTACAGAGGACCACGTCTAAATAGATCAATTGAAATGAAATTTTCCTGAATATTTTACATTTCCTCAATACTGCATTCAACTCATAAACAGGCTGTGTTATCACTTATTGCTGAGTTTATATTCAGTTATTTCATACAACCCATGGGGCCGGTATCCTGATTAAGCCCAGACCTGGACTAAAACGTATGGTGAATTAAGAATCTCCACTGAAATGTTTTTTTTTTTGTCCAGGACTAAAATTAATCTGTGTCTAGGAAACCGCCCCATGGTGTATAATGTAATACATTGGAGTATATAGTTTACTGGGGTTTTCATCATTTAGGTCTACAAATAAGCACTTATCTTCTCTTATTACATCATAGGGCCATGGAGTTAAGCTTTTACATTAATTCAAAAGCAAACAAACTAAAAACCTGGTATGTCTTTTCAGGATTTTATTGAAAATGCTAAACTAAAAGAGTAAAGTAAATTTAAGTAATAAAGACAGACTAACTATACTAAATATAATCCCCAACCATCCCACATTTTAATCCCTTATTTACCAGACTCCTACGACTCCTTGCATCCTTTGATCCAACTTCCTGGTCCTCAGTTTCCTTTTCTTACTCCAAACACGTAAATAATCCTTATCCATATCCTTTGACTCTGCGCATATTTACCGCTCAAAAATTGAAATAAACTGGGCCATTCAAAAAGTTGCATCTAGGATTCCTTAATATTAGTTCAATTGATTTGATTCCTGGAAAATGGATCCCGTTCCAAGCATCCATTCTTGCCTATCCCTTCCCTAAACGCTCCTCTGATCCGTCTCCAAGCAGCCAGCCTTGCCTATCCCTTCCCTAAATGCTCCTCTGATCCGGCTCCAAGGATTGGGATCCACTGAGCCACTCCTCCAATCAAAACCTTGAAATACCAGGAAAAAAAATCAGAGGGAAACCATTAGAATCATGTCAGATTTGGGCCCAGCCCACTTCTTATTGTGCACTCATGACATGTCACCAATAAAGATCAATTTGAAAATTTCAGTGATCACCAAAACCATCAAATTCAGAGTTTAGAAAATGTCTAATATTTCTCAATGTTTGAGCTGAAACAAGCCCAGAGCCCATGTCGAAAATTAAAACAGCAACTATAAAAGAAAAGGGTTCTTATGTAACATTAAAGTCGAAAGGTACACCTCAAGACCTTTGTCCTGACACAAAACCAAATACATGCACTGTTTATCAGTGCTAAAAAGGTTGCCAAATAGATAGGGCAGGTATATATAGGATATAGAAAATTGTGCTACATTCAAGAGACAATCATGCATCTTGTAGCAACCATTTTATCAATAGATGCAAATAATCAATACTAAAGCATACCATTGCCTCGACCTGACTCCTCCTAAGATGTCCTATCCTGATCAAACAAATGAAATGTGCTCCACAACTTTTAATCCAAATCACTCTTTAATCCTCATCTTCAGATGTCTAAAGGAAGACACAAGGGTAAAATACAGTTTAGCAATGAGACTCCCGCCACCCCATGAAAAAGTATATCAATTTTCCAACACTCACAAAAACATTGAACTCGTTAAAAGATCAACCTTTTTGAAGTTCAGAGCAAAATTTTGCAAAAGTGTTGCAAAAAAATTGACAGACAATAGGTAAATTAAAATGAATTGAGGAAGGGGATCAAAACAAAAGGTCAAAAGTAGGGAGGGTCAGGGGAGGGAGGAAAGGTGACAGGAGGGGGATACACCTACATACCAATACCTTCCACTAGGACATCAGGAGATGGAATGCAAAAATTCAAATCTATAGTTGACTTCTGGAAAAACTCAAAAGGGGGTAAAAACAAGTGGAGAGGGGAACTGTCTACAGGGGATCCACCAAAAGGGCAACACAGAGTTTAGGAACGGGAGCGAGAGCGGCTATGGCGAGGAGAGTAGCGAGGAGATCCTCTGCCACCACGGGTACCACCACCGCGAGAGTTGCTGCGGCTGCGACTGGCTGCGCTGCGGCTCCTGCTTCGACTGCGGCTCCTGGAACGTGATCTTCCATAGCTCGGGCTGCGGGGACCATCTACTTTCACGCGAACGTAAGCGGTCTCTCCCTGGTAGACACACACAAAAAGAACTGGACGTTGAAACGAAAAGCATTTCCACCTCAAACGGTTCCTTCCATTGCATCAAAACAAGCCTTCAGTTCTTGAAAGGCTGCAAAAGTAGTCACTGGATTGAAAATGGGGAGAGGTTGAGGGGAAAGATTCAATAGAGTTAGTAGTCACTTTACATACCTTTAACAAAAATATTGTATCCTTACAATCAAATCCATGAACAACCAATCAAACCTGAAAGCATACCTCGTGTGATCGGAATTTGGTGTTATCCAGCTTTCGAACGGCGTAGGTCATGTCTTCTTTGCGCACAAACTCCACAACCCCAGTTCCATCTCTGAAAACATCAGCATAACATACATCCCCAGCCTCACGCATGTGATCCTTCAGGTCCTGCCAGCTGCCACTCTGGGGAAGCCCTTTGGAGAGTAGATAAGAGCATATAAATTAGATATGTTTTACTCAAAAGTGATTACTTTCAACACTTTGCTCAATGGTACAAACTTGCTCAATAGATCTGTGGCATTACAGTATAGCTCAGTTGGTAGAGCATGGCGTTTGCAACGCCAGGGTTGTGGGTTCGTTTCCCACGGGGAACCAGTACGAAAAAAAATGTATGCACTCACTAACTAAGTCGCTGTGGATAAGAGCATCTGCTAAATGACTCAAATGTAAATCATTCAGAATCTGCAAAGACCAGGCTGGTTCTACCCCACCAGAAACAATGAACTAATGTGGAAGAAATGGATATGAAATAACCATCAATGTTTAGTGGACCAAAAAAGACCAGCGCTTCAGTCTGTTGAAAAAGGAACTAGCCAATCAGTCAGTAGCCTCTGCAGATTCCCCCAAAAATGGATGTTCTGGTTTTCAGGGGAAATGCATACGTAAAAATGTATGCACACATGACTAAGTCGCTTTGGATAAAAGCGTCTGCTAAATGGCATATTATTATTAAAATGGAAAGAGCACCTCTTTTGGACGTTAACAAGGCTACACGCCATCTTAACTCCACATTTTACTGGATTGGTTGAACAGTGCAGAAGAGAACCTCTGACAGTTTATTTTCCTTCTCAACAAGACCCGAGGTGCGTTCAGTTCGCTTCAACGTTTGCTACATTCTTGAACAGACTAAGTTACGTTTGCTGGGTATGGCAAGTATTTAAAAGGGCAGTAGCCATGTTGACAACGTTCCCCAACCCCTCCCAGTTTTTCCAACTGGTCGTTCAGTACAGCACCGTTTCCATTCAATGTAACGTTCCAGAACGTAAAAACTTACTGAATGCAGGCCGGTATGTAGGGGACCTAGTTTCAGGAGATTATTTTACGCCTGCTACATTAAGTAAATCAGACGGTAACACATGGAGTCCATTTGTTAGTGAAAAAGAAGATCACCAGCACAGTGCTGTTGAAATATTAAAGACTGGGAAGTTACCGTTTGTACAGTAGGTCAACGTGGTGGCGTGCAGTGCAACCAATGAGGTGTATATAAACCCAACCCACATTACACAAGGGTGTTAGGTGATGCGACAAACAATGGACACTATGCGAGAATTCTACAAAAAACAGCAGTGATCAAATCAATTGTCACTAAATGTCAATGATGTGGTCATCAAAATATATAATAAATAATTTGAAAACATGAATGTGGAAGTTGTTAACCATGTCTAAAAATCACAATACTGTAAGTTATGATATTGTGTGTTCATATTTGCTCTTTGCAATGAGTATTCCTCACTCTACCAGAGTAAGATCGATGTGACATTGTATTGCCAACAAGTATGGGAAAGTCCTGAGGGTGTTTTACGGTCATCAGATGTCCTTGGGCTGAAATTTAAGGTAAAAGTTTTTCCCTTCCCCTTCTGTTGTTCCAGAATAGCCTCAGACTAGACGTAACATAGTACACGTAAATCCGGGACACTCAAATTAGTATGATGTGTTACATTTGGTACGGTTACATAAGATGGTTCCTTTAAATTAATGGGCTTAACATGCTATGCTGTTTTTATTTTATTCCCACATTGAAATTAGCATATGAAATACCTAATTTGCATAAAGTTGTATAAAAAGTTTATTCTAATATTAAATTGTTAAACTCAGGTTTTCATAAAGCACAAAGATTTGTTAATATGACCACCACTACCGTAAAACTATTAGTCTTAAATTACTGTAATTATGTATTCCGTACTGCCTCATTTGCATAATATTGCAGTTTAATTGAATACATTTGACTTTTATTTGAATCAACTCTGTTCTACATCTGCCCTGAAAATGTCATTACAATATGACCACCCTATCTTGAAACATTGGACAGAATGTGTTGAAATTAAGACTGATTTGGTGCCATTATTGACTAGGGATTAACATTGACCCTTTTCGATCAGTTGAAAATGAGATCTCAGCAATGGTAAGTCCTATCCTCATGAAATAAAGTGTTCCTGAGAAACTTCTATATAAACATGGAATACAAAGTATAATACCAGAAGCAGTTTAATTTTTACCCCTAACACCCTAATTACACGACTCACCTGAGACAATGACCCTGTACTCGGAGCGTCTGGATGGCGGCCCGTATCTGCCTCTAGGGGCGCCACCAACCCCCCCTCCACCACCAAAACCGCCTCTCCCCCCACCCCTGCCGCTCCGAGGGAATTCAACTCGCAGCCGATAACCGTCGTAGTCATAGCCGTCTCGTCCGTACACGGCATCGTCGGCATCCCTGAAAAATGAATCATTAAAAGGTTACCTAAACAATTGTCCACACAGCACCCTGTGGCGTACCTCATTAGCAAAATCTGTTAGTTAGCTGGCTAAACTCAACGATGATAAATCGTGGCGTTAAGTCGGCTAGCCACAAACAAAGACACCTTCACAATGTGTAATTGCAGAAAGGGAAACAACTAGCGAGCAAGCCAATTAACGTTAGTCTTAAAACGAAAATAGCTACTAGCTACGTTAGTTACATGTGCAAACTAACGCTTTAAACACACCGACTGTGTCATTGCGCAAAATAGTATGCAGCATCTAGATATGTGCAACAACTTCAACATTCACCTTCTGTTACCATATCTGTCAACCCGTTTACGCTTACAGTTTGACGCATACGTTCGATAAATCCAACGTATGCACCACACAGAACGCAATGCTACAAGGCAAACGCAGCGTACCATTGGAAATGAATGTACTTCTGGTGTGCCAAAACACAGTCGGTGTGTTCAAAGCGTTAGAGCAGTGCACGAGTTGCTAACAAGCTAGCCTTTAGTTACCTGGGATCTTCAAATTCGATAAAGGCAAAGGGAGGTCCTCCTCTCCGATTTTTCAAATCGATATCTCGAATAGCTCCGTATTTGTAAAACACGTCCTCGACATCTTTGGTCCGAATATCAGGGGGTAGATTTCCGACGTAAATTCGACAATCGTTATTTCCTGCAGGGCCTCGCACGACGCCTCCCGACATAGTAGCTAACGTTAGCTAGTTTATTTTAGGTTGAAATAAAAAGCGATTTTGCAAGACGGTATTCAAGTAGATCGCAAACCATATGAGTATAGTACATACACACTGCTTAAAACAACACAAAATAAGGAATGAATCGCGCTTAAAGTTGTCTACTAGCTAGCTCCACTTCTCCCCGTGCAGAACCGCGCTTCTTCGCGAGAGCATTCATGAATACCGGAAATGTGCTCAGTAGAGAACTCTACAAATGTCTACGTCCGCCAAACAAAATAGTCCACATTAGTACAGGGCTCATCCATAAAAGAGACCTGTGTCTCAGTATTCCTCCCTGATAGAATAAATGTTAAATAAATTAACACAGGTGTGTGATATTGGTATAATTACGCGAATAATTTCAGGTAAGACGGTTTTCAGGTGAGCAGATTCTTAGTTTAGAATTGTTTGGCCATTTTCATCTTGCAATTTTAAATCGCTATAATTTTCAGTTGGCCTTATGAGTAGTGTCCAGCAACCTGTTATTATAGGCTGGCCTACACCAATAACATTGAATTCACAAGTGTGTGAATTATGATTATGAATGATGACCTTCTTGGCAGTGGTGGAAAAAGTCCACAATTGTCATACTTGAGTAAAAGTAAAGATACCTTAATAGAAAATGACTCAAGTAAAAGTGAAAGTCACCCAGTAATGTACTACTTGATTAAAAGTCTAAAAGTATCAAAAGTAAATGGAATTGCTCAAATGTACTTAAGTCTTTAAATTTTTACATTTTAAAATGTATACATTTTATTTTATTTTATATATATATATATAAGTATAAATCATTTCAAGTTCCTTATATTAAGCAAACAAGACGGCACAATTTTATTTTTTATTTTTATTGATGGATAGCCAGGGGCACACTCCAACATTCAGACATAATTTACAAACGAAGCGTTTGTGTTGAGTGAGTCCGCCAGATCAGAGGCAGTAGGAATGACCAGGTTTCTCCCCTGAAAAAGGGGAGAAATAATCACGAAAGTGATGCAGTTGTTTCCTCACTGAAAACTTTAGTGTAATGAGAAAAAGACCGCGATTTCCCCAGGAAGTTGGGTGGAGACCAGAGCAATCGATCTCAGGCTCATAGATTAAGAGCATTTAGTAGATCACAGATTAACACTTTTACCCTTAAATTAGGCACCACAAAATAAAGTAGTCAATATAACGTTTACACATTCCTCTTACAATAATTTACCCTTTTACACTTGACGGATTTTAACACATTTATGAATTTTGTCAATCTCTATGAACTAGTACTGGATGCATTATCTTTTTAACCTTAGATATTTTAAGATCCTTACATACCATGAACTTACTAATACTTTTTAGTGTATAACAGGCTATGAATATGTCCTTTAACCTGTCACACTCTCCCCGACAAAATAAAGGTTGTCCCAACATTACCAACATTGTCTTCTTAAACAGTCTATAAGCACTGGACGTAGAAAATCCTCTTCTGTAAGCTAGTCCTTGAGCAGAGGTCAAAGTTCACAGTTCAAATAGAACCAAGAAGTTATATTCACAGTCCATATCTTTTGACCAGCTGTATAAACAGTCCATAAGCAGTCTTTTCTCATACTATTGTCAACAGTCCATCAGTTTTAATGATCTATATGCATAGTCTGCTAATTGTCTCGTGAAAGTCTGTGAAATCAGTCAGTAGTCCATGGTCAAACATGTCAACTCTGTCTGTGGCCTCAAGTTTGCTGAAGTCCATACATGTAGGGTGGCTGAAGGTAATATCGCTGTAGTGATGGCAGCCATGGAACCAGTCCTGGTGCAGGGTAGACAGGGAACAACTGTGGCTGTGGCTGGATACTGTAGCAGGAAGGGATACCAAGCTGATCATAGGTGGTACGTCTTGGAGGGTGTCTCTCTCTTTGTGGCAGCTGGTAGGCTGGTTCCTCAGGTTCAGCAGCAGCAGTTAATGAAGGAAAGGCACTTAGTGGACGATCATCAGGCACATTTTCAGCAGGCAAGTTCATCTCCTCAGCAGGCAGTTCTTTAACTGTTGTTTTCTCCTCCAGCTGATTTTCAACAAGAGGCTGTGCTGGTAGCGTATCAGGAACTGGCACCGCAACTGTCTGTTTCACTGGTGGGGGCCTGTTTTCCGACTCTCTCGCTGGTTCAGCATATCTCTCAGGTACTGTAGGAGATGTGGGGACCTGTAGCGGCTCATGATGAAGGTCATATTCATCCCCGCTGTCTTCATCAGAATCTAGAGGCTGTGATCCAGGCTGATGTCTCTTTTTCTTACTTTTGTCATCTTTAGTCATTTCTGGTTGTCTCTCAAAAGGTAAGTGGTCACAGGACATGAGCAAGTTTCTGTGCAGGACCCGGGAGCGTCCCCTACCCTTTTCCGGTCTCAACTCATAAATCGGCAGGTCTGAACCCATTTGTCTCACTACTGTGTGAATTTGGTCTTCCCAATAGTTACGGAGTTTGCCTGGTCCTCCTCTTCGTGTCAGGTTTTTAATCAGAACTCGCTCGCCAGGCTGTAGCACTGAACTCCTAACTTTAGTGTCATAGTACTTCTTACTTCTTTCAGCAGCTTTCTGAGCATTTTCATTTGCAATGGCGTATGCTTCTTCCATTCCTCGTTTCCAGTTCTCCACGTAGTCTCGCTGGTTACTGGAACCTGCCTCTGTGCACAATCCAAAGAACATATCAACTGGAAGCCTGGGTGATCTCCCAAACAGAAGATAAAATGGTGAATAGCCAGTCACTTCGCAACGGGTGCAGTTATAGGCATAAACCAGTTTGTTTAGAGACTCCTTCCAGTTTGACTTTTGTGTCTCAGTTAGTGTCTTTAGCATTTGCAACAATGTTCTGTTCATTCGTTCCACTTGACCGTTCCCCATCGGGTGGTAGGGTGTTGTTCTGGACCCCGCCATGCCACTGAGTTTCTTTAACTGATGGAACAACTGATTTTCGAAAAAGGGGAGAAATAATCACGAAAGTGACGCAGTTGTTTCCTCACTGAAAACTTTAGTGTAATGAGAAAAAGACCGCGATTTCCCCAGGAAGTTGGGTGGAGACCAGAGCAATCGATCTCAGGCTCATAGATTAAGAGCATTTAGTAGATCACAGATTAACACTTTTACCCTTAAATTAGGCACCACAAAATAAAGTAGTCAATATAACGTTTACACATTCCTCTTACAATAATTTACCCTTTTACACTTGACGGATTTTAACACATTTATGAATTTTATCAATCTCTATGAACTAGTACTGGATGCATGATCTTTTTAACCTTAGATATTTTAAGATCCTTACATACCATGAACTTACTAATACTTTTTAGTGTATAACAGGCTATGAATATGTCCTTTAACCTGTCACACCAGTAACCGAAAGGTCGATGTTTCTAATCCCTGAGCCGACTAGGTGAAAAATCTGTCGATGTGCCCTTGAGCAAGGCACTTAACCCTAATTGCTCCTGTAAGTCGCTCTGGATAAGAGCGTCTGCTAAATGACTAAAATGAAAATGTATGTTCTCTTGATAAGTGTGTGAATCGGTCCATTTTCCTGTCAAAATGTAACAAGTACTTTTGGGCGTCAGGGAAAATGTATGGGGTAAAAAGTATTTTCTTTTCTTTAGGAATGTAGTGAAGTAAAAGTTGCCAGAACTATAAATAGTAAAGTACAGATACCCCAAAAAATGACTTAAGTAGTACTTTAAAGTATTTTTACTTAAGTACTTTACACCACTGCTTCTTGGAGCCTAAGGGTGTTTCACACTTGCTCCCGACCCTTTCAGACAATTTTTGTGAACACAGTGCGGCGCGCTTAATTTTTTGTGCAGCGTGAACACTCCAAAGGAACTCAGACCCCTCAAGTGCCCCCGAAGCGAACCGAACTGAGACCATCTCGAGAGGTGGTCTGAGTTCGGTTCTCTTGAATTCTGTGGTCCGGTTTTGGTGAGAATCACAACATAGTATACAAAATCTATACTAGCTCTTAAAGGGCAGTAGCCTACCTTGTGTGTACAATTTTCAATTACAGCATTACTTATTCTGCAGTTATTCTGTTGCTATTTATTCTGTTAGTAATCAAATGTACATGTTAATAGTGTCTTCTGATTACAATTATTATGTCTCATATTTTAATGAAATGCAATCTATTAGCTTCCAAAATGTAAGTAGGTATATCTAGCTGTCCGATAACACATTCTGATTGAATGGCTTGTCCTGCACCTTGTAAAAACCCATAGTGCATGTTGGAAAAATAACTTGGTTACTTTCTAAACATAGCAATGTGAATGCAAAGAGGACTCGGTCCACAAAATAAGTGAAGTGAACTGGCAAAAGAGTTGAGGCCTCATTCAAAGGCAAGGGCAGTGTGAATACAAAGAGAACTGAGTTCTTTAGCTCTTTTTTTTGTTCACTTTAAAGAGGACTGAGATTGGTTATTTTAAAGAGGACTATGTGAAAACACCCTAATATATCATTGTCAACTACTCTTTGGGCCAGTAGATGGAGCCTTGGACCATGGTTGTATGGGAAAGCAAATCAGATGACAAGCTACAAATAGCCTACTAGTTTATGGGTGACGATAAATTAACTAGGAATATTTTCCAGCTAAGAATTCTGTTAAAATCAAGAACTGTAAAACATTCTCAGAGTTTGACTCTAGAGTAGAAAATAATATAAAAATAGTGCAAAGATTTGTGAGTAGGCCTAATCTCTCCTGGACAGACTACGGAGTATGAGCATCTGACCAAATTATGGGATATTTTAATTCTGGTTTAACCGAGATTGACTTATGAGAAATAAAACCACAATTCCCAGATTGTTTCAACTCAACACAATTTATTGTTATTATGATTTACTTTTGCACTACAGTATTTGATACATCAGTTGCATAGAGAACAATACTTAGCTAAATCACAAAAATAACATTTTTTACTGTAAGCCCAGCTGTCTTCTGGATCTCATCAAAATAAATAATGAAACAACTGAACATCAATTAGGTTTCATTTTGCTACTACCACAAGAACATATTGTCATCTCAAAGGTTACAATAATTTAGTTTAAAGTGTCTAATCAAAGGCCATCTGTCAATGCCTAATTTCATGCTAATTTCATTAGACCCTTACATCTAGTGTGTCCACCAATGTGCACATTTTTTTTATTAGCAGTGTGTACACTCAAGTAACTATATTATAACTCCTAGAATACAGATTGAAGACAGCATATGACTGCGATTGGCCATTGGTATGGCAGTGGCAGTGGACGATGCTATTGGTTGGCCAAAGCTGGAATGTGAGGCATCACTGGCTCTTCAGTATGCATGATTGGCCACATAGATCTGGTCGGATTCACTGTACCCGCCACCAGTGTACTTCCCCTGACAGGCCAGGCCATTCACCTGATAGTGAGAGAAAGGGGATGGGATATGAGGGGCAAACACACAAACACTGTTAGGGGCATACTCACTTCATGTCAACTGAAAACATAGATCACTTCCTCAGATGACCGTTCCACTCGGAAAATGGTGAAATGTCCAGTTTTATGAAAAAAATATTCAGAAGAAATATGTTCCTCAACAACACTAAAAGATGAAAGCCAGGTTGATCAAGAGGCTGAAAACAAAGTGATGTACATGCCTCTGCTCGCTTGATAAACTGCTCAGTGGCAGCACTCTCATTCTCTTTATGTCCACGCCAGGTTTTGAGTGCGGAGACCTGCAGGGCTCGGCCGTACGAGAAGGTGAGGGCCCAGGGCTTCACCAGGGAGCAGTTGTTAATGGCATTCAGGTGGACAGAGGCCTCCTCTTCACTCTGACCCCCAGAGAGGAACGTCACTCCTGCACACACAGAAAACAAATAGAAATCGCTGTGAGTGAACAGTAAATGGATTTCTATCAGCACCATAAGTGCTTTACAAACATATGATCATAATGCCAAATCAATGGTATAGTGACAATCTGACACTAGTACTGCATATACCCTGAGAGGCACTTGAGAGGAAATATAACCGGTCAAAGGCCTATGACCTTACCGGTGACAGCAGGAGGAACAGTGCGGCGCAAGGCAGTGACCGTTGCCATGGCGACCTCCTCTGCGCTGTATTTTGTGGGGCAGCTGTGGCCAGGAGTGGCCATATTGGGCTTGAGCAGAGTGCCCTCCAGGTACACATGATGGTCAGACATGGCCTTGTACAATGCAGCTAGCACCTGCACAACATGGGGAACACATGGAACATGATAAACTGGCCATGTTAGAAATACATATTACATACTAACAGGTTAAGAGTTGGTTTAGGTCCCACCTTCTCGGTGACGTACTGACAACGCCTCAGATCATGATCTCCATCAGGCAAAACCTCTGGTTCCACAATAGGCACAATCCCATGCTGGGTGACAGAAAAATGACATAATCAGCATGATTAGAAGGTGATGCTGATGTTACCTCCTGCAATTATGGTATTTCATCATACCTGACATTGTGCCTTTAAACTGCATTTGTGGAGTCCTTACCTGCTGGCAAATGCTTGAATATCGAGCCAGGACATTTGTATTCTCTTCAATGGACAGTTTAGAGGGGGTGGTCTCACTGATTTTGAACACACAGCGCCACTTAGCAAAGTTTGCCCCGTCCTTCTTATACTGAGCACAGCGTTCTGAGAGCCCATCCAGTCCTATAGGATGAGAAAGAAATTAACAAGGCTGTAAAGGATTGGGATTCACCAGTGAGTGGCACACTACATTTTGTAACTGTCAAATTCAGATAGCTATGATGATCAGATTGAGTAGAACCCGAGGGGTCTCAGCCCTACCCTGAGTGGTAGATTCTCCATTGGTTCCTGCCAAGGGGACAACACCCTTGTCAACCTGAAGAAAAAGAGGTAGAGCAGATCAAAAATAGAAATGACAACGGTCCTCCCTCCTCTTCACACTGATCTTCTCCATGTCTTAAAGCCAGCTCATTTTCATCCAGATGGTGTTGATATTAATAGCAGCCATTCTACCCATAGCACTGCCATCCATCAGGGGTAGAACTCCTGATCAGAGTGTATCACAGCATCAATACAGGACTAAGATTGAATCGTACTACACCGGCTCCGACGCTCGTTGGATCTGGCAGGGCTCGCAAACTATTACAGACTACAAAGGGAAGCACAGCCGCGAGCTGCCTAGTGACACGAGCCTACCAGACGAACTAAATTACTTCTAAGCTCGCTTCGAGGCAAGCAACACTGAAACATGCATGAGAGCATCAGCTGTTCAGGTCAACATTCACAAGGCCGCAGGGCCAGACAGATTACCAGGACGTGTACTCCGAGCATGCGCTGACCAACTTGCAAGTGTCTTCACTGACATTTTCAACCTGTCCCTGACTGAGTCTGTAATACCAACATGTATAAGCAGACCAACATAGTCCCTGTGCCCAAGAACACTAAGGTAACCTGCCTAAATGACTACAGACCTGTAGCACTCACGTCTGTAGGCATGAAGTGCTTTGAAAGTCTGGTCATGGCTCACATCAACACCATTATCCCAGAAACCCTAGACCCACTCCAATTTGCGTACCGCCCCAACAGATCCACAGAAGACGCAATCTCTATTGCACTCCACACTGCCCTTTCCCACCTGTACAAAAGGAACACCTACGTGAGAATGCTATTCATTGATTACCGCTCAGCGTTCAACACCATAGTGCCCTCAAAGCTCATCACTAAGCTAAGGACCCTGGGACTAAACACCTCCCTCTGCAACTGGATCCTGGACTAGCTGACGGGCTGTCCCCAGGTGGTAAGGGTAGGTAACAACACATCTGCCACGCTGATCCTCAACACGGGGGCCCATCAGGGGTGCGTGCTCAGTCCCCTCCTGTACTCCCTGTTCACCCATGACTGCATTGCTGGCACGACTCCAACACCATCATTAAGTTTGCCGACGACACAACAGTGTTAGGCCTGATCACCGACAACGATGAGACAGCCTATAGGGAGGAGGTCAGAGACCTGTCCATGTGGTGCCAGGATAACAACCTCTCTCTCAACGTGCTCAAGACAAAGGAGATGATTGTGGACTACAGGAAAAGGAAGACCGAGCACGCCCCCATTCTCATCAACGGGGCTGTAGTGGAGCAGGTTGAGAGCTTCAAGTTCCTTGGTGTCCACATCACCAACAAACTATCCTGGTCCAAAACACCAAGACAGTCGTGAAGAGGGCACGACAAAGCCTATTCCCCCACAGGAGAATAAAAAGTTTGGCATGGGTCCTCAGATCCTCAAAAAGTTCTACAGCTGCATCATCGAGAGCATCCTGACTGGTTGCATCACTGCCTGGTATGGCAACTGCATCGGCCTCTGACCGCAAGGCACTACAGAAGGTAGTTCATACGGCCCATTACATCACTGGTGCCAAGCTTCCTGCCATCCAGGACCTCAATACCAGGCGGAGTCAGAGGAAGGCCCTAAAAATTTGCAAAGACTCCAGCTACCCTAGTCATAGACTGTTCTCTGTTACCGCACAGCAAGCGTTACCGGAGCGCCAAGTCTAGGTCCAAAAGGCTTCTTAACAGCTTCTTAACAGCTTCTACCCCCAAGCCATAAGACTCCTGAACAGCTAATAAAATGGCTACCCGGACTATTTGCATTGTCGTCGTCCCCCCCCCCCCCCTATTTTACGCTGCTGCCACTCTCTGTTTATTATCTATGCATAGTCACTTTAACTCTACCTACATGTGAGGGAAAAAAGTATTTGATCCCCTGCTGATTTTGTACGTTTGCCCACTGACAAAGAAATGATCAGTCTATCATTTTAATGGTAGGTTTATTTGAACAGTGAGAGACAGAATAACAACAAAAAAATCCAGAAAAACGCATGTCAAAAATGTTTAAATTGATTTGCATTTTAATTAGGGAAATAAGTATTTGACCCCCTCTCAATTAGAAAGATTTCTGGCTCCCAGGTGTCTTTTATACAGGTAACGAGCTGAGATTAGGAGTACACTCTTAAAGGGAGTGCTCCTAATCTCAGTTTGTTACCTGTATAAAAGACACCTGTCCACAGAAGCAATCAATCAATCAGATTCCAAACTCTCCACCATGGCCAAGACCAAAGAGCTCTCCAAGGATGTCAGGGACAAGATGTAGACCTACACAAGGCTGGAATGGGCTACAAGACCATCGCCAAGCAGCTTGGTGAGAAGGTGACAACAGTTGGTGCGATTATTCACAAATGGAAGAAACACAAAATAACTGTCAATCTCCCTCGGCCTGGGGCTCCATGCAAGATCTCACCTCGTGGAGTTGCAATGATCATGAGAACGGTGAGGAATCAGCCCAGAACTACACGGCAGGATCTTGTCAATGATTTCAAGGCAGCTGGGACCATAGTCACCAAGAAAACAATTGGTAACACACTACGCCGTGAAGGACTGAAATCCTGCAGCGCCCGCAAGGTCCCCCTGCTCAAGAAAGCACATATACATGCCCGTCTGAAGTTTGCCAATGAACATCTGAATGATTCAGAGGAGAACTGGGTGAAAGTGTTGTGGTCAGATGAGACCAAAATGGAGCTCTTTGGCATCAACTCAACTCGCCGTATTTGGAGGAGGAGGAATGCTGCCTATGACCTCAAGAACACCATCCCCAAAGTCAAACATGGAGGTGGAAACATTATGCTTTGGGGGTGTTTTTCTGCTAAGGGGACAGGACAACTTCACCGCATCAAAGGGACGATGGACGGGGCCATGTACTGTCAAATCTTGGGTGAGAACCTCCTTCCCTCAGCCAGGGCATTGAAAATGGTTGTGGATGGGTATTCCAGCATGACAATGACCCAAAACACACGGCCAAGGCAACAAAGGAGTGGCTCAAGAAGAAGCACATTAAGGTCCTGGAGTGGCCTAGCCAGTCTCCAGACCTTAATCCCATAGAAAATCTGTGGAGGGAGCTGAAGGTTTGAGTTGCCAAACGTCAGCCTCGAAACCTTAATGACTTGGAGAAGATCTGCAAAGAGGAGTTGGATAAAATCCCTCCTGAGATGTGTGCAAACCTGGTGGCCAACTACAAAAAATGTCTGACCTCTGTGATTGCCAACAAGGGTTTTGCCACCAAGTACTAAGTCATGTTTTGCAGAGGGGTCAAATACTTATTTCCCTCATTAAAATGCAAATCAATTTATAACATTTTTGACATGCGTTTTTCTGGATTTTGTTGTTGTTATTCTGTCTCTCACTGTTCAAATAAACCCACCATTAAAATTATAGACTGATCATTTCTTTGTCAGTGAAAATCAGCAGGGGATCAAATACTTTTTTCCCTCACTGTACATATTACCTCAATTACCTCGACTAACCTGTGCCCCCGCACATTGACTCTGTACCGGTACCCCCTGTATATAGCCTCGCTACTGTTATTTTACTGCTGCTCTTTAATTATTTGTTATTTCTTTTAATTTTAAATTTTTTACTTAACACTTATTTTTCTTAAAACTGCATTGTTGGTTAAGGGCTTGTAAGTAAGCATTTCACTGTAATTGGCGCATGTAACAAATACATTTTGATTTGATTTGTTTTTATATGTCCTACCTTTTGGCCTCCATAATGTTGAAACTTGCTCCCTTCCAGGTACTGTCTATTGGAGCATATCAAGTAGCCTTATGCACTACATTCTCATTCCTTCCCTCAATAATGTTATATACAGTATAAGTAGGGTCTAGGTATTCTTGCCCAATCTAGAGACATAAAACATACTTCAGATATCACCATTGGCCCCTTCGACCCCTTTGCTCATACAGTACCTTGATTCCCACAGTGATGCCCCTGTCCTTGATCATCTTGACGAAGGGCGTGCCATCGTCAGCGTGCTGGTACAGCGTCTCATGGAAGAAGATGACTCCTCCGATGCAGCTGTTGATGCGGTCGTCAGCCCTGAAGAGGATCTGGCGGTACTGCCGGCGGTTCTCCTCAGTGTTCTCAACCCCTATCTGGTTAAGGCGCTTCGCCATGCTGCCTGTTTCCAGGAACATTAAAAACAAACATGTTCACAGTCTGGTAAACCTACATTTATAAAAACGGAATAATCTATTCGATACCATCCTGTACCACTGCTTTGTAGAGGGTTATGGCAAGCACCACTGGAAATTAAAATTTGTCTGATTTCCTGAAAGTAGGTCCCACTGTTATTGTTAATACCATACATATATGTAGATTGTTACGTAATCATTTTAATTACAACTGTTTTCCAGTACAGAGAGAAGATGTAGAGCAACCTACTAACCAACAGACTCATCAGCAGCCAGGATGCCCTTCCCTGGAGCGACAATACGAAGGGCAATCTCCTGGAGCTCCCTCTTCTGACCACTGGAGAGGGCTGGGAACTGGTGTGACATCCTGAGAGATGGTCGATCACACAACCTGTATAGGGATATCAGATTGTACACATCTTAGCTGGTCTAAATTGTTCAAAATTCACTCAGGGAAATATTTAGCTAGAGAAATACATCAACAGTAAGGGCATATCTCTCCCATCCTCTCAAATCCCAGGGATTTTGGCAGTGACTGTCCTTATTGGCACATTGTCAACTGGGGTTAGGGATGTGTGGACCTCTGTGCTGACTATGCAGCCCACCAAACAAGGGGCCAGGCAAGTCTTTAGTTCCAGAAGGATTTACATTTTCTCTGTTGGGGTCTCATAAACAACCAAAAATAGCTATTTGATTAGAAAAAGTCAAGGTCTACACAGACAAGAATGGCTTGATGCCAATGATGACAACCAATGGAGAAATCTGTCTAGCTTCTTTGTCTGAAATAGATAACCCAACACATTTCCCTCATCGATTGTTGCTTGCTTGTTTTCAATCTCTTCAAGCATTTTCATTCCCCCAAAATGTATTCCTCTCAACTCCCTCTCTCTTTTTCCCACGCTCTAAAGTACAGCTAAGAGGCACAGTCAGAGCAGAAATATTCACTTGTTGGCAGAGAAATAACACTTTCTCTGCCAACAACTCAGTAACCCAGACAACCTCTGGCATGTTGTCACTGTTGAGGTGGGCACAAGAAAGATGAGGGAATTCTGTCAGTCCAAACCAGAAAGTTTTCCAGAAATATTACCCTGGTTCTGTGGAGCTGTAGTAGCAATATCAAATTGGCAAGTGAAATAAAAATGATGAGGTAGTAATACATATCATTTACATAGAGGCTATATATTTCTACTGTATGAGTACTGTTTATTGAGAGCAGAAGGCCTCTAATCACGCTTCCCACTTGCTGATGTAGCAGCGCTGACTACATTGATCTGTGGGGTAGCACAATGCACTTATTAATTCGTTCATTCATATCACATCCCTTGATAGTGGGTATGGCAAATAACCATGTCAACACAGACCCTCAGCTTTTGCACTCCACTGTCTGCAATAACCGAGGAAAAATACAATAATAGCCAGTAACATTTTTGATCTACCATGCATTGACTTATCATCATGTAACTCCAATCCACTCCTTTAATTTGGTTTTGTAAATTGCAAGACAATAACAATCCATTGTAATATCTTTAGTTTTCCAAATAAAATGTAAAATTCATTACTTTAATAGTATTCCACATTTTACATTTAAGTCATTTAGCAGACGCTCTTATCCAGAGCAACTTACAGTGTTGGGTCCATACATTTTCATGCTGGTCCCCCTAGGGAATCGAACCCACAACCCATGCTCTACCAACTGAGCTACACGGGACTACTAGTGGTACCACTCATTCAATAGTTGAACATTCATAGTAGCTAAATATCATATTATCTATCCTGTTTACTAAAGCTTGCTGAAATGAAAAGTGAATGTCAATAAAACTTGAGAACCTTACCTGACAGGATGCTAATTCAGAATCCAGTGCGATGTCTGACAGACTGCTGCTCCCTTGTATCCCACTCAACACCTTTAGGGCGGGGCTTAACGATGGGGTGGGGCTTGTTGATGGGTAATAAATAAATATGGATGAATATGTTCAACCAGAGGAGGCTGGTGGGAGGAGCTATAGGAGAATAGGCTCATTATAATGGCTGGAATGGCATCAATGGAACGGAGTCAAACGCGTTGTTTCCATATGTTTGATGTGTTTGGTACCATTCCATTGATTCCATTCCAGTCATTACAATGAGCCTGTCCTCCTATAGCTCCCCTCCAGCAGCCTCCTCTGCATTCAATGAAACATAATCCATCATTCCAAGTCATTACAATAATAACGATACACTTGTCATGCAAGTAGACGTTGTCTTGTTCTGAGAAGTTGTCTCAATGGCAGTAAAATCAATAATTCAGTGGATGAAACATGAAGCTAATTAATCATTCCAAACAACAGTTTTGTTTTTCTCTACATTTTATTTACACAGAAGTTAGATTTCATGAATGACTAAAATGTAAAAGAAGTCTGGCGACTTAAAACAGCACTATTGTGTACACCCAGGTTTATTACAGTGTGTTGGCCCAATAACATTTTTTCTGAAGCTATAATAACTCTGAACCCTTCAGCGCAGCGCAACCTCATTTAAGTGTTAAACCACAACCACTTTGCTCACTATTTTCCTCTAATTAGTTGTAATCATAGACTTATGTAATTAGGTTGAACTATGCCTTGGGCACATTTCTGAATCTCTTGGCAATTCGGACATCCCCTAAGACCCAGAGGAAAAGCTCAGTCTCAGAGCAATTCAAACACTCCTATGCATATCTGCGTTATGCATTAGTAGTAAATCATGGGTATTAATAGGTTCAGAAAGTGCTTACAGTGTATATAAATGACCAAATATAGAACTGTGACATAGATTAGAGAGAAATGGGGTCAGAATGTTTTTTTAATGTGAAGATATAACAATCAATGTTTGAGTGCTTTACATAGGTCGATACCCGAGATCAGGTCCATCATATGAAGATCAACAGTGATAGGCTACATTGGCTTTATGGTGGCATATTCAGTTGTTACATTTTCACTTGAAGTGGTTGGATAAAATGCATAGGTAATTCTATCAAGAATGACATGCATTTGACAGTAAATACTTAATTCTCATCAAGTGTTAGTATTTGATCCTTTATTTGGCAAATTGAATATCTCCCTCTGCCCCTTTTCTGTAGAAAATACGTTTTCCACTTTTCTAGGACATCTCACTTGTTCTAGTGTTATTTTATGGGACTTCTCCATCCCTCCCTCTATAATTGTGTCAGTGTGCTAGAGGTGTCCACCAATGTAAAGATGTGGGTCACTGGACTAACACCACAGACATACTGTACCAGACCTGTCTCAGACAAGGGCCTAAAGGGGAATTCAATGTCAGACCGCAGAGAGAGGAGAGCCCACTACACCTTCCTATTCAGGAGACATTTTAGGAAGATGACTGGGACTTGTGCTTAGATTATATTTAGCTGTCTCCATTGGGCAGTAGCTAGTTTTTTCTGTTAAACCTAATTAAAAACATTTAATGATGATGCTTTATCTGGTCTTCAATTTTCCGTCCTATTAAGGTTGCTCCCTTAAGGGTTTCTTGGTGTTCTGAGTGTTTTACCAAATAGGTCACTGTCACACTAAAGTCTGGGGAATAAGTTGGCTTTATGTATCCAGTTGTAGTGCAATAGAAATAATGTACAGTATGTGTTAACATAATATATGATATATGCCATGTAGCAGACGCGTTTATCCAAAAGGACTTGCAGTAGTGCATGATCCATACATTTTCATCTGGATGGCCAACGGCCCCACAGGAATCGAACCCATGCAAGCTCCATGCTCTACCAACTGAACCACACAGATTTCAGGTGAAAAAACATTTGAACTTCCAAATGAATAATACTCCGTAAGATTTATACTTTTCTGTTGGTAACAATAAACTGAAAGCCTCCTCTTGTATTGTACTGGCTCAAATGTATATATGTTCTCTGCTGTCATGACTGATGACCAGGTGTCTGAAGTAACTCAGGCTCTATATCTGGAACAGCTAAAAACATCTAACCTAAAAAACCTGTGGAAACCTGTGGAACTTATCAACTCTTTTTAAAACTTCAAGTAGCTCCAAATAAGAGGTACCTATTTCCTTTGATATTTATCCAAGTATATCATGACAGGAGACAACTCCATCATGAGTTTATAGGGGCATTCATTATTCAGCTGTTACTGTGGTTGGGTAAAACACAACAACAATTAGTGAAATATAATGAGAAATGTGTATACAGCAGGACTTTGTGAACAGTCAAAGGCATTGTGATCAGTCACACAACAGTCAATCAAATAATCAGATGCCCTAAGCAATCAAACATAAAATAACACAGAATTAAATAAATACTTTGTTAAAAATATATATATGTGAAAGGATTTTCAGGAAAATAGAGATCTTCTTATACAAATGTAATAACAAAGGTAAAAGGTCAAAGACGCAGGTGGTTGATCCACATTTGGAAATAGTTTGTGCTATAACAGGCAGTGCCTTGAGAGGCTTTGAGTTGCAGTACTGTTAATCTCAATGGGAAATAGAACTGTTATAAACCCTTTTTGGTAAGTGGTGGTTTTCAGTGCATTAAAGCTCATCTATATTTATCATCCCAAATAGTCCAAATAAAAAAAGAAAACATACAGGAGCTTTTTCACAACCAAGTATCAATGTGGTACAAAATGTATATATCAAATACATGTCCATACTTGTTTCCATTCCAGTCAGTATTGAGTCACAGTAGCACAGGCACATCTCATGTGCTTAAACCCTGCGCTGTAGCCAGGGTCTGGCTCAGGTCAATGTTGGCCAAAGTTGGTGACAAGTCAGTGGGGCTGGTAGGGGAGTGGAGGATGTCACAGTCAAAGTTCTGGAAGTAGTCCATAGACAGGCCTCGCATGGCTTTGGCTAGACGATCAGGATGGTTCTTCAGTTCTAGAATTAGTTCAACAGGTCTCTTCTGTAGCAGCTGAGAGTCAAAGGAAGTGCCACGGAAAAATGTCTGCCTTTTGAAGCGCTCCAGGCTACGCAGGCGATGAGCTGGGTTCTTGCATAGGAGCTGGAGTCACAAACAGGATAGAGAAAGAAAGAAAGAAGAGCATTGAGAATTTGTTGATATTCTGTTTAAAAGGTGAATGTGTTTCCCAATCTGAGACAATCCCACTACAGATGACCTCTGACCTCTGTGAGCAGAAGGGCCAGTGCAGGGTTGAAGGTCTTGGGCATGGAGTATGGGCAGTCTCTGACCTTTCTCAGCATGTTGCAGTGGTCTGGCTCTGGAGGCACAGGGAACTATGGAGGTGTCATGGACAGAATTAGCATCAACAACATCTCTAGACGAGCATTTAGATTTGCATGACAGGACTGAGATTAAAAGAAGAAGAAAAACAACCTTTCTAACAACTATTAAATCATCACATATTCAGTTAATTAAGATGATGAACTGTGGTGGTGACAGCACCTTTCCAGTCACCAATGAGAACAACAGAACGCCGAGAGACCACCAATCAGCAGCATGGCTGTAGGGACCCCCACTCAGGACTTCAGGAGCTGTTCAGACAGAGGACCATCACAGTGAGATTATAATAGGTGCTTAATGTGTAGTGACCATTAACTTTGCCTGATCCCAAGCATCTCACCCATATATTGGATTGTCCCACAAATTGTAAATGCTCTTGCGCCACGCTCAAGACGGCGAGAGAGTCCAAAGTCAGTTAAACGCAGATGACCTGCATCAAATAGATACAGTAGTATTTTACATACAGTACTTCACAAATCCAATTCCGTTTTTTCTACCTGACAAATATGAAGCTTAAACTAGTTTCACTATAAACCGATATCTTCCAGAATATTCCATACAACAACAATCCTGAAGTGTCCACTGTATTATAAGGCCCTCTATTGTTCTCTTATATTTTATTGCAGTAGAAAGTAAACTAAACCCTACGTAAAATGTATGCATGTGTAAAAGACATCACGCTGCTTGCTTAGCGAGTACTACTTCCTCCCGATTCGGCCCATACCTGGCACGAACTCAGAATCTCTGCCTCACAAACACGTGACCGTCCTCCCTCAAGTGTCTTAGCCAATCACGCCACCTCAAAAGACAGCTAATGAGGTGACACAAGCGGGACACTAAAGGCTGTTTCACACATCCCCATGTGCTACACATGCATGACTAAGTTGCTTTGGATAAAAGTGTCTGCTAAATGGCATATATTATATATTAATATATAATTTAAGCTAGCATTACCTTGGTCAGACAGAAGGACATTCTCCATCTAAAAAATCCAGAAAAATCAGATGATTATAAACTTTTCTGTGAAGTTATAAATAAGTTATTTAGATGCAAGAAAGCATAAGTTATGTATAAAGTATAATGTTCATTATCAAACAAATGTTCATACCTTCACATCCCTATGCATGATCCCAAAGTCGTGAAGGAAACCTACCGATCAGACACACACATTATAATCCAAGTAAAGGTGAAACTTAAACAATGATTTCATACACATTTTGCAGAACTATATTGTGCATATACACACGAGGGACACTCACCCAAAGCACAGCCTAGCTCTGCAGCGAACACCCGAGCCTCATCCTCCCCAAACTGGCCCTTCAGTAACCAGTAGGTATACAGGTCTCCAGTACTGCAGTAGTCACACACTGTGGGAAGACAGACACAGTCACACACAATGATCTATCTTAGAACATAACAAGGCTATGCACAGTACACTGATCCAGGGCTGGGAGTAGATGACCCCTGCTGAAACACAAGCACTTGAAAAGGAAGGAGCAATGGAGGAGAGAAGCAATAGGAGAAAACGATCAATTGTCGGAAGTCACACAGTTGGACGTTTTTTAAGGCTGGGGGAAGCGTAGGAAGGGGTGATGCTGGGGAAGGAGCTAACTGTCAGTCAGAGACACAAATGAACTCAAACATGCCATTATCCACTAATAAGGGTGTTATTAATAAATCAAAGGAAGGGTAAACTGGTTCAGAAGCCACAGGAATGTATGCTACACCCTGAAATCTCAGTAGATGGCAGTATAATTCTTCAGACGAGTCATGGGGCTCAAACTGAGGGAGACAACACTGAATAGCAGCAAGGCCAGTCAATGCCATCGTAGACACTCCTGTTAGGGAGAGCGAGACAACCCACTGGGCACACACTGGTTGAATCAACGTTGTTTCCACGTCATTTCAATGAAATTACGTTGAACCAACATGGAATAGACGTTGACTTGATGTCTGTGCCCAGTGGGAAGCTCCTACGTGAGACACAGGGAGGGTAAAGAGAGGAGAGAATAAAACAAAGGGGAAGGAGGGATCTAGCTATATCACATTAGTCACTCACTAATGAAGAGGTGGCGCTGGGTCTGCCAGCAGTCCTGCAGATTGTGGAGGAATGGGTGGCTGACCTGCCGCTGCAACGCAACAGGCAACACACACAGCAGCAGCAACAGTGTGGATGTCAGCAAAGACACTCACTAGAACAATGTGATTTAGGAGGGATCTGAATGCAACCAGGTATCTTCAATGATGGCAAAGGTTGTTGTTTTTTATAGCAAAAGTTCCATGGGACCATGCTTGTTGTTGCACAGATGCTCATAGGGATAATTGTCATAGTCATTGTTATAGCTCAGTGAGTCATTGTTTCCAGCATGTTATCCCCTAAACTAAGTCAGGCCCTAAGCTAAAGCCTGCTCAGGATAGCAGCTTTCCAGGTCATCCTGCAGTGTGACCTACCTGAATGATGACCTCCTCCTTTGACTGTTCCAGGACCCCATGCTTCAGTATCTCAGACTTGGGTAAAACCTGTAGAGCAACACAATACAGGAACATTAAATACCGTGGGAATAGAATACACTAGATGTGTGTAGATGTCACATGAAATATAGTGCTGGTTAAATGTGATGTGGCAGGAGGCTGAGGAGAGATTCACCTTAACTGCATAAGTCTTCTCCTTCGACCTGTCCTTTACTTTCAAAATAGGACCAAAAGAGCCTTTGGCTATGAAGCCCAGGATCTGAATGTCATGGAGAGAAAGTGAGATTCAAATGTTGCAATATTATTAAACGTTAGTATCATTACAGGTAGGTTCCACCGTTTTTAATTTTATTTTTTACATCAGACAGACCATTACATAATTGATTCCCCCCACCCTGCTGAAGAGGCAGCATGAAAACATTTTCTTCAAACATTGATAACATCTGTGGTCCAAGTGTTCAATGCAAATGAAGTTAAGGAGGACTACCTGGAAATCGTCTTGCCCAGGGAATTTACGGTGTGGGAACTCAGGCAGAAAGATGGAGATCAAGCCAGGGAGAGTCCACCCCATGACAGGCTTCTGAGGGCTGTCTCCTGGGGGGAGGAGGTCCTCAGTAATTGGGGCTCCACTGCCGAGCACCATGCACTGTGTGGCCAGACCCGGTGGGCCAAGGTGGCGAATTCCATCAGTAAAGGATATTCCCATATTGGAGAGAAGGCCATGCCAGCGTCGTCTCTCTTGGCTTGGCACCTGTCTCTACATTGAGGACAACGGCTTTCGAATTAGTGATGGCTCTAATTATACGTAGTGCAAGTAACTACAGTTACTTTTTTAATTTTTATGTCAGACATCTCGAGGTTACTTACTGGCATATGCCACACTAGAATCATGCAGGACTAAATCAGCATTGGATAGAGGAGATACTGTATCATATGAAACCAAACATTTGCCAACATGCCAGATAAACAAACGAATGTTGAAAGATTCATTAATTTCTCATTAACTATATTTGGCCAGTTCCATGTGCCTCTGAAATGTAATTGTAAAATACTTACTTAAAATTGTATTTAAAAAAACATATTTTTCATTTGACATAGATGAATGAAATGTTTACTATTCTAATGCATATGCATAAATTAAAAACTGTTCAAATATATTGGCGCTTATCACCTGTTTCTATTCGCTGCACGCAGACGCACTTGTATCCATATGTCAATATTGTTGCGAGCCTACTATATAAATGTATCACTTATGTGGAACAGAATGTAGATTAATTAGCAGGCTAAATCAGTATACTGCGCAAACTGCCTAAATATGTGATAAAATCTGATAACTTCATAGGTGTAGGCTACGTCTGAAGATCTCTTACCTTTTGTTTACTTGAGTCGCTGCCCATCGAATTATTTGCTAAACCTCGATCAACCACACGTCATTATTTTCTAATTGGATAGTTTTAACATTTTACACTGCCTTGTAAAACATCGAGCGCACGTTGTTGACCCGCCATGACCGAGCGGCGCGCGGGGTGAGTTTGATCATCATCTCTAGCAACAAACGATAACCTCCCATTCGATGGTATTCTGCAGAAGGCGAAGTTCCGCTCCAGTTGAGCCTGTCATATGAATGATCAACCAGCCACTCACACTTCACTGGAAATAACGGCTAAAACCAAAACTACACATTTCTGTTAACCAATCACACATCTATTCATAATTACGAAATCAATTATAAATTGATGGTGTAGTGACCTTTTGAGAACATACAGTTGAAGTCGGAAGTTTACATACACCTTAGCCTAATACATTTAAACTCAGTTTTTCACAATTCCTGACATTTAATCCTAGTAAAAATTCCCTGTTTTAGGTCAGTTAGGATCACCACTTTATTTTAAGAATGTAAAATGTCAGAATAATAGTAGAGAGAATAATTTATTTCAGCTTTTATTTCTTTCATCACATTCCCAGTGGGTCAGAAGTTTACATACACTCAATTAGTATTTGGTAGCATTGCCTTTAAATTGTTTAACTTGGGTCAAACGTTTCAGGTAGCCTTCCACAAGCTTCCCACAATAAGTTAGGTGAATTTTGGCCCATTCCTCCTGACAGAGCTGGTGTAACTGAGTCAGGTTTGTAGGCCTCCTTGCTCGCACACACTTTTTCAGTTCTACCCACACATTTTCTATAGGATTGAGGTCAGGGCTTTGTGATGGCCACTCCAACACCTTGACTTTGTTGTCCTTAAGTCATTTTGCCACAACATTGGAAGTATGCTTGGGGTCATTGTCCATTTGGAAGACCCATTTGCGACCAAGCTTTAACTTCCTGACTGATGTCTTGAGATGTTGCTTCAATATATCCACATCATTTTCCTTCCTCATGATGCCATCTATTTTGTGAAGTGCACCAGTCCCTCCTTCAGCAAAGCACCCCCACAGCATGATGCTGCCACCCCCGTGCTTCACGGTTGGGATGGTGTTCTTCGGCTGCAAGGCACCCCCTTTTTCCTCCAAACATAACGATGGTCATTATGGGCAAACAGTTCTATTTTTGTTTAATCAGACCAGAGGACATTTCTCCAAAAAGTACGATATTTGTCCCCATGTGCAGTTGCAAACTGTGGCGGTTTTGGAGCAGTGGCTTCTTCCTTGCTGAGCAACCTTTCAGGTTATGTCGATATAGGACTCGTTTTACTGTGGATATAGATACTTTTGTACCCGTTTCCTCCAGCATCTTCACAAGGTCCTTTGCTGTTGTTCTGGGATTGATTTGCACTTTTCGCACCAAAGTACGTTCATCTCTAGGAGACAGAACGCGTCTCCTTCCTGAGCGGTATGACGGCTGCGTGGGCCCATGGTGTTTATACTTGCGTACTATTGTTTGTACAGATGAACGTGGTACCTTCTGGCGTTTTGAAATTGCTCCCAAGGATGAACCAGACTTGTGGAGGTCTACACATTTTTATTCTGAGGTCTTGGCTGATTTATTTTGATTTTCCCATGATGTCAAGCAAAGAGGCACTGAGTTTGAAGGTAGGCCTTGAAATACATCCACAGGTACACCTCCAATTGACTAAAATGATGTCAATTAGCCTATCAGAAGCTTCTAAAGCCATTACATTTTCTGGAATTTTCCAAGCTGTTTAAAGGCACAGTCAACTTAGTGTATGTAAACTTCTGACCCACTGGAATTATAAGTGAAATAATCTGTCTGTAAACAATTGTTGGAAAAATTACTTGTGTCATGCACAAAGTAGATGTCCTACCAGACTTGCCAAAACTATAGTTTGTTAACAAGAAATGTGTGGAATGGTTGAAAAACGAGTTTTAATGACTCCAACCTAAGTGTATGTTAACTTCCGACTTCAACTGTACATGATACATTCAGCTATAAGAGACATTAGAACATCTATTTTATTGACAAACATTTATAGTTACATGCATGGTGACAAAGAAAGAGTTAAAGAAACAATTAATTTCATTGAGCTATAACAAATGTTTCTTGAAATATTTAGACAAATATTTGACATCTTGCACTTTAAGGAAGCTAACTGAATAACAAACTCAGCAGGTACAGTTGTAATTGTAAAAAATTACCATGGTTACAAAAATATCTGAAAATACTTTGCTTAAAAAGTGCTGTAGTGTTAAAATTATAAAACATTAGAGACAAGCTGCAACAAAATTACTTTTGCAGAGACTATCAAAGCTGTCAGAATAAGTGCCATAACATAGAAAACAACAAGGACATATTGTTGCTGCTCGGTTGTGATATATTGTTATATTGCTGTTAATCGCACAGATATGTTGAGGGACTACAGTGTAAAACAGAAGTCTGCTGTGGCATATATTGTTGGAGAAGTCTCATGCAGGGTACAAAATGATATATTTTACAGGGATGCACTTTCCAGTCAGTGTGACTGTATCATACAGACTTGTGTAAAATCCCAACACTATAATAAAAGCATAAGGCTACTATTTGTTTAACACTTTTTTGGTTACTACATGAGTCCATATGTGTTATTTCATAGTTTTGATTTCTTCACTATTATTCTACAATGTAGAAAATAGTACAAATAAAAATAGTACAAATAAAGAAAAACCCTTGAATGAGTAGGTGTCCTAAAACTCTTGACTGGTTGTGTATATCATTACAGTACTAGTGAATCAGGTATTTCTAACTGTTGCAACAGACAGCATTTCTATTTTTACATTTACGTCATTTAGCAGACGCTCTTATCCAGAGCGACTTACATGAGCAATTAGGGTTAAGTGCCTTGCTTAAGGGCACATCGACCAGATTGTTCACCTAGTCGGCTCGGGGATTAGAACCAGCGACCTTTCGGTTACTGGCACAACACTCTTACCCACTAAGCTACCTGCCGCTCTATGGTTGTCAAGGTACTTTCATTTGAGATAAATGTTTTACAATCTACCTTATTTACATTTGCTTGAGGATACAGTATTCCTGAACCAGCAGGAAACGATGCTCTGAACAAGTCACATTATTTGCATCTTAAAATGGCATCCTATCCCTTATATAGTGCACTACTTTGGCATCCTATCCCCTAATGTAGTGAACTATATAGGTAATAGGGTGCTATTTGAGACACAACCATAGTCAACATATAAACTATGAAATGTTCTAATTGATTTAAAGGGGAAAGAGCAGACAGTGAAACTAAAAAAATAGCCATCACCCCAGTCATGCTATTAATGCAACAAGTATAGGCTGCTCATTCTGAAAGTTCAGGACCATGCGTGAAGCCTCTTAGAATAGGAGTGCTGATCTAGGGTCAGTTGTGACTTTTAGATCATCACAAATACAAAGAACAGGGAGGGTCAGGATCAGTCCTGGCACTGTTTTATTATCAGTCTCTCTGCCCCATAATGACCTGCAGCTCCATCTCCACATGCATACAGTATTTGACAATGTCAAGTGTCATCAGATAACACACTAGTAAAGGCAGTCTGACCTCTCCATGATTCCATGGGCTGGGGAGTGTGCTACTGTAGCTGCCATAGTCTGCATCCCAAAATGGCACCCTATTCTCTATACAGTGCACTACTTCTGACCAGGAAACATAGGACCCTGGTCGAAAGTAGTTCACTATGTAGGGTATAGGGTGCCATTTCAGACACTGCCATAGACTAGAGCGCAGTGGTCCAGTACAGTACTGGTTCAGTGGAAGTGAATGTAGGCCTGTCGGTCACTTGCGTCGGCTGAAGATGCCCTTCTTGCTGGAGCTCTTGTCTGAGCTGCTGAGACCGATGAGGAGTCGGGCCTTCTCATCCCCCTCCTGCTGCTGCATGCTCGTGTCGGACTTCCCCTCAAACGCCTTGCCCCGAGAGTCAGAGCCCGACGCCGGCTTCAGACGCAGCTTCTCCTTTATCATCTACACAGAGAGGGAGGGGGAGGAAACACATGTCAACCACATATAAAATAACATGTGGTTCAAGAACTCCTTTACATTTAAGTCATTTAGCAGACGCTCTTATCCAGAGCGACTTACAGTTAAGTGAGTGCATACATTTTCATACTGGCCCCCCGTGGGAATCGAACCCACAACCCTGGCGTTGCAAACGCCATGCTCTACCAACTGAGCTACATCCCTGCCGGCCATTCCCTCCCCTACCCTGTACGACGCTGGCTAATTGTGCGCCGCCCCATGGGTCTCCCGGTCGCGGCCGGCTACGACAGAGTCTGGATTCGAACCAGGATCTCTAGTGGCACAGCTAGCACTGAGATGCAGTGCCTTAGACCACTGCGCCACCCGGGAGACCTTTATCGTCTATGGATGGGAAAAGGAAAACATGAGAAATATATAGGACATATGACTGAAGTCAACTATAAATAGTTCTATATTGTGACATATAAAAATAGCTTTAGGCAGGGATTGGCATTTTGGCAGCTTGGACCATCACCATTTTTACATTCATTTTTTTTTGCCATCTAACTGCTACTGTAGGACATGGATGTGTTGGTAATGGAAGGGGCCAGGGTTCTGTGCAGTACGGAACAGGATGAAGTTGCCCCTACATGCTGACCCTGGGTTTTGCATTTTCCCCACTAATGGTCAAGGGGGAGGGGAGGCTGATCCTAGATCTGTATCTAGGGGGAACTTTACCACGCAGTGGTTGGGTTAGTAATAAGCGGGACAGGGTGCAGTGCAGTACCTGTGCTACCAGGGCTTTCCTGCTGTCCCTCTTCACAGCCATGGCAAAGTCCAGCCAGGTCCACGTGTTGTTGTGGTACTCCAGACAAGGCAGAACCAGGTTCAGATCCTTCCAGTCAACACTGTTTTTCTCTCCCTATGTGGACACACAAGCACACAATACATAATGAAACTACATTGTCTGGGAGTTAAAAAGTACAACAGTTGTTCATACAATCCTGTTTTTGATTCTGTTACAATCCTGATGAGAAAATAGGATTCAATAATCATGCCTTCATGACATGTCTGTGTGTGTGTTCATTGATCTCCTGTTTAATGATATTACATATTTATATACGAATATTACATTTTCAATATTAAAAATGTACATTTATTAAACATTTACTTAAATCAGCTATGAAAAAGGATTGAAACCCCATGGTTGATAATACCAAGCATTATGTAATCTGGAAGTCAAGATAATGCCGTCATTGGAAAATAACGATTATTTTGCAAATCCCTGAAGACATGCAATTGAAAATCTGAGAGGGATTAAAAATGGCATCCATGTCACAAACAAGCCAACAGTGTGAGATGGTTTACATATACAAACAGCTAAAACACATGACAACACACCAGATGTTGAGGTATTTTTTCAGTCTGAGAACAAAACATGTGTGACCTGATGACATCTCTCTGTATCTAATAATGGCTGAGTGAGATTAAACATCTCCCTTCGGGGGAATGTTTATTTATGAACTCACTGACACAACGACATGTATATAGAATCAACAACTGGCTTGAATCCAAGCATTGAGTACCGTTGTACTTTAGCTAGTTCCAAAATCCTGGCAAATTCCCAGATTTTCCAGAAATCCTGGTTGGACGATTCCTGGAATCAGGAGGGAATGTGCAGGAAATACGGGAATCATCCAACTGGCATTTCTGGAAAATTACCAGAATTTTGCTACCCTTAACACATGGTGATACCTGCCTTGTAGCTGACACAGAGGGGAACCTGGGGGATCTTGATGTAGATGAACGAGTTATTCATGGCTGCTCTCTCCTTCATCTTGTCAATGTCATCTACAGGATGCTAGATAGAGAAATAAGACATACTTCAGTTTCAATACGGTATGAAAGATCTAAGGCTGCGTCTGTAATGGCACCCTAATCCTCATCATAGTGCAATACTTTTGACCAGGGCCCATAGAGCTCTGCTCAAAAGTAGTGCACTATATAGGGTACAGGATGCCATATCTGAAGCAGCCTAACTTTAACGAGAAAGTTGGGAAGTGCTTGTGAAAACAACGAGCCAATTCCACCAGCAGATGTAGCTGGGTGGCAAAGTAGTATGGCAGTATGAACATTTGGGGATACATCAACACATAAAGATGAATCTTTTCCCATTTCTCATTAAAAAAACACAACAAATACCTCAACAGCCTTTCGGAAGGACCTCCTGACCCCAGAGGTGCGGTTCAAGCCCTGGGTGACCCCTTTGCTGGGGCCCATGACCCCCATGGTGTCCTCTGAGAGCTGCCTAGGCTTGGTGACAGGCATGCCTGAGATACAAATTACAATAAAATCATTTAGAACACACGTGTCAAACAAGGCCCGCGGGCCGAATCCGGCCCATGACACATTTCTATCCAGCCCACGCAATGATTTGGGTTGTCAAATCATTTTGGCCCGCTTCCATACAGCCCGCAATGCGCTGTACTACACGTCACAGCAAGCACTGCCAACGTGCTACACGTCCAACTGCAGTGCATTGCCACACAAACACCCCTCTTCCCAGACCCACTCACGAGGCACGAACCAGCCAATGCACTGTATCATATCGGCACTAATGGTACTGACTGAATCTTCTACCAGACCTAATGTTTAAATGTGTTGTAGGCTAAATGTCCATGCCAAGAAACTGTCATCTTGGTTGTCAAAAAGTTACAAGATAAAGGATTCACAAGCGGGTATAAATTACTATTAAAATAGACAATAGGACACACAAGCGAGTATAAAATGACTCAACGGTTGAGTGATCTACTTTATGAAATTACAGCCTGATGCGCTTGCAACCGTGAATTCAAAGGTGAATTCAATGTCAATTGCGCTGCTTTCGTGTGTCCCGTTTACAGCGGAGGGAAAGTGTACGGACACATGACTAGGGTGACCACATTTAAAATACCCAAATGCGAGACAACAGGATGATTTTGCGGGACAGTGTAGCCTACATGAATAAAAACATGTGGCAGCATTTGCATAAGCATTTAGATCTGCCTATTGGCGTGCTGTTGAGTTTTGGCCACATATTTTCTTTGTACCATTCAGCTAACCATCCTAAAATGTCAATTAGGTGGTGTTTTTGGTGTAATAGTAACATACTATGCTACTATATTTGATTCTGTTATGTAGAATACTAATGAATCATTATGTGATCTTCCAAGACATTGATTCAACTTTGATCTAACTTTACTAAACGAGCACCAATGTGAGAGGAGTGGCAGAGCGACACACCGGTGTGCTCTGGCAGCACTACAGCCTTGCAGTCTGCTGCACCGAACGAGCAATTGAAGAGTAGCCAACTCTTTTGCCTTGCGTAACATTTGGTGAATATCTGGGAATATTTGGCCAAGGAAACATTTCTGGTTGGTCTCAGGAAATGTAAAACACTTAGCATGGGAGACTTTTAAAATGGGGTTGAGTGAAGTAGCAGCAAATATGTTGAATGAGCAACTAATGAGCATGGAGCCTCACAAATTTGGTGATATTACCATATATCTTTCAGTCTAATATGGCTATTTGTAACTATTCATTAGAAGCATGCTTTCTGTAAGTACTTAGGAGGCCTAACTGTCCTCTCCAAGTTTAGCTGGAATTTAGCCCGAAAGGATTTGAGAAAGATTGGTTGACGATAGGCACATATGGCATCCTATGTATACATAAGTGGACATTATAAAAAGGGCCATCAGGGCCATATTTATTCAAATAAAACAATTGCCAGTTTGGGTCGCACTTGTATAAAAACAAACATAATAGGCAATGTCTGGCCTGTGAATTAGTTGTTTTTTCAATATGGCCCTGATTGAGTTTGACACCCCTGATTTAGAATATGCTTTTATCAAGATTGACTTACAGTCAGTGCACTCAACTAAGTTTAGTAGGAAAAACAACCACATATCACAGTAATTGCAAGTTATTACACCCATTGAAATAGCCGCAATCAGCAGAACCAGTGCCAGGAAGAAAAACAAGTGTGGATGTGAGTGCAAGAAAGACAGCAGCAGCATCAGCAGCATGGCCTCTGAATGACTCTACAGAGTCCACACCCTATACTCCTCTAACTCTCCAAAATGGCACCCTATCCCCTTTATAGTGCACTACTTTTGACCAGGGCCCATAGTGCACTATGTAGGGAATAGGGTGTCATGTGGGACACACCCTCTCACACAGCCCTCAAGGTCACACTAGACCCAGGCTTTTAATAGACACCAGGGGTGACACAGCAACTAGCAATCCAATACTACACAAGAGTTGGCAGACAATGGAAACTAATATTGATTGGTTGGGTGGAGCGAAGTGTGGATTTCAGGCTGGTCAACATGTATATGATGGATGGAGACTTGAGGGCAAGTGAAAGTATTTAGTAAAGCATAACTGTTGCACATCAATAACTGGTAAGTAAGTAAGCCTTGTCCGAGTCAGAATGGCCCATAGGGCAGGCACCCAGCTTCTGTTTCTGTAGCTTGATGTACAGTGAGGGAAAAAGGTATTTGATCCCCTGTTGATTTTGTACGTTTGCCCACTGACAAATAAATGATCAGTCTATAATTTTAATGGTAGGTTTATTTGAACAGTGAGAGACAGAATAACAACAAAAAAATCCAGAAAAACATGTCAACAATGTTATAAATTGATTTGCATTTTAATGAGGGAAATAAGTATTTGACCCCCTCTCAATCAGAAAGATTTCTGGCTCCCAGGTGTCTTTTATACAGGTAACGAGCTGAGATTAGGAGCACACTCTTAAAGGGAGTGCTCCTAATCTCAGCTTGTTACCTGTATAAAAGACACCTGAAGCAATCAATCAATCAGATTCCAAACTCTCCACCATGGCCAAGACCAAAGAGCTCTCCAAGGATGTCAGGGACAAGATTGTAGACCTACACAAGGCTGGAATGGGCTACAAGACCATCGCCAAGCAGCTCGGTGAGAAGGTGATGCGAATATTCGCAAATGGAAGAAACACAAAAGAACTGTCAATCTCCCTCGGCCTGGGGCTCCATGCAAGATCTCACCTCGTGGAGTTGCAATGATCATGAGAACGGTGAGGAATCAGCCCAGAACTACACGGGAGGATCTTGTCAATGGTCTCAAGGCAGCTGGGACCATAGTCACCAAGAAAACAATTGGTAACACACTACGCAGTGAAGGACTGAAATCCTGCAGCGCCCGCAAGGTCCCCCTGCTCAAGAAAGCACATATACAGGCCCGTCTGAAGTTTGCCAGTGAACATCTGAATGATTCAGAGGAGAACTGGGTGAAAGTGTTGTGGTCAGATGAGACCAAAATCGAGCTATTTGGCATCAACTCAACTTGCCGTGTTTGGAAGAGGAGGAATGCTGCCTATGACCCCAAGAACACCATCCCCACCGTCAAACATGGAGGTGGAAACATTATGCTTTGGGGGTGTTTTTCTGCTAAGGGGACAGGACAACTTCACCGCATAAAAGGGACGATGGACGGGGCCATGTACCGTCAAATCTTGGGTGAGAACCTCCTTCCCTCAGCCAGGGCATTGAAAATGGGTATTCCAGCATGACAATGACCCAAAACACACAGCCAAGGCAACAAAGGAGTGGCTCAAGAAGAAGCACATTAAGGTCCTGGAGTGGCCTAGCCAGTCTCCAGACCTTAATCCCATAGAAAATATGTGGAGGGAGCTGAAGGTTCGAGTTGCCAAACGTCAGCCTCGAAACCTTAATGACTTGGAGAAGATCTGCAAAGAGGAGTGGGACAAAATCCCTCCTGAGATGTGTGCAAACCTGGTGGCCAACTACAAGAAATGCCTGACCTCTGTGATTGCCAACAAGGGTTTTGCCACCAAGTACTAAGTCATGTTTTGCAGAGGGGTCAAATACTTATTTCCCTCATTAAAATGCAAATCAATTTATAACATTTTTGACATGCGTTTTTCTGTATTTTTTTGTTGTTATTCTGTCTCTCACTCTTCAAATAAACCTACCATTAAAATTATAGACTGATCATGTCTTTGTCAGTGGGCAAACTTACAAAATCAGCAGGGGATCAAATACTTTTTTCCCTCACTGTACAAGTACACCGCCTGGACAGGATGCTAGTAGGTAGTCCCAATACATACCAGTGGTGACCATTCGGGACTTGTCCTCCTCATCAGCAACTTCCTCCTCCTCCACATTCCTTCCTGGGAAGAAGAATCCCATCATCCTTTTGAAGAACTGGTACATGAGCTGGATGGTGAGAGGAACCACGTTCACCTGGTGACACAAACACATTACAACAGAGAAACACGTCTAACTGCATGCTCCCAATGCTTTCATAATTAAATGTTATGATCACATGTTAATACATCTTCAATGTTATGATCACATGCTTCCTCCTCACCTCAAAGTGCTCCTTGACTGAGATTCCTCCCACTGGGGGCCGGACCTTACTGAAGATGCGCAGGCCAAACTGCCGGCCGGACTGACACGGGCTCTGAGGACGCAACACCACCTAGGAGACAGCTTTCATGAAGCTAAGTCACAACACAGAGGCTGCATCCCAAATGGCACCAAAAGTAGTGCACTATATAGGGAATATGGTGTCATTCGGGATGCAGACAAAATAATCACTGGAATAATGCCATGCTCCTAACCGCTGACTCATGACGCAACCCAAAAAGATGTTTCATGTAATGTAGGAAACCAATTTAATTCAGAATACAGTATATTCTGTAAAGACAATACAATTCATCTGAAATGTGTCCATACAGCATGAATGGTGTGCAGGAGGATACATGAATCAATTCACAGCTACATGGATTTTTCCTCCTAAATATCCCATATGAACGGGAAAACAAACATGACTCAGACAGCGATGTAAGGCATGGTACCGTACAGCATTCAGATGACGGTGCAAATGCAATGAGGAGCACGCAAAAAGAGGAAGGACTGTGTAGGTGGGCATTGGAGTGACCCAGTCCCATGGTGGACATGCAATGCTGAATAACAAAGGCTCAGTCCCAAATGGCACCGTATTCTGTTAATAATGCACTACTATTAACCAGGGCCCATGGGACTCTGGTCAAAAGTAGTGCACTATATAGGGAATAGGGTGCCATTTGGGACACACCCATAATATTCTGAGTGAGATTTCCGTGATGCTGACTGGATGATGAACAGTATGGTGTCAACAGTGACATGAACTCCCAGTTACTGTACCAGCACCATACATACCCTCACATGCTGCACAGGGGAAACCAAGTAGCGTTATCAACACAAGCAAACACTGCTTTAGAGGTCTTTGTGAGCACAACATGTTTGGTGCAACATGGCCTGGAACCATTGGATCAGTAACAGCAGAAGATGGAAACTTCTTGTTTCTGACAAAATATTGAAGAAACTAAACAAAAAGGCTTGCCCTATCAGAGATCCCTTTTAGAGGCAATATCTGTAAGCTTCACAGGTTCATAGCTCCACCTGTTGTAAAAATGTATCCAAAGGATACACGGATTGAGCTGCAGACTGCCCTTACCAAAGAAAAAGTCAGAGATGAGCACTATTTCCTGACCTTGTATGCAGCGTTGGGGAGCAGGTTGTTCATGGTGAACCAGCCCAGTTCCAGGAGATGCTCTGCTGTGTCGTCTGACTTGTTCAGCTGTGGGAGACAGTTTAACAGATGTTTAGCGTCAACATCAGGGCCCGCATTCATAAAGCGTCTCAGAGTAGGAGTACTAATCTAGGATCAGGTACCCAGTCTATAAAATCTTATTCATTACTATCTAAAAGGCAAAACGGATCCTATTTCAGCACTCCTAATCTGATACTTTTTGTGAATATGGGCCCAGCTCTCTAGCCGAAGCACAGTATCAAAAGAGTTAGGGTAATCTCCTTGTTAGGACAGAGCAGCAGTGTCCTCCCTGTCCTGTGCCCACCCACCTTGCTGTACATGAACCTCTGCAGCTCCAGTTCAGCGATGCCCAGCTGTCCATCCTCCTCAGTGAGACACCAGCGGGCCTGGGCAAAGCAGATCTCTGTCCTGCGAACCACACTCACGTCCTCCGGGGGCTTACGCAGCTCCAGTTTATTGGCCCTCTGCAGCTGGAAGTCTTTAAAACATCTGGGAGCAGAGAGAGACATACAGGGAAAAACTAGTCAGTATTCTTAGGAAGTATCTCAGAACTTCCCATGGTTGGCCGAGTAGTTTTCCTAGTCATTGAAATTATGGTGTGTGTGTGGCGGTGTTGGGCTGACCTGATGAGGATGTTGAGCTCCTCACTCTTCATCTGCATGTCAGTCTTCTCCTGGTTGAGCTGGTTCTGCAGCCTCACGTTGATCTCTGACAGCTCATCTCCTCTCAGCTCCTCAGGCTGGGCCTGGGGGAGGTCACACACCACACAGGTCAAATACACACTTAGTGGGGTTCATAACACAGGGATGTGTTTTATTCCCTCTCTAGATTATAATTGAATAAAGTAAAACTAGATCGAATACAACTGTATCGTCCCTCCCAGAGGAATTACCTTCACCTTTGGTTTTCACCTCACAAGTAACAGTGCTGAAATCAGTGTCAGTCTGTCCAATGGCTCACCCTGATATTGGAGTAGATCTGTTTCTCCAGGCGTCTGATCTGGGCCACATGCTGCCTGACGGCCTCCTGCAGGTGTAGAATGCTGCTGCGCTGCTCCTCTGGGTTACTGGAGATCTCCAGCTGGAAACGCACTCGCTGCTTCTTCTCACTGTGTTCCTGGGGACAGACCCCCCACACAACATGGTCAGAGGGTAGGACGGGATGCATCCCAAATGGCACCCTATTCCCTATTTTTCCTATTTAGAGCCCTGGTCAAAAGTAATGCACTACATAGAGAATATCATGCCATTTGGGACGCATAAGGGACTTGTACAGTGCAGAGACTTCAGCTGTCATACAGTAAAGGGTGAATCCAAACTTTCACTCAAGTAACATTTTCACTGACCTCAATGCATGACTAAGTGAAAATTCGACTTAAGTGGAAGTTAGGATTTGCCCCGTATACAGTTGCAAATGCTATAGGACAAAACACTGCCTAGTCAGATATTGAGGCATCTCGTTACCTTGCGTTTGGGCTCAACGTGCAGCAGTAGGTTGTTGACGATGTCCAGGATCATAGCATACTGCACAGGGTTGGTGGAGATCTCCAGGTCATGGTGAATGAGGGTGAAGGTGTCCACAGCCCCTGATAGTGCAGTGGGGGGGGAAGACAAAGTTGAAGGGCTCAAGCCTTTACACTCAATAACAACACAGCAAGATTGTCAGCATGTTCTGACACTGTATTTGAGGATGTCGGTTGCCTCGCAGAATAAAATAGAACACTAGAATGGACTTTGGCATCCAAACAACAGGACAAAACAATTCAGGAAAACGTTAATTATAGATACTGATACAAAAAAATTATTGTATAAAACAGTGCATTATATGAGCTCTATGGGTTGCCTTACCAGCTTGTTTTTTCAGCAGGTCTTCCTTCTCGTTGCGCCGTACCTCTGGGGGTTTGATCTGCGTGGCCAGCTCAGGGTCGATGTCGTGGCTGTAGCCGATATAGTACATGCGACAGCTGCAACGAGAGATGATACGCTGGACCTGCTGGGTGTCATTCACCTGGGCCGGCTGGTTCCAGTCTGGATACACAGAACAAAGAGGAAGTGTTACATTTACTTTGACACATAATTTGTATGATCATAATCATAAAATCATCATCATCATCATCACGTGGCACTTTCTTAGGACCTTTTTAACTACAGAACATAGAAATGTGGAGTTTACACATAACTCAGCAAAAAAAGAAACGTCCTCTCACTGTCAACTGCGTTTAATTTCAGCAAACTTAACATGTGTAAATATTTGTACGAACATAACAAGATTCAACAACTGAGACATAAACTGAACAAGTTCCACAGACATGTGACTAACATAAATGGAATAATGTGTCCCTGAACAAAGGGGGGGTCAAAATCAAAAGTAGCATTCAGTATCTGGTGTGGCCACCAGCTGCATTAAGTACTGCAGTGCATCTCCTCCTCATGGACTGCACCAGATTTGCCAGTTCTTGCTGTGAGATGTTACCCCACTCTCCCACCAAGGCACCTGCAAGTTCCCAGACATGTCTGGGGGGGGGAATGGCCCTAGCCCTCACCCTCCGATCCAACAGGTCCCAGACGTGCTCAATGGGATTGAGATCCGGGCTCTTCGCTGGCCATGGCAGAACACTGACATTCCGGTCTTGCAGGAAATCACCCACAGAACGAGCAGTATGGCTGGTGGCATTGTCATGCTGGTGGGGTCATGTCAGGATGAGCCTGCAGGAAGGGTACCACATGAGGGAGGAGGATGTCTTCCCTGTAACGCACAGCGTTGAGATTGCCTGCAATGACAACAAGCTCAGTCCGATGATGCTGTGACACACCGCCCCAGACCATGACAGACCCTCCACCTCCAAATCGATCCCGCTACAGAGTACAGGCCTCAGTGTAACGCTCATTCCTTCGACGATAAACGCAAATCCGACCATCACCCCTGGTGAGACAAAACCGCGACTCATCAGTGAAGAGCACTTTTTGCCAGTCCTGTCTGGTCCAGCGACGGTGGGTTTGTGTCGGTGATGTCTGGTGAGGACCTGCCATACAACAGGCCTACAAGCCCTCAGTCCAGCCTCTCTCAGCCTATTGCGGACAGTCTGAGCACTGATGGAGGGATTGTGCTTTCCTGGTGTAACTCTGGCAGTTGTTGCCATCCTGTACCTGTCCCGTAGGTGTTATGTTCGGATGTACCGATCCTGTGCAGGTGTTGTTACACGTGGTCTGCCACTGCGAGGACGATCAGCTGTCCGTCCTGTCTCCCAGTAGCGCTGTCTTAGGCGTCTCACAGTACGGACATTGCAATTTATTGCCCTGGCCACATCTGCAGTCCTCATGCCTCCTTGCAGCATGCCTATGGCACATTCACACAGATGAGCAGGGACCCTGGGCATCTTTCTTTTGGTGTTTTTCAGAGTCAGTAGAAAGGCCTTTTTAGTGTCCTAAGTTTTCATAACTGTGACCTTAATTGCCTACCATCTGTAAGCTGTTAGTGTCTTAACGACCGTTCCACAGGTGCATGTTCATTAATTGTTTATGGTTCATTGAACAAGCATGGGAAACAGTGTTTAAACCCTTTACAATGAAGATCTGTGAAGTTATTTGGATTTTTACAAATTATCTTTGAAAGACAGGGTCCTGAAAAAGGGACGTTTATGTAGACACTGGTATGGTGCTGGAGATAATGAATATGAGGAATTCCCCTTTAAGGAAAGATTCAGATCAAGTTGAGATTTTCAGCTTTGTAGGGCCAGGGTTTAAATACAGTGCATTCTATGAAGTAGAAGTATGTGTGAGGAGCAGCAGTACCTGTGGTAGTGCTGACCATGCCTCCAACAGCCTGGCCACTCTCCATCAGCTCCAGCACTGAGTCCAGGTGACGCTGCCTGCGCTCCTCAATGTTTTTCACCTGCAGACGCACCATGCACAACCAAAGAAAAGACACCCTGTCAAAGCTGTGACAGCAACCTGAATCTGAAAGATTAACTGCACAAAAACGCTCTCTGTTACGCACCTACTACAGAAATACTCTGTCATGCAACTTGGACTTGAGCCTGAATGTAAGCCATCATGAGCCATATGCAACACATCACCATTTAATGCTACAGAAGATAATTTATGGTAGTTCCTGTTAAAGCTGCAATATGTAACTTGTGAGAGTTATAGATCTGTCACTCTCATTGAAAGCAAGTTTAAGAAGCGTTAGACATGTTCTATATGCACTATTCCTATGCTTCCCCTTTAAGTTTCGTTTTTGCGTCTTACTTTCGTTTTATTTTACAGCTGAAAATACAATATTTTTGGTTATGGAAAATATATTTCACAGTGGTTCAGATGGTACAATGATTCTCTACACTATACTTGCATGCTTGCTTTGTCACAAACTGAAATTAGGCAAACTATTAGACATTTTGCAACCAGGAAATGGCAGAGCGATTTCTGCATAGTGCATCTTTAAGAGCCTGTTAATAATGGTTTCACTGGCCCACCTCAAGCCACAGCTGCCAGTCCTCCTGCTCTGAGGGGTTGGGCTCCATGGTGGCAAAGTACTGCATGCCGTCCAGCAGACAGGTCCAGGTGGTCTTCTGCTTGAGGGTGTCGCTGTACCAGGCCGGGTGGTGCTCACACTGCAGCAGCTGGGCCTTGGCAGCAGACACCAGCACGCAGCCAGCCGTCTCTGTGCCACGCAGCATCATCTACAGACAGACAGCAGGGCAGGATTATAACCCTGGAGACTGGAGTGTCACATGCTAAATAAAATGCTAGACTGGCAGAACATTTTAAATTAGAATGTTGCTAAAAATAGAACAGGTTCTGTTTTCAGTATAGCTAAGGATCCGAAATGATTGAGACGCAGAACATTGTTTCCATATTTGTCTTTGTCCAATAAGGTCCTATTAGCAAACATAAGTGTTACCTTCTGGGGCATTAAAAGTGTGATTGGCCCACTGCTCTTTACAATCTTAATCTGAGTTGCCATGAACCTAAACTTCCAGACTTGTGGTCAGTTGTACCTGACAGTTGACCAGCTCGATGAACCAGTTGCGGTTGTAGACGTCGTCTGTCTGGCAGGCAGCAATGCCACACAGCTGATCACTCACACCAGAGTCCTCCTCTGAGAACACCACAAACTTATCAGTCTCTTCAATTAGCTTCTGCAGCATGGACGTCCCTGCAGAGAGAGGAGGAAGGAAGAGTTGAAGAAACAGAGGTAGCAAATTATAACATTGAAAGACCATTCATGTGGCCTGGCTGGTCTAGCAGTAATGCTGCAGCCTCTGGCATACATATCTACAGTGTTGACATACGCTCGAAACTGGCCTAGTGGCCTTTGACACAACATCTCTCTTTCTTTACCCATTGTCATCCTCTCTCACTATCTGTTCAATAAAATCTGAAAATCCCTTAAAGATATACAGTACCAGTCAAAGGTTTGGACACACCTACTCATTCCAGGGATTTTCTTTATTTTTACTAATTTTCCACATTGTATAATAATAGTGAAGACATCAACACTATGAAATAACACATATGGAATCATGTAGTAACCAAAAAAGTGTTAAATCAAAAATATATGTTATTTGAGATTCTTCAAATAGCCACCCTTTGCCTTGATGACATCTTTGCACACTCTTTGCATTCTCTCAACCAGCTTCATGAGGTAGTCACCTGGAATGCATTTCAATTAACAGGTGTGCCTTCTTAAAAGTTAATTTGTGGAATTTAATTCCTTCTTAATGCGTTTGAGACAATCAGTTGTGTTGTGACAAGGTATGGGGGTATACAGAAGATAGCCCTATTTGGTAAAAGACCAAGTCCATATTATGGCAAGAACAGCTCAAATAAGCAAAGAGAAATGACAGTCCATCATTACTTTAAGACATGAAGGTCAGTCAATATGGAAAATGTGAAGAACTTTGAAAGTTTCTTCAAGTGCAGACGCAAAAACCATCAAGCGCTATGATGAAACTGGCTCTCATGAGGACCGCCACAAGAATGGAAGACCCAGGATAAGTTTATTAGAGTTACCAGCCCAAATAAATGCTTCACAGAGTTCAAGTAACAGACACATCTCAACATCAACTGTTCAGAGGGGACTGTGTGAATCAGGCCTTCATGGTAGAATTGCTGCAAAGAAACCACTACTAAAATGACACCAATAAGAAGAAGAGACCTGCTTGGGCCAAGAAACACAAGCAATGGACATTAGACCGGTGGAAATGTGTCCTTTGGTCTGGAGTTCAAATTTGAGATTTTTGGTTCCAACCTCTGTGTCTTTGTGAGACGCGGTGTGGGTGAACGGATGATCTCTGCATGTGTAGTTCCCACCGTTAAGCATGGAGGAGGTGTTATGGTGTGGGGGTGCTTTGCTGGTGACACGGTCCTGTGATTTATTTAGAATTCAAGGCACACTTAACCAGCATGGCTACCACAGCATTCTGCAGCGATACACCATCCCATCTGGTTTGGGCTTAGTGGGACTATCATTTGTTTTTCAACAGGACAATGACCCAACACACCTCCAGGCTGTGTAAGGGCTATTTTACCAAGAAGGAGAGTGATGGAGTGCTGCATCAGATGACCTGGCCTCCACAATCCCCCAACCTCAACTCAATTGAGATGGTTTGGGATGAGTCGAACGGCAGAGTGAAGGAAAAGCAGCCAACAAGTGCTCAGCATATGTGGGAACTCCTTCAAGACTGTTGGAAAAGCATTCCCAGTGAAGCTGGTTGAGAGAATGCCAAGAGTGTGCAAAGCTGTCATCAAGGCAAAGGATGGCTATTTTAAGAATCTCAAATATAAACTATATTTTGGTTGAACACTTTTTTGGTTTCTACATATGTGTTATTTCATCGTCTTCACTATTATTCTACAATGTAAAAAATAGTAAATATAAAGAAATACCCTTGAATGAATAGGTGTGCCCAAACTTTTGACTGGTAGTGTATATTTAAAAAGAAAATCACATGAAAGATCATTCATTCACAATGAGTTAGGCTGCACTTTGTTACTCCAGGGGAAACATCCTACCTTCGTGTTGACTCTTCTCAGGGCGGCTGGTGCTGGGCATGGTTGGGGTGGAAGGGGCTATGCTGGGGCCGCCGGAGTAGTTGGACAAAGAGCGCTTGAGCTTCTTGGCAGCTTGCAGTGTAGTGTCTATCCTCAGGCCCTTCAGAGCCTCTGTGGAGAGGTTCCTCTTGAGAACGGCTGCCTTCTTGTAGCCGTCGTACAAACCGAACGCTATGTTCCTGTTAGTGGTGGTCCAGGAGGCTCGCAGATCAACCAGGCACAGCTTGTGGGTGTAGGGGGCATTCGCCTCATCTTTTGGGTTCACCTCCTGCCACAATGAGAAATACAATTTATACGCTTCACGTTTTTACAAGAGATCTAGATACACCTTTTGACTGGAGAACTACAAATGAAGGGTTGAGATACAGAGCCAGAACAAATATAATTCATTTAAAGCTACTGTGTGTGTCCCACTTGCACATAGGGTGCAAATGGAGACGCAGCCTGTGCCATCAACTTTGGGGTGTCTACCATCCCCTCCCTGTTGTCTTACCTCCTCCATGCGGTTGCTCTGGCGCTGGTAACTGAGGGAGGACAGGCCGAGCAGGTGGGTCTTCTTCACCTGGGCGTTGATCTGGTGGTCGGCCGTCTCGTCCCAGGTGGAGGCCATGAGGTGCACCGTCATCAGGGACAGCTCCGACACCATCTGGGTCACGTTCCACTCCGAGATCAGCCTCCTCATCACTGTGCCCGCTGAGAGAACAGACAGACAGACAACACACACACAGTCGGGTTAGACCAACACGCAGGCTGCTCAACAACTCAGTCTCAAATTATACCCAATTCCACATACAGTGCACTACTTTAGACCAGATCCCAAGTAGTGCACTACTGTAAATGGAAGATGCAACCAATGAAACATTGGGCCTAAGACCATTGTGTGAATGTATAAATAGCAGGTGGCATTACTATGCCTGTGTTGTGTCCCCTCTTTTTACCCTGTGGGATGAGTCTCTGAGCCCCTCTGGTGAAGACGTGGCCTTTGCTGCACTCCACCTGGATGCCCCTCTGCTGAGCGAAGGAGGCCCAGTAATGCACCTGGGGAGGAGACACAAGGTCAAAGGCCAAATCTCAAATATCAGCACTCATAGGAGGTAACAAGACAATGCAAGTGACAGTGCGCTCTGAAAACATGGAATCAGTAATAAGAGATCAAATAAGCAGAAAGATGGAAGTCTTACAAATTTCCATTTGATCCTAAATTGACAATATAACTTTTATGCTTTGTTCTTGGGATGTAGGCTGAACATAAGCAGTGAGTGTATGCATCCCAAATAGCACCCTATTCCCTATATAGTGCACTACTACTGGTAAAAAGTAGTGCACTATAAAGGAAATAGGGTTCAATTTGGGACACAGCTTTAGTGTTGGTAATTTACTCACTTGTAGTTGAGGGAAGGCTGCTGTATAGGACATCTGTTTGTAGTGCTGGCCCAGCTTCTTACGGATGGGTCTGAGGCTGTGGAAGAGTTTGCCTCTGCAAATGGGTCTGGAAATGCTGGTCCAGGTGGCCCAAAAGTTCTGCATCCAGCGCAGGGTACTGCTGTACAGGAGGATTCTGGGTTGGCACGGCTCTGAGAGACAGAAACATAGGCATTCAATAAACAAACATTCAACATCAGAGCTAATGATTGTTTGATTATTCGTCTTGACTATTGCATCCAAGCTAAATATATAGACTTGATTTGACAAGTGTACATGTTGTCCCAAATGCGTTGGTGGAAAAAGTACCCAATTGTCATACTTGAGTAAAAGTAAAGATACCTTAATAGAAAATGACTCAAGTAAAAGTGAAAGTCACCCAGTAAAATACTACTTGAGTAAAAGTATAAAAGTACTTGGTTTTAAATATACTTAAGTATCAAAAGTAAAAGTAAAAGTATAAATCATTTCAAATTCCTTATAATTAAGCAAAGCAGACGGCATAATTGTCTTATTTTTTTAACTTACGGATAGCCAGGGGCACACGCCAACACTCAGACATCATTTACAAACGAAGCATGTGTTTAGTGAGTCCGCCAGATCAGAGGCAGTAGGGATGACCAGGGATGTTCTCTTGATAAGTGTGTGAATTGGACCATTTTCTTGTCCTGCTAAGCATTAAAATGTAACGAGTACTTTTGGGTGTCAGGGAAAATGTATGGAGTAAAAAGTACATAATTTTCTTTAGGAATGTATTGAAGTAAAAGCAAAAGTTGCCAATAATATAAATAGTAAAGTAAAGTACAGACACTCTATAAAACAACTTAAGTAGTACTTTCAAGTATTTTTACTTAAGTACTTTACACCACCGCCCAAATGACACCCTATTACCTACATTACTTACTTGACTGAGAGCCTGACTGAGGGAACCTATGGGTGCTTGACATAATTAGTGCACTATATAGGGAAGAGGGTGCCATTTGGGACACAACCTCATTCAATTCCTAATTGAACCTGGAAAAATGCCAAGCCACACAGCTATCAAAAGGTAACTGGACCATCACCTCACCTGTGCCACAGTGTTGGTTGAGGTCCATGGTGATGGAGAGGTTGAGGTTCTCTGAGCGGAAGGCTCTGAAGGAGTCGTGAGGTTGTCCTGAGGTCACATCAGCTACGTTCTCCGCACAGCAGAGCATTACAGCGTGATGGTCATGGGGGTTGCCATGACAAAGCCATTGGAGGTCAAGGGTCATGCACAAATTTGGCAGGTGCAGGAAACAGATGTCATCATACCTGAGAAGAACAAGAAAAAGAAAAAACTAAGCAAAGAAAAATATCACTAATTCTGAACAATTTCCCAAAACATGAAAATCTAAATGTTTCACAGGAGAAGCTATTTCCAGAATCTCTCTGATATTTGAAAGCCAGATTTCAGTCTGCCACCTACTTGGAGGCTGTCCTGACGTTGACATCCATGTCACCTTTGAAGACAAACTGCCCAGGGTTCCACTCGTAGTTGACTTTGTTCCATTCCCAGTGCATGTTCTCTGTAGTGTTATAGGGGTCCTACAAAAGAGCAAAATGATGTCAAACACAATTGCTGCTAATCCTAATTCTCAGGTCAACACATTTTCCTGAGTCAGTAAGCGGCTAAGAAGTATTGATCAGACTGTGTGTTAACCTCTGTGGCCAGCTGATGGAGGTTGGCCTGTTCTATGTCCATGATCCAGCGTCCATGTACCAGCAGACGACTCTTGTCCCACCAGGCCAGAGGAGGGGAGGGGTCAACCGTGGGTTTGGTCAGCAGATCAACCACCTGGCCAATCAGGGTCCAGGCTGGGTCCCAGCAAGGCCCCCACACTATAGTGTACAAGGATATATTGGCTGCATGGAGAGAAGAGGAGATGGGAAAATAATAGTTAAGAGTTGAATTAGCACAACTGCCAGTATATGTTTAGAGATGAGATGACACTACATCAAACATAACAAGATTCATATAAAGTTAGTGCATTCAGAAAGTATTCAGACCCCTTGACTTTTTCCACATTTTGTTATGTTACAGCCTTATTCTAAAATGGATTTAAAAAATAATAATTCTCCCCCTCATCAATCTACACACAATACCCCATAATGACAAAGCAAAAAAAGGGTTTTAGAAGAAAAAAAAAAAACTTTACTCAGTACTTTGTTGAAGCACCTTTGGCAGAGATTACAGCCTTGAGTCTTCTTGGGTATGACGCTACAAGCTTGGTACACCTGTATTTGGGGAGTTTCTCTCATTCTTCTCTGCAGATCCTCTCAAGCTCTGTCAGGTTGGATGGGGAGAGTTGCTGCACAGCTATTTTCAGGTCTCTCCAGAGATGTTAGATCGGGTTCAAGTCCGGGCTCTGGCTGGGCCACTCAAGGACAATCAGAGACTTGTCCCGAATCCACTCCTGAGTTATCTTGGCTGTGTGCTTAGGGTCGTTGTCCTGTTGGAAGGTGAACCGTTGCCCATGTCTGAGGTCCTGGGTGCTCTGGAGCAGGTTTTCATCAAGGATCTCTCTGTACTTTGCTCCGTTCATCTTTGCCTAGATCCTGACTAGTCTCCCAGTCCCTGCCACTGAAAAACATCCCCACACCATGCTTCACCGTAGGGATGGTATTGGCCAGGTGATGAGTGGTGCCTGGTTTCCTCCAGACGTGACGCTTGACATTCAGGCCAAAGAGTTCAATCTTGGTTTCATCAGACCAGAATCTTGTTTTAATCTTGTTCAACCTCATGGCTTGGTTTTTGCTCTGACATGCACTGTCAACTGTGGGACCTTATATAGACAGGTGTGTGCCTTTCCAAATCATGTCCAATTAATTGAATTGACCACAGGTGGACTCCAATCAAGTTGTAGAAACATCTCAAGGATGATCAATGGAAACAGGATGCACCTGAGCTCAATTTCAAGTCTCATAGCAAAGGGTCTGAATACTTGTAAATAAGGTAATTTCAGTTTAGTATTTTTAATACATTTGCAAAAATTTCTAAAAACCTGTTTTCGCTTTGTCATTATGGGGTATTGTGTGTAGATTGTTGAGGAAAATGTTTTATTTAATCCATTTTAGAATAAGGCTGTAACGTAACAAAATGTGGAAAAAGTGAAGGGGTGTGAATACTTTCCGAATGCACTGTATGTGATTGACCGGTATGTGTCTATTGCACATTGTTGAAAATAAATACAAATGTTGATCACAAAAAATTAGGATCGCACTGAGGTTTGTGCTTCATTGAAACACTTGACTCACATTTGAAATCGCAGTAAAACTTGAGTGGTGGCATGTTCCTGTGGACGGTTACATCTCCCCATGGCTGGCCTAGTGGCACCGTCTGCCTGCGGCGAGCCCGGCCCTGCCCATCCTGCTCTGTCCCGATCAGACGGCCTGACAGCTCCCAGCCCCGGATCTCAAACAAGTAACGAGGATAGTCCCGGATTCTCACTGGCACAGGGGGAGAAATAATGAAGTATAAATATAAAGATAATATTATCAATATTCATAGAAATAATTAAGTTATGGAACAATGGTCAAATGTAGCGCACTATAAAATGCAATAGGGTGCCATTTGGGACGCAATCCCATCACTCACCCAGGAAGGCAGTGAGGTTGAACTTGACTACCCGGCACCACTGGACCACCAGGGGGAGCCCGTCTCTGGGGAAGGGGCTGACTCCGTCGATGTCCCTAAGCTGCTCGCGGACGCGCTCCGGCCCGTGGAGGGACTGGTCGGCCAGGGCCAGCAGCTCCAGGTCAGACACCGTCCAGGTCAGCAGAGACTTCCTCATGGGCGTGTTGGAGTAGAGGCGACGGGAGCGCTGGATGTAGATCTCTATGTGTTTGCGCTCCAGAGACGTATACAGCTCTTCTATCTTCCTGGCAGGCAGCAGTTCTCCGTGCTGCTTCCGTAGGTCAGCCACCTTCTTGTCCAGCAGCTGGAGCCTCTTGGAGCTCTCCTTGCTCTCGTCCTTCATCAGCTCGTAGTTGTCCCTCAGCTTGATCTCAAACACGTCGTCCAGGAAGACGAAGGAGAACTGGCTGATCTTGAAGACCAGATCTGGGGGCAGATGCTGGAGGGCTGGGGTCTGGCTGGGGCTGCTGTGCAGGGACTTGAGCCACTTCTGAACGCTGATGAACTTGTCAAAGGTGTTGGAGAAGTTGTACTGGTAGGGGAACTCCATGGCCAGGCAGAGGCAGGTGAACACCCAGGCACTGTTGTGTCGGGTGGAGAGGAAGGGAAAGAGGTGGCGTTGGTCCAGGGCCTGATCAGGGTGTGTCTGGACCTCCAGGCCCTTGAAGGAGAATATGTCGTTGCCGTCGAAGTTGAGAAACATGTGGGGCGAGTGGACGTTCATGGAGCCGGAGTGTGTGGAGAGGGACAGCGCATCTGTGTGCAGCAGGAGGTAGTTGTGCTCCGTCACCTGGGCTGTGAAGCGGGTTCTGCCCAGTTCTACATGCACAGACAGGTCCTTGACCCTGCTGTGGGCTGGAGAAGTCTTAGTAGATCCACTCTCTGGTGGATCTGCTAAACTCTCGTCATCTCTTTTCTCTGTTAGGCCTAGAGAGTCACACAGAGTATCCCAGCAACACTGGCTCTCTGTCGCGTGGTGATACAAAAACATGTGGTCTGATGGTGTCCACTGCACTGCCAGCTCCTCTTGACACTGGACCTGCACAAGGGAAGAGGACAATGCACGTGAACTTATCTGAATAACACTGTCAATCAAGAAGAAGGAATAGGACTGATAGGCCTGACGGCAGGATGAGTAACTGTAACCTACCTCCACGTTCCCGGTGGTGACGTGGTAGCAGACGGCCAGGATGGAGAGGCTGAGGACAGGGTTGGGGGTTTGGGCTGAGGGACAGCAGGGCTCAATGGTCTCTGTGAGAGCCTTCACCACAGACAGACACACACCCTGGACAGACACCGTGGAGCTTTCCGCCGAGCCTTGGGCCTTCACTGTGTCCACCCGCAAAGACATGGCTCCTAGCACAACACAGGAGCCAATTACCATCCATAATGTAGGCCTAGTCAGAGATGGATATTAAAGGGTCCATCCAAAATGGCACCCTATTTCATATATCCCCGAAACTCAGCTCTGGACCTCGAAGCCAGTGCCACTGCATTTTTTCATTGTTCCCCTCTAATCAGAGACTGATTTATAACTAGGACACCAGGTGTGTGCAATTCATGGTAGAACAGAAAACCAGCAGGCTCCGGACCTCGTAGGGTAAGAGTTGAGTACCCCTGCCCTATATAGTGCACTAATTTTGATCAGGGGCCATAGGGCTCTGGTCAAAAGTAGTGAACTATATAGGAGATAGGGTGCCATTTGGGACGCAGCCTAAAAAGCACTTCCCATTTAACTTACCTGCTACAACGGAGAGTGTGAACACATTGACATCCTCCAGGTTACACTCAATCTTAAAATAAAAGGCGCCCTGATTGGGGGAGGTTGTCCCATCAACAAGGGCAGGTACAGGCACCACATCTGGCTGCTTCGAGGCCTCCAGCTTCCTGCCGTTGTCCAGGTTACAGAGAGCCAGTAGGCGGGACAGGCACAGGGCACAGGTCTCTGACACCTCCAGCTGTAGGCCCTTCAGACTGGACTCCACACTCACACTCTCAGAATGGCTACTGGACTCACTCTGGGGCTTGTTGAACCTCCCCTGGGGAGACAGTCAGCCAAGATAACAACAATGGGTGGTGTAGTATTGGTCAAATACTAATCAGGGCTGTGATCATCAGGTCAATACAGGAAAAGTAGGGTATTTTAGAGCAGGGGTGTCAAACTCATTCCATGGAGAGCATAGTGTCTGCCGGTTTTAGGTCTATCCTGATTTTGGTGTTCTTCATCACATCATTGGAACCCAGGGGAAACCATCGGGAGTAGTAGTTAGTGAGTAACCCTAAATAGTTATTGCCTACCTTGTTGTACGCCTGCGTTACCTGCAGTGTAAGGGAGTCCAGGATGAGGGCTTCCCCCCACACGTGTTTGCCAGGGGGGTGGGGTGCCTGCTGGATGTGGGAGCCCTGGCCCACCCTCCACCAGAAGTGGTCCAGGGACAGAGAGAGGCGGCGGTGAACATTCTGGAACTTGAGGCTCTCTGCGTTTGTGCTGATGTCCAGGAGGTGCTGCATCTCTACATTATACATGACATATTCAGATCTACTGAATATCACAAATCACATTACAACATTTTGGGATGCAACGCTAGCTCTACTCACTATGTGTAGGGGTGTGATGATTCCGTGGTGTAAAAGGATATAAAGTAATTGTAATTAATGTGTTAAAGAATGGGAAAAGCTGACTGTGCCTTACAAGAACACATGATGACTTATCTAATCTATCAGGGCATGTTATGTTTGGAAAGGGTTGATTCAACAGCTACAGCAAGTCAAGCACCATGATTCATCTCCTGAAACTACTGCAATGTTGAAAGCAGAATGAACTGAAGAGAAACACCCACTGCTGACCATTAGCATTCATGTCATTCCTCTCAAGGCAAGACTAACCTTTAATGCAACGGAAGTATATGTTGACCATGCCCTGTGTGAGTGTGTGTTTGTGTTGTGCTGTACCTGTGCTGACTGAGATGAAGCCCAGGGCGAAGGGAGGAGTGTCTCCCAGCTGGACAGACACGTTGACATTGGACACAGAGGAGCTGATCATCACTGGGGCGTCCAGGTGGGGGAAGTTCCTGTAGGACGGGAGGGTATGAAAATACTCCACTGGACTACACATCACACCACAATACACCACCACACACCACAATACACCACCAGACACAACATAAACATGAGGATGAAGACAGGAGAGGATTAGAGTGTTAGTTGATTTCAGTTGTGCTCAATTTCAAAAGAAACCATGCTATAGAGCCAGGTTAGTAATGTATGTTGTTGGATATTGTCTTTACATCCGTTTCAAGCAATCAACTGGTGTGTTTGGCATTCTCCAGTCTGGTTTGTCAGTTGAAAATGCTTATACCTCTTTCTATGAGCTGCTTTCCTATGAATAAGCTGTTCCCATGGAAACAGGTCTAGCCAATGGGAGAACTCCTGGTGACGGTAGTGGATGATGCAGGTGTTGACTGTGACTGACCCTGAAATATCCACTGATGTCGCCTGGGGACATGAGTTGGAGATAAGCTAGAGACTTCAGAACAAATATTATATTTCTTACAAGAGGTCAAACGTCAAGCATATTTGCAAAGAGCTTTGATGATGCAGTGCAACTATGAAAACTAGTAACCATATCAATCAAAAATCGAAGCACACCACTCACCTGCAAGACAGTCCTGAGGGTGTTGAGGCAAAGGATTCTCTGTCTGCTCTGGGAGAGGAGAAGCCCATCTGTTGATACAAAAACAAGGAATGGTTATTTTCCACCCTCCCAGACCCTCTCTTCCCCTCCTCCTCTATGTCTACGTCCCAAATGACAACCTATTCCCTATATAGTGCACTATGTAAGGAATAGATTGCCATTTGTGACTAACATATTTCTGGTGCCCAGCGCCCAGCTCTCCACTCACCCTCCAGAAGTAGCTCCAGGTTGCTCTGAGGGAAGCTCATCTCAGGGGTGAAGCTCCTGAGGGGCAGCTGCTCGTCCTCACGTCCGTATCCCACCTTCAGAGACTTTAGGGTCCAGTTCAAGTGTCTGGATGATTCAGATATACAGTCAGAGGAAGAAGAAAATAGAATAACAGAAAGACAAACCAACCCAAAAAATATAATTCATACTAACTATGACTCACCTTTTATGGCTGTGCATGGACAGGGTTATACTAGTATTCTCAAACTCCACATTGACCTTATGGGGCACCAGCTGATGAAACTGCTCCACTGCTTCAGTCTGGACATACTCGTCCTTTTCATAATCTAGAAGAAAATTACAACAGAGAGAAATGGTTGTAAATAATGTATCTCCGAATGGTTCTCAAAATCACCTCACAGCAGCCATACAATAACACCATGTCTGAGTCTCAAATGGCACATTTTTCCCTAAAGTAGTGGACTATGTAGGGAATAGGGTGCCATCCTTGTTAAAAGTAGTGCACTATATAGGGAAATGGTGCCATTGGGACGCAACACATTGCACTTTCTCACCGTCTGTAGAGAGAGTGCTCTCCAGAGGAGTTGGTGGAAGCAGTAGCTGGCTGAGAAACAGGCCCTCATGCATCTCAGCCAGCAGTGTTCTCACACACAGGGCCAGTCGGCCTGGACGCACCTCTGGCAGGCTGACATCCCCAGACAGCACCAGGCTCAGGGACACCTCCGCCAGACAGGTATCCTGCTGAGCACAGCACACAGTGAGTTGGGACAATGCAGTGAAATACATTCTGTGTAGTTACTCTTCTTTAAAGAGACCCACTCAAAAGATTGCTATGTTTACATGGGAAGAAACTCCACTTACCAATCGACTGCTTTTAAGCACTTTACTGCTTAGCTGGCCCACAGAAAAGTCCCAGGCCAACCTGTTATGAAAGTTATGAACATTTAAATAGTCAGGCTAAGCTAAAATGACTGAACTGTTTAGATGAAGTTACAGTGTGTGGAGGTGTAATACCTTTTGCCCTGGTGGTCGAGCAGTAGGTCGATACTTGAGGTGGTCATGTGCCATAGAGACTCTGACAGGGCTAGGTTTAACACCATCACGTTGATGGAGTCAATATGGAAGGACAGCAGCTGAGAGCAGAGACAGACAGCAGCTGAGTGGGTTGAGAGCACTGTTTTTCATGAATCATTTAGTGAGTAGCATTCTTATATAAACAGTTGCGTGTTGGTCCCTACCTGGGAGAGGAATCGCAGGGCTGCGGGGCTAAGGGGAACCTTCCCTGACTCTCCTCCATCAAAGCTCTTAAGCGCCCGAGGTCTCAGAGGCTGCTGCAGGTCCACTCTCACTCTGGTCTTGCCCACACACAACGCCAGGCACCTCCTGAGAAACAAACAGAGTTCACAACCTCGTACTGTTGAATGATTCACGAGCCCTTTCCTTTAAAGGCTAAGAAGGCTGAGAGATATGCAATTAAGTTATGAGACATGAGGGCATAAGATTGTATAAACATGTCTTTAAAACACTCACGGCAGGTTCTGGTTTAAAAGTTTGCTTGAAATCCATATTCTGTCTATTTCCTGCAATAAAAACAAGGAGAAATGCACCTGGTTTACAACTGAATTGTAGTCTTACACGAGCTGAAAAAGGTTGTTTTTTAATCTACAATGTGTGACCTAGAGACAATACACAAATAAATACCCTTCCCAATGAAGACAGAGAAACATGATTTCTAGGGATGTAACGATTCACCAATACGCATCGGTCCCCGATTCAAATGTTTAAGATGCAAGTGCATCGGTGCGCGGACCCCAAACCAATAGCATGCATCAGTCAGAAAATCGATTCAAACGTTACAAATTGCCGGTTCACAAAAACGTTTTGCTCATATTACATTATTCCTACCTTTTGAAAATACAGTGCATTCAGAAAGTATTCAGACCCCTTCACTTTTTCCACATTGTTACGTTACAGCCTTATTCTAAAATGGATTAAATGTTTTTTTCCCCCCCCTCAATCGCGCAATACCCCATAATGACAAACCAAAAACAGGTTTTTAGAAATGTTTGCATATATATATATATATATATATATATATATATATAAAAAATTAAATATTACATTTACATACAGTTGAAGTTGGAAGTTTACACTTAGGTTGGAGTCATTAAAACTAATTTTTCAACCACTCCACAAATTTCTTGTTAACAAACTATAGTTTTGGCAAGTCGATTAGGACATCTACTTTGTGCATAACACAAGTCATTTTTCCAACAATTGTTTACAGACAGATTATTTCACTGTATCACAATTCCAGTGCGTCAGAAGTTTACATACACTAAGTTGACTGTGCCTTCAAACAGCTTGGAAAATTCCAGAAAATGATGTCATGGCTTTAGAAGCTTCTGATAGGCTAATTGACATAATTTGAGTCAATTGGAGGTGTATCTGTGGATGTATTTCAAGGCCTACCTTCAAACTCTTTGCTTGACATCATGGGAAAATCCAGAAATCAGCCAAGACCTCAGAAAAAGAATTGTAGACCTCCACAAGTATGGTTCATCCTTGGAAGCAATTTCCAAACGCCTGAAGGTACCACGTTCATCTGTACAAACAATAGTACGCAAGTATAAACACCATGGGACCACACAGCCGTCATACCGCTCAGGAAGGAGACGCGTTCTGTCTCCTACAGATGAACGTACTTTGGTGCGAAAAGTGCAAATCAATCCCAGAACAACAGCAAAGGACCTTGTGAAGATGCTGGAGGAAACAGGTACAAAAGTATCTATATCCACAGTAAAACGAGTCCTATATCGACATAACCTGAAAGGCCGCTCAGCAAGGAAGAAGCCACTGCTCCAAAACCGCCATAAAAAAGCCAGACTACGGTTTGCAACTGCACATGGGGACAAAGATCGTACTTTTTGGAGAAATGTCCTCTGGTCTGATGAAACAAAAATAGAACTGTATGGCCATAATGACCATCGTTATGTTCAAGGAAAAAGGGGGTGGCTTGTCAGGCGAAGAACACCATCGCTCTGGATAAGAGCGTCTGCTAAATGACTAAAATGTAAATGTAATCCCAACCGTGAAGCACGGGGTGGCAGCATCATGCTGTGGGGGTGCTTTGCTGCAGGAGGGACTGGTGCACTTCACAAAATAGATGGCATCATGAGGAAGGAAAATGATGTGGATATATTGAAGCAACATCTCAAGACATCAGTCAGGAAGTTAAAGCTTGGTCACAAATGGGTCTTCCAAATGGACAATGACCCCAAGCATACTTCCAAAGTTGTGGCAAAATGGCTTAAGGACCACAAAGTCAAGATATTGGAGTGGCCATCACAAAGCCCTGACCTCAATCCTATAGAAAATGTGTGGGCAGAACTGAAAAGGCGTGTGCGAGCAAGGAGGCCTACAAACCTGACTCAGTTACACCAGCTCTGTCAGGAGGAATGGGCCAAAATTTACCCAACTTATTGTGGGAAGCTTGTGGAAGGCTACCCGAAACATTTGACCCAAGTTAAACAATTTAAAGGCAATGCTACCAAATACTAATTGAGTGTATGTAAATTTCTGACCCACTGGGAATGTGATGAAAGAAATAAAAGCTGAAATAAATAAATCATTCTCTCTACTATTATTCTGACATTTAACATTCTTAAAATAAAGTGGTGATCCTAACTGACCTAAGACAGGGACTTTTTACTAGGATTAGATGTCAGGAATTGTGAAAAACTGAGTTTAAATGTATTTGGCTAAGTTGTCTGTAAACTCCGACTTCAACTGTAAGTATTCAGACCCTTCACTCAGTACTTTGTTGAAGCACCTTTGGCAGCAATTACAGCCTAGAGTCTTCTTGGGTATGACGCTACAAGCTTGGTACACCTGTATTTGGGGGGTTTCTCCCATTCTTCTCAGCAGATCCTCTCAAGCTCTGTCAGGTTGGATGGGGAGCGACGCTGCACAGCCATTTTCAGGTCTCTCCAGAGATGTTCGATAAGGTTCAAGTCCGGACTCTGGCTGGGCCACTCAAGGACATTCAGAGACTTGTCCCGAAGCCACTCCTGGTTGTCTTGGCTGTGTGCTTAGGGTCGTTGTCCTGTTGGAAGGTGAACCTTTGCCTAAGTCTGAGGTCCTAAGTGCTCTGGAGCAGGTTTTCATCAAGGATCTCTCTGTACTTTGCTCCGTTCATCTTTCCCTCAATCCTGACTAGTCTCCCAGTCCCTACCTCTGAAAAACATCCCCACAGCATGATGCTGCCACCACCATGCTTCACCGTAGGGATGGTATTGGCCAGGTGATCAGCAGTGCTTGGTTTCCTCCAGACATGAGTTCAATCTTGGTCTGAGAGTCCTTTAGGTGACTTTTGGCAAAATCCAAGTGGGCTGTCATGTGCCTTTTACTGAAGAGTGGCTTCCGTCTGGCCACTCTACCATAAAGGCCTGATTGGTGGAGTGCTGCAGAGTTGGTTGTCCTTTTGGAACTTTCTCCCATCTCCACTGAGGAACTCTGGAGCTCTGTCAGAGTGACCATCGGGTTCTTGGTCACCTCCCTGACCAAGGCCCTTCTCCCCCGATTGCTCAGTTTGGCCAGGTGGCTAGCTCTAGGAAGAGTCTTGGTGGTTCCAAACTTCTTTCATTTAAGAATGATGGAGGCCACTGTGTTTTTGGGGACCTTCAATGCAGCAGACATTTTTTGGTACCCTTCCCCAGATCTGTGCCTCGACACAATCCTGTCTCGGAGCTCTACGGACAATTCCTTCGACCTCTTGGCTTGTTCTTTTTGCCAATTTAGCAACTTTGTCGCTATATTTAGCGAGTTTTCAGACCCTCTCGAGCGGCCTTTATTGGTAAAAGAGGATAGCAACAAATTCAGCTACTTTTCAGGCTGCCTTTGGTTTTGATAGCATTTAGCGACTTTTCCCACTAACTTCTGCCTCAAACGAGTGTGAGAAGCTGTCTGTGTAAAAGCCAACTTATGGTTGATCCGTAAAATGTGGTCAAGGCGCTGTATGGATGGTGTGATGCAATTGCGGAGCCTCTGGAGGCATGCAGAGGCCAAATTGAGCTCCGTACCACATCACCGTTCGTCTCTCTAATTTTTTTACAATGCGGAGGGCTCCGTAAAGCTCCGCATTACCATGATTGGTTGACGGTAGGTGAGGGTGGGAGGTCCTGTATAAACACAAGCTCACTTCCTTGACAATTTCCTTCACAACAGCTCTGCGCTGCTCTGCAATGCGCAAGCAGTATGAATGCCCTGAACTCTGCAGAGGCCATATCACCGTAAATGTTGCACGGCCAATGCAAACGACGGATTGACCATGTAGCGCCTTTTACAGAAGTCACAGGCAGAGCAGCACAAGGGAAGGGGGTGTGCGGCGTGAGAGGAGGCGGAAACGCTACGTCTGGGATCGCATCTGTGCAAGGCAAATTGGTGCTGTGATGTCGTCACAGCTCTTGCAACATGAACTAAAATGTTGTCCACCCAATTAAAGGATCAGAGAATTAATCTAGTACTGAACGCATAAGCTACAGCTAGCTAGCACTGCAGTGCATAAAATATGGTGAGTAGTTGAATCAAAGAGAGAAAGACAATAGTTGAATAAATTAATTTATTCAAAAATGAAGGAGAAGCGAGAGTGAGAGAAAGCTAGCTAGCTATATTTCATTGTATTTGTTGTTTCTCACTTTAACTTACTTAGCTAGCGAATGCAGCTAGCTAGTTTAGCCTACTCAAAGACTTGACGGCCCTGTGTATGTGCTTTCTTGAGCAGGGGGACCTTGCTGGCGCTGCAGGATTTCAGTCCTTCACGGCGTAGTGTGTTACCAATTGTTTTCTTGGTGACTATGGTCCCAGCTGCCTTGAGATCATTGACAAGATCCTCCCGTGTAGTTCTGGGCTGATTCCTCACCGTTCTCATAATCATTGCAACTCCACGAGGTGAGATCTTGCATGGAGCCCCAGGCCGAGGGAGATTGACAGTTATTTTGTGTTTCTTCCATTTGCGAATAATCGCACCAACTGTTGTTACCTTCTCACCAAGCTGCTTGGCGATGGTCTTGTAGCCCATTCCAGCCTTGTGTAGGTCTACAATCTTGTCCCTGACATCCTTGGAGAGCTCTTTGGTCTTGGCCATGGTGGAGAGTTTGGAATCTGATTGATTGATTGCTTCTGTGGACAGGTGTCTTTTATACAGGTAACAAGCTGAGATTAGGAGCACTCCCTTTAAGAGTGTGCTCCTAATCTCAGCTCGTTACCTGTATAAAAGACACCTGGGAGCCAGAAATATTTCTGATTGAGAGGGTGTCAAATACTTATTTCCCACATTAAAATGCAAATCAATTCATAAAAAATTTTACATGCGTTTTTCTGGATTTTTTTGTTGTTATTCTGTCTTTCACTGTTCAAATAAACCTACCATTAAAATTATAGACTGATAATTTCTTTGTCAGTGGGCAAACGTACAAAATCAGCAAGGGATCAAATACTTTTTTCCCCTCACTGTATGTTGTAAACTTTAATTTATTTGCTAGGTTGCAGCAACCGCATGATGGGTATAGGGAAAATTCTAGTATCATGTAGTAGCCTAAACTTATTGATGTTACATTGAGCTGGGTGAATGGAATATGAATGAGTCATCCAATATGCTGTAATAGCAATAAGGCCATGCTCATAAAAAAAGAATTGTCCTCCCTCCATTTGCTGCTGAATGGGGCTTACAATACATTCTATTTTGATTGTGCAGGTTCACCATCAGCAATAGTTTTCCTTTAAACAATCAGTGTATATGGTCATTTTTAGATATACAGGGTAAAGTTGATAATTTCATAACAATGACAGCAATCACTTTTGCGAGGTGCACTGCATGGCCAAAGCGAGAGGAGAAGAGAAGATCACTCCGTAAACGGTCAAAACCATTTGATTTTGAGATGTAGGTGAAATCCAAAATTGTGCCATACAGTGCCTTCAGAAACCGCTTGACTTATTCCACATTTTGTTGTGTTACAGCCTGAATTCGAAATGGATTAAATATTTTTTTTTCTCTCACCCATCTACACACAATACCCCATAATGACAAAGTGAAAACATGTTTTTAGACAGTTTAGCAATTTTATTGAAAATGTAATGCATTATTATCTCAGTTACTTTAGTATTCACACCCCTGAGTCAATACTTTGTAGAAGCACCTTTGACAGCGATTACAGCTGTGAGTCTTTCTGGGTAAGTCTAAGAGCTTTCCACATCTGGATTGTGCAACATTTGCCCATTATTTTTTTCAAAATTCTTCAAGCTCTGTCAAATTGATTGTTGATCATTGCTAGACAATCATTTTCAGGTTTTGCCATAGATTTTCAAGTAGATTTAAGTCAAAACTGTAACTCGGCCACTCAGGAACATTCACTGTGCTCCTGGTAAGCAACTCCTGTGTAGATTTGGCCTTGTGTTTTAGGTTATTGTCTTGCTGAAAGGTGAATGCATCTCCCAGTGTCTGGTGGAAAGCAGACTGAACCAGGTTTTCCTCTAGGATTTTGTCTGTGCTTAGCTCCATTCCATTTATTTTTTATCATAGGCTACATTGCCCCCCCTAATCTGATAGTGGTGTGGTAGAAGCCTAGTCTCCCTTATGGCTCAGCTCGGGTGCCTACATAGTACACACACACACGCGTCAGCTCAGACAGATCCAGCTCAGAGAGGCACAGCTCAGAGAGGCCCAGCTCAGAGAGGCCCAGCTCAGAGAGGCCCAGCTCAGAGAGGCCCAGCTCAGAGAGGCCCAGCTCAGACAGATCCAGCTCAGACAGATCCAGCTCAGACAGATCCAGCTCATGAGCTCCATCAGCAGCAGATTTTAATTTAGAATGGAAAATGTATGTGTTTATGCAACAAATGTTAGTATGTCGAATCGTAACGCATCAAACCGAATCATTTCAAACTAAAACGTATAGTTCCTGTATCGTATTGGAGCCCATGTATCGGAAATATGCACATCCCTAAATATAATTTCATAAGCCACACGCACTGCGTAAATGTCATGTGAACAAAGCTTCTCAGAGGTGTCACCTACCAGTGTGTGCTGGGGCTGAAACTGGATACTAATTCCACGCACTGAAAAGAGCCCCACTGATTTGATCTTCAGCTCAGCGTTCAGTGTGTTGTGGAAGAACTGTACCGCCAGGCTGCATATGAACCATCTGAAAACAAGCAGAGAGAACATACCATCAAATGGCACCCTATTTCCTATATAGCACACTTTTGATATGGGCCCTGGTCAAAAGGAGTGCACCACATAGGGAATAGTGTCATTTTGGGATGCTCCCATCATTAGTGTGCCACCTATAAGCGATGACTAATCTTTTCTCTCACTTCTCCATCAACAGAGCTGTGTGCATTTGATTGCCTGTCATATTGAGTTCCATCAAAGGACAAGCTGGCACTGTGTGTTAGTGCACAAAGACAGGCCATTGTTTTAGCCAACTCTTGCAGCAAAGCTTCAGCAGTTCAGTTGACTGATAGCCCAAGTCATTTCCATTAGATCATTTAGTGGGTTCTCTACATTTCTCAAGTCACATGAATAGTGATTTTCAGAGGTAGAAAGAATCAGGTATTCCAAATTAAAGGTATGCATAGATACGTTCAGAAAAGGGCACTGCTGCAGTATTTGATGAATTAGCAAGAGTTGCTTTGGCAACAGAATGAAGCTATATTGGACAGGAATTTTATGTATAAGTGTTCTTTCCCCATGTTAAGGCATGTCTTCTTACCTGAAGAGTAGGACAGATAGTATCAGGAGCAGAAGAAGTGCTATTAAAACAATGAGCAGGAGAGACATTCTGTCCTGATGTTGCGCCCTCGTTCACACCCAATCTGTGGTCATGGGGCTGGTTGTTTTGATTTCAATGCCACACGGTGGGAAATGAATAGACAGCTTCGCTCCTCTTCGGAGCCCGGAGACACCGATCATGCAGGTGCCTCGAGCTTAATGGCACGTTATGTCTTGTTAGCTAAAGATTGAAGTGCATGCATGACACTATTCAAGAGCTATTAAATAACATTCTAGCTAACGTTGTCTTGTCTAGTCTGGAAAATCTGATAGCTACACTTTGCTAGCCCTCAGGGCCAGACTGTAGTATGCTAACGTTAGCTAATTGGCTACCTGTAACAAAAAAAAACATTAAAATATTACTATACTAGTAACAGTTTGAAGGAACCGATATAACGTTAGCTAGCCGGCTAGATGGAACGCTAGCAATGGTTCACAGTTTCGAGTAGCGAGCTAGCAAACTATACTCACATCACTGGTCAGTTACTAGCTAACTAGTAACGTTAGTTGGCTAGCTAAATAGCCACGTAGCTATCTACCGCGTCAATTGAAACCAATGTTGGCAAATTTGGTAGTTTGGTACCTCTTCTTCTTCTTCTTCTTCTTCAGTGGGGTTTATCGGCGGTTGGCATCCAACGTTATGATGCATTACCGCCACCTACCGTACTGGAGTGTGGGCCAGAGACAGGGATAAACTAAATCCTACCTGCCAACCCAGTTTCTCTTAAAAAAGACAACAAAATATGTGACACTATATCTAATGACGTTCTACTCAATATAATCTTTAAACTAATTTCCTGTATCCCCTTCTCCCTCATACTTAATATCATCCTCTCTCTTTCCCTCTGATACTGCCCACACTGTAGCAATGCATGCTCCACAGTCTCTATTTCCTGACAATAATCACATTATCCTGATGGATGCTATCCTATCACGCTTAATGTCTTATTCAACTGGCTGTGTCCCACCCTTAATCTTGTAAATATAGCCTCCTCTCTTCTGTCCCTTCCTGCTGTCCTCCCCTCCCCGACTTTCCTCTGTACTTGAAATAAATGCCTTCCCTTAATATTTATATTCCAATGCTCCTGCCACCTCTGCATCATCACTGTATATATCAGTATTTTTGCCTCTGCCTTGCTCATTGACACTTCAACATCAACATCCCCACTACTAAGTGCTTGTTTAGCCTGTGCATCTACTGCCTCGTTCCCCTCCACCCCCACATAGGCTGGAACCCAAGTAAATCTTATCTGAATACCCATCTGTTTAATCCTGCCATGGGTTTGTAGCACCTCATAAACCAGATCTTGTCTGCTACGTGAGCTGAAGGACTGGAGACTCATTAACACTGCACATGAGTCAGAGCAAATAACTACTCTGTCTGGCTTAGCTTCCTCCACCCACTGGAAGGCCAACAGTATGGCCATCAGCTCCGCCGTATATACAGCCAGATGATCTGTAATACGTTTCCTGACTTCCACCCCACATTCCTGCACTACAAATACTGACCCAGTACGTCCTGTCCTTGGATCTTTTGAACCGTCTGTGTAAATGGCCACAAAATCCTGATACACGGTTTCCAGACGTCTCTTAAAGAAATCAGCTGGATCAACATCCTCCCTATCTTTCTGTAGTCTCTCCAAAACTTCAAGTTCAACTACTGGAGGCGGGAGTAGCCATGGTGGATTTACAGGAATAACTACCGTTGGACTAAACTCCCTTCCATACAGCCCCATCTCCTTCGCCTGGGTATTACCCATCCACCCAAAGCTCTTGTTCTGTCTTCGCTCATGTTCCCAGCATGCCTGTAAAATCCCTTTCGCAGGATGAGACACCCCATGTCCTTGTAGGTTGACCCAATAATTAATTGCCAGCTGCTGTCTCCTAATCTGCAATGGCATATCCCCCATCTCCACCTGTAATGCAGCCACTGGGGACGTTTGAAACACCCCACTACATATTCTGAGTCCTTGCCCCTGTATGAAATCTAGCCTTTCCAGTGAGGTCCGGGCTGCCGAACCATATGCTATACTTCCATAATCTATTACAGATCGGATCAATGCAACATACATGGTTTTCAATGAGGAACGCCCAGCCCCACATTCCTTCCCCATCAGACAGCGCATCACATTTAGCACCTTCTTACACTTTCCCACCACTCTCTCAATGTGTTCTGCCCAGGTCAGTCTAGTATCAAAGTATACCCCAAGGAACCTGAAGGCCCCCACCCTCTCCAGGTTTCTCCCATATAACCTCAAGCATACCTCATCTCCCACCTTCCTCCTGGTAAAGAACACTGAGTTTTCTCTACAGAGAACCTGAATCCCCACATTAGTGCCCACTGCTCTACCTCATCAATTGCTTCCTGCACCTTCCTGACTACAGTGGGGGAAAAAAGTATTTAGTCAGCCACCAATTGTGCAAGTTCTCCCACTTAAAAAGATGAGAGAGGCCTGTAATTTTCATCATAGGTACACATCAATTATGACAGACAAATTGAGGAAATAAAATCCAGAAAATCACATTGTAGGATTTTTTATGAATTTATTTGCAAATTATGGTGGAAAATAAGTATTTGGTCACCTACAAACAAGCAAGATTTCTGGCTCTCACAGACCTGTAACTTCTTCTTTAAGAGGTTTCTCTGTCCTCCACTCGTTACCTGTATTAATGGCACCTGTTTGAACTTGTTATCAGTATAAAAGACACCTGTCCACAATCTCAAACAGTCACACTCCAAACTCCACTATGGCCAAGACCAAAGAGCTGTCAAAGGACACCAGAAACAAAATTGTAGACCTGCACCAGGCTGGGAAGACTGAATCTGCAATAGGTAAGCAGCTTGGTTTGAAGAAATCAACTGTGGGAGCAATTATTAGGAAATGGAAGACATACAAGACCACTGATAATCTCCCTCGATCTGGGGCTCCACGCAAGATCTCACCCCGTGGGGTCAAAATGATCACAAGAACGGTGAGCAAAAATCCCAGAACCACACGGGGGGGCCTAGTGAATGACCTGCAGAGAGCTGGGACCAAAGTAACAAAGCCTACCATCAGTAACACACTACGCCGCCAGGGACTCAAATCCTGCAGTGCCAGACGTGTCCCCCTGCTTAAGCCAGTACATGTCCAGGCCCGTCTGAAGTTTGCTAGAGTGCATTTGGATGATCCAGAAGAGGATTGGGAGAATGTCATATGGTCAGATGAAACCAAAATAGAACTTTTTGGTAAAAACTCAACTCGTCGTGTTTGGAGGACAAAGAATGCTGAGTTGCATCCAAAGAACACCATACCTACTGTGAAGCATGGGGGTGGAAACATCATGCTTTGGGGCTGTTTTTCTGCAAAGGGACCAGGACGACTGATCCGTGTAAAGGAAAGAATGAATGGTGCCATGTATCGTGAGATTTTAAGTGAAAACCTCCTTCCATCTGCAAGGGCATTGAATATGAAACGTGGCTGGGTCTTTCAGCATGACAATGATCCCAAACACACCGCCCGGGCAACGAAGGAGTGGCTTCGTAAGAAGCATTTCAAGGTCCTGGAGTGGCCTAGCCAGTCTCCAGATCTCAACCCCATAGAAAATCTTTGGAGGGAGTTGAAATCCATGTTGTCCAGCGACAGCCCCAAAATATCACTGCTCTAGAGGAGATCTGCATGGAGGAATGGGCCAAAATACCAGCAACAGTGTGTGAAAACCTTGTGAAGACTTACAGAAAACGTTTGACCTGTGTCATTGCCAACAAAGGGTATATAACAAAGTATTGAGAAACTTTTGTTATTGACCAAATACTTATTTTCCACCATAATTTGCAAATAAATTCATAAAAAATCCTACAATGTGATTTTCTGGATTTTTTCTCTCTCATTTTGTCTGTCATAGTTGACGTGTACCTATGATGAAAATTACAGGCCTCTCTCATCTTTTTAATTGGGAGAACTTGCACAATTGGTGGCTGACTAAATACTTTTTTTCCCCACTGTATGTATGGCACATTTCTTCCCCTCTTCCATAAGGCACCATCATCTGCAAATAACAACCTCCCTATATCCGGCTGTACCTGAGTGGTAGTTTGGTAACAAGTATAATCCCCTTTTCAACCTCTCGAAAGTCTCAAATGTTTTTATCCCGTCCGGAGGATTCTCATCCTCCTTACATTTTCAGTGGCAAAGCAGCAACATCTTCTAGGTTTGTTGTCCACAACTGTGAAAAGAGGAGCGATGAGGAGAAACAACCAAAAAGTCTATCAAAAAGTCAAGATGTAAATGGCCGACTAATTTGTAACCCGTAGTTCGAAACGCCTCACACTCAACTAATCTTTTCAATCAGTGCACACAAGTTTATTCAAAAATGATTTCATATGCTTCTCCCTCTTTATTATGCATAACCACTCAACAACAGCTAGTTTAATAAGGGACTAGACACTTTCTTATTCAGTGTCATTCATCTCATGCCAAAGAAAGGGGATCACTAGAAAATGGTAGTAGGAGTGAGTAGTTGCAAAGGTTAGGCAATTCTCCCATCTTTAAGAAAATGTTAATGCCATTCCCTTTTGATATAGCTCAGTTTGATATCCCCATTTGATAGTTCAATGAGCATGACATGACACAGCTTCAACATCACATGATATGCATATACCCGCTCCTTTCATTGGTTTTTCAACCTGCAGTGTCTACACATTTCACAAAACTTGACCTACAATTTGGCAGTGTGAAGACTTCAAATGGATATTACTTTTCTACCATACACTTGCATTATTGTAATTCACTGTTCTCATGAAGTCACAATTATTACAGTCTTTTATTTATTTAATTGAGCTGAATAGGCACGATTTTTTTCAATGCATACACAAACAAGGTTAATATAAAAGTGGTCCATGTTCATCAAGCTTTTGCCACAGTATGACTGAAATACAGCTACACTTTCAGTCTCATTCTAAGCATCTCAAAATAATACTTCTGGTTGAGTAAAATCTACTGACATCGTGCAGCTGGAAGGGTAATACCATATATGAGGCAAAAGGTACAGACAATTAGAGAGCCCATGCTCTACACCTCTATTGGAGTGTTCACAAACACATCCAGGTACAGTGGTTGGAAATGTCCTGTAGATCCATGACAGCTCAGCTATGTTCTAAGCACTTATGCTGAAGCCTTCTGCTTGTTGTGCTTGGCAAACCACTCATCACTTTTATCTTCAGCCATTGCCTGAAAATAAATTAGGGTAAGAAATTAAGAGCATGTACTCTGTGTTAATGCAAAGTATTGTTTCATTTGTATAATATTTCTAAATACCAACCTTATCCAGCAATGCATTTCCACTGGGGTCCATCTGGGAGAGTTGTCTGAATGCCTGATCTCCCACAAAGCAGATCTCATGGGCATCCTAGACCACAGATGACCACAGTTATTATGTTGAGAATTTATAATTAATCAAGTCTACCCTATTTGCGAGAAGAAAATAAACATATGGGGGATTGGAAGTGATGCAGACAATTACATTGATGGAAGTTACAATCTATCTGCAGTATTAAAGCTGATCTACCCCCCAAAAGAAAAAAATATATATAATTAAAAAATAATAAAATATAAATATATATATTTTTTTTTAAAGGCTACCCATGTTAATTATTTGGTAATGTACTCACTGGATCAGCCAAAATGACCACTTCTACTGTAGCCTTCCCAGGAGTGTTCAGGCTAACCAAGGGAGTAAGTATTTTATGGTTTTCTTTTGTCATCAGGGCTTCAAGATCTGCCAACTAAAAATAATAAAACAAATAGTTGAATATTGCTTTCTGTGTGCATGTATGTAAAGAGTCTGTAGGGCAAAAAAACGAAGAATTTATAGCATTGTATAGACCCCTTTCTGTGTTTGCAAACATTGCCGCTCGAGGGCGATGCGCGCAAGTTGGTGGCAGAACAAGGGGAAGTTCTTATAGAACGCCAGCAAAAAAAGCCTCTATTTACATTTTGCTTATGAGTGCATTTCACACTACTTTTGGATTATAATTGGATTTTAAGACTTGTATGAATGTCCTGTTTAATATCATGTTTGTGTCCTCATCGCAAATAAACTGCATTATACTTAAAAAAACACTTAAACTTCAACCAGTAAAATGTCTCTTTGGCTAGCTTTTGCTACAGTCCTATACAGTGGGGGGAAAAAGTATTTAGTCAGCCACCAATTGTGCAAGTTCTCCCACTTAAAAAGATGAGAGAGGCCTGTAATTTTCATCATAGATACACGTCAACTATGACAGACAAATTGAGGAATTTTTTTTCCAGAAAATCACATTGTAGGATTTTTTATGAATTTATTTGCAAATTATGGTGAAAAATAAGTATTTGGTCACCTACAAACAAGCAAGATTTCTGGCTCTCACAGACCTGTAACTTCTTCTTGAAGAGGCTCCTCTGTACTCCACTTGTTACCTGTATTAATGGCACCTGTTTGAACTTGTTATCAGTATAAAAGACACCTGTCCACAACCTCAAACAGTCACACTCCAAACTCCACTATGGCCAAGACCAAAGAGCTGTCAAAGGACACCAGAAACAAAATTGTAGACCTGCACCAGGCTGGGAAGACTGAATCTGCAATAGGTAAGCAGCTTAGCTTGGTTTGAAGAAATCAACTGTGGGAGCAATTATTAGGAAATGGAAGACATACAAGACCACTGATAATCTCCCTCGATCTGGGGCTCCACGCAAGATCTCACCCCGTGGGGTCAAAATGATCACAAGAACGGTGAGCAAAAATCCCAGAACCACACGGGGGACCTAGTGAATGACCTGCAGAGAGCTGGGACCAAAGTAAAAAAGCCTACCATCAGTAACACACTACGCCGCCAGGGACTCAAATCCTGCAGTGCCAGACGTGTCCCCCTGCTTAAGCCAGTACATGTCCAGGCCCGTCTGAAGTTTGCTAGAGTGCATTTGGATGATCCAGAAGAGGATTGGGAGAATGTCATATGGTCAGATGAAACCAAAATATAACTTTTTGGTAAAAACTCAACTCGTCGTGTTTGGAGGACAAAGAATGCTGAGTTGCATCCAAAGAACACCATACCTACTGTGAAGCATGGGGGTGGAAACATCATGCTTTGGGGCTGTTTTTCTGCAAAGGGACCAGGACGACTGATCCGTGTAAAGGAAAGAATGAATGGTGCCATGTATCGTGAGATTTTGAGTGAAAACCTCCTTCCATCAGCAAGGGCATTGAAGATGAAACGTGGCTGGGTCTTTCAGCATGACAATGATCCCAAACACACCGCCCGGGCAACGAAGGAGTGGCTTCGTAAGAAGCATTTCAAGGTCCTGGAGTGGCCTAGCCAGTCTCCAGATCTCAACCCCATAGAAAATCTTTGGAGGGAGTTGAAATCTATGTTGCCCAGCGACAGCCCCAAAACATCACTGCTCTAGAGGAGATCTGCATGGAGGAATGGGCCAAAATACCAGCAACAGTGTGTGAAAACCTTGTGAAGACTTACAGAAAACGTTTGACCTGTGTCATTGCCAACAAAGGGTATATAACAAAGTATTGAGAAACTTTTGTTATTGACCAAATACTTATTTTCCACCATAATTTGCAAATAAAATCATTTAAAAAATCCTACAATGTGATTTTCTGGATTAGTTTTTCTCATTTTGTCTGTCATAGTTGACATGTACCTATGATGAAAATTACAGGCCTCTCTCATCTTTTTAAGTGGGAGAACTTGCACAATTGGTGGCTGACTAAATACTTTTTTTCCCCACTGTATCAATGAGCGTTAGCATTCTAGTTAACAACTGCTGCATCCAAAATAGTTATTTTACAAAGATCACAACCAAATATAATCTTAGCAACTGTTCAAGCAAGAATCAAAACATCATTGTAAGCATATGAGAACCCCAAAAAGTTATTTTGTTTAGAAGTAATAAAAACTTTAATCTAGGCAATGTTGAATGGGCGCAGATGGCGATGGCTTCTGCGCGTGACGTCAGTGTGTCGTGTACTGGAAAAGGGTCTATTACTTCACCTGCTCACGTGGACAAGAGAATGCTATCCGCCCGAAGGCTGTCCCATGATCTACTGTCCCACCAATGTTGTGAAGCTCTAGTTTACACTGCAAATATACAGAAAAGCGCACACACCTAGCATTAGCACCATCTTATCAATTCATGCAAACACACAGTCATGTTCTAAGTGTAGAACACAGGAGGCTGCTGAGGGAAGACGGCTCATAATAATGGCTGGAACGGAGCAAATGGAATGTCATCAACTATATGGATACCATTCCACTAATTTCACTCCAGCCATTACCACGTGCCCGTCCTCCCCTATTAAGGTGCCACCACCGACCTGAGAGTCTGCGAATCCCATCAGCACAGTCTTCTTCTCCTCACTTCTCTCTATCACCTTCATCCCCAGAAGGGAGGACCAGTAGTGTGTTGATTTCTGCAGGTCAGACACTGCCAGACACACCTTCTGTACAGGATCTTTAACCAAGTGAAAAACACAGGTGTGGTTCCTGAGTTAATTAAGCAATTAACATCCCATCATGCTTAGGGTCATGTATAAAAATGCCCAGTTGCCCATTATTCTGGCTACCATGGCTAGAAGAGATCTCAGTGACTTTGAAAGAGGGGTATCAAAGGAGCATATGGGGTTTAAAGGGTGTATGTGTGTCTCTCAGTCATCAGATCTCAACCCAATTTAACACTTATGGGAGATTCTGGAGTGGCGCCTGAGACAGCGTTTTCCATCATCAACAAAACACCAAATGATGGAATTTCTCGTGGAAGAATGGTGTCATATCCCTCCAATAGAGTTCCAGACACTTGTAGAATCTATGCCAAGGCGCATTAAAGCTGTTCTGGCGGCTCGTGGTGATCCAACACTCTTAAGAAACTATATTATTGTTTCCTTTATTTTGGCAGTTACCTGAATGTTAGGAGTATTCATATCTAGACTGGTTCCAGATCCATTTGTGCTCTTGCCTACTCCATGTAAGCCAAACATGGCATGACAAGGAGTGGCAAGGATTGGCATGATGGCACAAAGACTGGTACCCAGGTTAATTCATTTCCTCCTGGACTTAAAAATAAACACAGTAGGCTATAGTCTACTACTCTACTTTACAGTCTACTAAAGCAATGATCTTCTGTGCAAAGCACTATTGACCAACCATTGGGAGGCTGTTGTTTGTCCACCAGGTAGAAGCGATAACCTCCTGGGGCCTCAGCCAGATAGAGGGCCTTTCCAACCTCAGTGAGGGGCCAACCAAGCCGCTTAGCATTGCTGACAGCCTGGCTAGACTGCAGAGTCAGACCCTGAAATAAAGACATGGTGGCATACATTGAGTTAGGATTGGGTTAAAAACTATATATCAATATTGAGTGTTCATGAATAACCATTCACTTACCAGGAAGTCATTGCCAAGGCGATATTCTCCCACTCCATAATTGTAGGTCAGTTCAGCCACAAAGTGATCATCCTCTGGACCAAAGCCGACCATTGTCTTGCTCCATTTTCCATCATAAGGGCTGAACACACACAAGCAAGTAGGGCATCATATGTGAGAGAGAGCGAGACTGTATTGTTACACAACAAGTAATTAAATCAATAAATTTTCACAAGAGGTGTTAGCCGACCAAAGTCCGATTCAAGGTGAAGTTTGAACAGTAAAGTGGACAGCCTGCCTACCCATTACAAGTGGCCTTGCATCCCTCTTCAAACTCTTCGTGACGCAAAATCTGAAATAAAATCAGTGATTTTGACGCAAAACAGTGATCTAGTCCCCAATATCACGTGAGTTTACAGCACAATGAACAACATTGAAGCACAATCATAACAAACGAATGAAACAGTGGTACACTCTGTGCAAGTGAAATCCATTTAAGGATGTTCTACGAAAGAGCTGAAAATGTACCTTCATGCCGAGCACATCTCGGTAAAAGGTGGCCGTTTTGCTTCTGTCACCCACTTTGAAAACGAAATGCAAGGCTCGCCTCAATGCCATAATAACGCAGGTGAGTTTGCCATGTGCTATTATACCATTATATATCAAACTCAGTTTGTATACGTCGATTGAGGATCCTTGCAATCGATTGCTCTGGTATCGATTATATGGAAGACAACATTTTCGGTACGGTTAAAATGATTTGCCACTCAATCGCAGATCACAAATCTATCTCAAGATAACGAGGACTATTTAAAATAAAAGTTAAACATCTAATATTGTTTTACAGATCAGTATTACCAACATAAAACACGTTTTACTTGGATTAACGCCCCCCCCCTTTTTTTTGTATGGTATAAACCAACCAATCGTCATGGCACTTTCGAATGTTACCACGCCCTCTTCTTGCTGTTGTAGCAAAGATGGCGGCGTTCGTGAGAGGCATGTTTTGGCATCTTCTTACAGCAGAACGAAGTAATATTCTGAAAAAATGCAACGACTGTATCGTCAATTTAAAGAGATACGTGCGAGTATTGAAAAGGAGACCTGTGAAGGTGTTGTATCCTGATAGTGAGACGACATCAACAACGAAACAGAGGTCAGATCAAATCGTCAACAAGCAGTCTCAGAGAGTTGCGTCCAAAGTGAGGGAGTACACAGTCAACGCCAATTTAAAAAATGAGAAAACTGATAAAAGTGTTTTCAGCATGTTATGTAGGTCCAGAAATGGCAATGCATCCTCAACGTCGGAACATACAACCAATCTGAAGGACCAACTAGGTGGCCTCAAATTCGAAAGGGCCTTCCCTGGTGACAAACGATTGGCGTAAGTCTCAGTGCATGTTGGCTATCGACCATATGTTATGATATGATAGTTGAGTGAATATATCCTCTTTAATTATAGTGGCTAGTAGAGGTCTAGTAACTACGGGACTGTGATATGTTTGCATGTAGGCTTTGTTTGATAGCTGATGTTCAGCCCAGATAGCCTATCTTGACCTCTTCTATCCTCTCTCCATCTCCCAGGAGGGTGGTGAGTGTGGCTCGCTCCAGGACGTTTCGGGAGCACCAGGGTAAGATCCTGTTAGAGGGGAGACGTCTGATCTGCGATGCCCTGGCTGCTGGAGCCAACCCCCAGATGGTGTTCTTCAGTTCTGTGGACAGACTGTGTGAGCTCCCCTTGGACAAACTGAAGAGGGCCACTCTGGTCAAAGTCAAGTTTGAGGACATCAAGATCTGGTCTGACCTTGTAACTCCACAGGGAGTGATAGGTATGACAGGCTGCATGTTTTCATTTTCAGAATAATTTTGAAGTTGTTCTACATACTACTGTATATTGTTGAGAATAAGGACTGTATATTGACAACGCTTTCCCCTTGTAGCCATATTTTCTCGGCCAGACCCATCCCGGCTGACATTCCCTCAGGACCAGCGTGGTCAGTCTGTGCCGCTGTCCCTGATCTGTGACAACGTGCGGGATCCTGGGAACCTGGGCACCATCCTGCGCTGTGCTGTCGCTGCAGGCTGCCACAATGTCCTGCTCACCAAGGGTATGTCATGATGATAAACTGGAGATGGGTATAATCCAAGTCATAGAAATGTTACACACTATTCAAGTCAATGATGCCATTTTGAGTGGAGTTGATAGTGAGGAATTACAGTGTATGAACCTGTGCACCTTTCACTAAGTATCATGTATGTCTCTTTTCACAGGCTGTGTGGACGCCTGTGAACCTAAGGTGCTGCGAGCAGCGATGGGTGCCCATTTCTGCCTCCCCATCTTCCCCAGCTTGGACTGGGACAACGTTCAAAACCAGCTGCCAAAGAATGTGACTGTCCACGTGGCAGATAACTGCAGTGGCTCTGAGAGAGAAGTAGCTGAGGACATGGAAGCAAACCAGTCCAACAAACCTTCAAAGGCGGGGGACTATGGATGGGTGAGTAGCAGGCCTAATCGTAAAGACATGCGCTATGAGGAATATGAATCAGACTCCGAACTGTCACTTCCAAGAGTGGAGACCAAGTTGTACCATGAGGGCTGGGCTCAGGGGAACACAGGCCTAGTGATTGGTGGAGAGACTCATGGACTAAGTCTGGAAGCCGTCCAATTGGCTGAGAGAACTGCTGGTCAAAGACTGTTTATCCCTGTGGTCCCTGGAGTGGACAGTCTCAACTCAGCCATGGCAGCCAGCATTCTCCTGTTTGAAGGCAGAAGGCAACTGTTAAACCTAATGGAGACGTCTGGGAGGAAAGCTAAGTCTAAAGAGCAATTTCCATGATTTTCCTGGAAGCCATTTTGAGTGTAACGGACATGTTATTCCTGGTGTTGGTCACTTTTTCCATGCATACATTATAGACTGCGCGACACCACTTCACTGTACCTCATGTCAGACTGAATCATATGGATGGATTTAATTTCCATATTCAACACAGTGTTTGGCTGAAAATGAGTGACAGAATTTCCACAATGTGAAATGTATGTTCTTTCCTGTCTGCATATTTCCTTCATAATGTCTTCCAAAATTCCTGCCAGTGTGGCTTTAGAAGCTTCACTTAGTCTCCACATGCAGTTGGCTACTAGATTTCCTGCAAGTTATGACTAAACTGCTGCCATGCAAAATGACTGCTTAATATCTATACTGGACACTATTGGACATGTGCTAAGTGTGTCTGTTTAGCAAGGGAAATAACCTGTCCATCTAACATTTTCACTGACGGGCCTATGAAAGCAATTATCGTAGTAACCACAAGGTGGTGCCTGAAGCAACTTCTGAGAACATTTACTGTATGTTATGAAGTTGGAGGGTAAAAAAGCACAGAATGTAATGTGAAAGGTATGAAATACTTCTTATACTGTAAATAAATGGGTTGTGTACAAAGCCTGACATAGTACACTTGGTTTTGTTTTTTAAATTATAAATATATAAATGGTAACATTATTTCTGGAGTCATGATGCATTATATATAAATAATGCACACATGTAGAGGTGATACCAAGCTTATACCGTCTAAAATACATTTGCTCTCAATGGAATAAAACTGTTTGACCAAGTGAATGAGAACTGGCCTCATGGATAGAGGAAGTTGACAACATAAGACAGTTGCGCTTAACAGTGAATTTTAATGGCTGTGAAGTCATGACTAGAGCCAACCAGGGAGTGACAAATGTGAATTCATACTTCCAACACTTAGCAACTAAGATGGATTTTAATGCCATTTTCGTGCCTTCAAAAATATCTGGCCTTTTCAAGAAGGGATCTTCACAGAAAATCCTCTTAAATGTCATGGTGGTTGAGATGGTAACATAACAATTGGGTAGAGATGACTATCACTCATTTCATGATAGAACAAGACAAGTGAATAGTATTTGAAATCCCATAACACACAAAGCCAGATGCAATACAAAACAAGCAAATACAGACAAAATGACCTTTTAAAACAGGGAAATCATAACATTGTTAGGTCTATACTGTATGCACAGCGGTCATACTATTATTCAGCACCTTAAACAGAGAAGAACAATGAGACAGACCAGACAGTTACATTCAACTGAAGTTCAGGACATTTTCTTCACTGCATACTTGTAAATTACAACTACAGAACTTAGAAAATTTGTTGCAATCATTTTATTCTTTCTCAGCACATTTTGGAAAACAAAAGCAATGAGGGTTCAACAAAGGTACTAAAGAGACATTGTGAAATGTCAAGTCCATTGGGTCAACATTGTGTGGTTTCTTCTAGTATCAAGACATACTAATAATGAAACTGATAAAAAAATAAGCTATTGGAAGCCAAAAAGCAACAGAATCTCCATATATTACTGTAGGGGCTATAGTCAATGCAAGGCACCACAGGAGAAGAAGACTCCATGAGAGAAAGACATGTCTAAAAAAGGTTAATGTCAGTAAAAAGTGAGACCTTTCTCTGACAGTCTGACAAAGGGGGGAGACGGGAGAGGAGGCTGGTGGTGGTAGCCGGGAGGTCAGGGTTTGATGGAGGTGTGGGTTTCAGTCCCGCAGGTTCCTAGGTGTGTGTCCCAAATGGCACCCTATTCCCTATATAGTGCACTGCTTTTGACCAGGAGTATGGGCCCTGGTCAAAAGTAGTGCACTATGTAGGGAATAGGTTGCCATTTGGGATACACCCTAAGTGTGCTCTCTAGATGGGCTCTGGTTTGAGCTTCTCAGCCAGGAAGTCTTGGACAAAGGTCTCCACCACGGCCTGTGTGATCTCCTCCACGTCCTTAACATACTTGGCCCGGGCAGACATGTCCAGGATGGTGAGCAGGGGCGCTGCCTCTGGGAGGTTGGTGTAGTCACGCAGGGAGTCACTCATGTCATCCTGGGAACAAACAGACAGGTCAGTCATGATCATATATGACAATCTTGTCTACCAGCTGGCTCTCTGTCAAACCTGTCTATATGCGGTAGCAGTTATGCCTGGGGAAGGAGTTGTATGACAAAGTGAAGTGATGACATGATTACATGTGAAGTAGCCTAGCCTACATATTATCAACAACAGTTTATCCTGTGTGTCATGGAAAAGGAATTGCTAGATAACTGCTAACATCCTTATGAACGAATATAAAAACATAATTGCTTCAATCAGTTATGACTTGATTTTGGTAATAAAACTAGGACAGCACACAATATTACTCAATAAATTCACAACTCAAGGTGATAGTCTCATTAATGTCTGCTTGGTTTTGAAGACTGGGGATCTCTTTATTCTCTCTCCTCCTGCAGGCAGTGAGCCCAGCTAGCCAGGGTTCCGTCATGCACTGGGGGGGGGGGGGGGGGGGTCCAACAACATCCCTCCCTTCAAAGCCTCACTCACGGACTACAAGGCTGGGAAGCTTCAGAGACACATCACAGCGTATTTGGATAGTGTACGCGTGGGTGAGAAGGAGAGGGGGAGAAGAAGAGTGGTGTATTCCCTCATGTCTGGTGAGAAATAGTAAAAAAGGGCGTGTGGTGGAGCTTTGACGACAGAGTTAGTGGGGACAGACCTATGTCACTTCCTGAATGTCTTTTTACAAGCCCTCAAACACAGATCCAAGCCTTGTTCAGCCCCAGGCTTGATCTCACCTCTTTAACAACTGGGAATTACAGACAGGCCCTAGAATCATAAGACAGCAGGAATAACTCACTATAACACCACAGCAGACAGGCAGCAGCTCCCCAGCCCACTCACTTGGAGGGGCTATCAATTATTCAGAGAGAAAATAACAGGCACTTTATGGCAATACTTGCAATAGCATGTCATTTACATAATTTAGCAGACGCTCTTAACCAGAGTGATTTACTGGATAAATGAGGGTTAGGTGCCTTCCTCAAGGGCACCGACATATTTTTCACCTAGTCAGCTCGGGGATTCGAACCAGCAACCTTTCATTAAGTGGCTCAACGCTCTTAACCACTAGGCTACCTGTCGCCAGACTAGTATGAGTTGGTCTCTCCCTTCCTCATGACAGGATGAGCCGACTTCCCCTCAACTAAGCCTCTCTGGAAGAGATTGAAGATTGAAGCGATTTCATATGGAAAAGATTATAAAACAATACAGAAGTTACAGGAAATAACCATAGGGTGGCACTGTCGCAAAGGCTTGACACATTAAATCACAGCTTTTCACAAATGTTTTCCTTTCTTTTTTGGACTAACACTCCTGTTATCTGGCAAAATGGCAGTAAAACGATTCAACCTAAATGGATTAAACTGCCCAATCAGCTCTCAGACCTCTCAAAGAGCAGCTTGGCCGCTTTGCTACCTAAAATGGACAAGTATGTATGCCAACACAAAGTTTGACCTCAACTTGTTGCAGAACAGTTGAGTTATCCTGTGGCATGTAAGATCTGGAGAGCTCACTTCCTCTGAATCTCTACCATCTGATCTGGGAGCAGATCATTGAGTCTAAAACCTATTCGAGTTCATAAAAAAATCCAATGAAAGTAATTGCTACACTTATGAGGATGTTTAATGGATGATTCATGCAGCCACAAGCTACATTCTCAAGCTTAAAAAATCTGTGACTCCTCACATCCTCCCTAAAGGCTTCTCTTGCAAGCTCAGATTGAAGATACATCCTCGGGCATCACCTTAGAAAGGAACCACCGAAAGAGAAATCCCAGAGGAGTCTGTCTGTCAGTGTGGCCTCCCAGCCTCTTAGGTATGAAGATATGTAATCTCCCTGGCTGTCTTCTTCTCTGTGGGAAGTCTTGCATCTTCCTTTGTGTAGCTGCTAACCCTGTGTAAACTGTTCTTCATAAGAAGCAACCAGTCCAGCCGTGAGAGAAGGAGAGAGAGGCCAGCCCCCGCCCTCTCCAGCCCAGCTCTGAACAAAGAGTAGCTCTGCTATGTCTGGCCTGCAGTCACTGACTGACTGCCGTGATAAGGCTCCTGTGTGTGTTCACCGTATGGAACCTACTGCTTCACAATGTCAGGTTTATTCTGCCCATTGTAGCACTGTGGCATTCCACTGAGTAGACAACGGTCATCAGACAAGGACCTGCAAAGATAAGAAGCTCCCATTGGCCAGACGGCCTGGGCAGCAGCCTACTGATTGGTCAGCTTGAGAGCCTGGAGGATTCTCCAGGCGTTGTAAAATTCAGGATACAATCGGCACAGCGATATGATAAGCTGAACAATGGCCTATCAGTCTGTATCACTGGGAGACTCAGGAAACCCATAGTCACTGAGAATCACTATCAAAGGATAGGATATAGGCCAGCTAGACCCTGTATCTTTACATACTTTGCAAGATAACGCCCTTCTAAAGTGCTGTTAGAACTAGTGAAAAGTGTTATATGTAACATACTATTTAATCAATAGATATATTGTTGTTATAAATTACAGGGATTTGCCTGTGAGGGTATTGGCTTCTTGATGATTGTTTCATTTCTTCTAACTGTTGAACTGTACTGCCAGTAAGATAAACAGGAGACAAGTGTTTTTATGAACACCACACTGCTTGGACGTAAATAACTAGTGGAGAGGCCAACCTGTCTGGCTCACAACACACAGTGTGACACAGGCCTTTGTGTCTACACAACCTTTGTACCCTGAGGTCAGGGAGGTTAGCAGGTGAGACGGGCGGCAGACTAAACTATTGTCAGGATCTCCTATTCCTGGCTAAACCTGGGAAGAGTCAAGGGAAAGAAGACAACTACACCTCAAATATCTCAGAGGCAATTATATAGAAAATACCGTCAATTTAAAAAAAACATCATATACACACACAAAAGTATATTAATATATAATATAATATGCCATTTAGCAGACGCTTTTATCCAAAGCGACTTACAGTCATGCGTGCATACATTTTTTTGTTTTTTTGTGTATGGGTGGTCCCGGGGATCGAACCCACTACCTTGGCGTTACAAGCGCCGTGCTCTACCAGCTGAGCTACAGAGGACCACGTCCTCTGTGGACACCCCTTCAAATTCGTGAATTCGGCAGGTGTATAAAAGCGAGCACACAGCCATGCAATCTCCATAGCAAACATTGGCAGTAGATTTGGCCTTACTGAAGAGCTCAGTGACTTTCAACGTGGCACCGTCATAGGATGCCACCTTTCCAACAAGTCAGTAAATCAAATTTCTGCTCTGCTAGAGCTGCCCCGGTCAACTGTAAGTGCAGTTATTGTGTAATGGAAACGTTTAGGAGCAACAATGGCTCACCAGCTCACAGAACGGGACCACCAAGTGCTAAAGCGCGTAAAAATCGTCTGTCCTCGGTTGCAACACTCACTACCGAGTTCCAAACTGTCTCTGGAAGCAACGTCAGCAAAATAACTTTTAGTCGGGAGCTTCATGAAATGGGTTTCCTTGGCCGAGCAGCCGCACATAAGCCTAAGATCACCATGCGCAATGCCAAGCGTCGGCTGGAGTGGTGTAAAGCTCACCGCCATTCGACTCTGGAGCAGTGGAAAGCATTCTCTGGAGTGATGAATCACGCTTCACCATCTGGCAGTCCAACGGACAAATCTGGGTTTGGCAGATGCCAGGAGAACGCTACCTGCCCCAATGCATAGGCCAACTGTAAAGTTTGGTGGAGGAGGAATAATGGTCTGGGGCTGTTTTTCATGGTTCGGGCTAAGCCCCTTAGTTCCAGTGAAGGGAAATCTTAACGCTACAGCTTACAATGACATTCTAGACAATTCTGTGCTTCCAACTTTGTGGCAACAGTTTGGGGAAGGCCCTTTCCTGTTTCAACATGACAATGCCCCCGTGGACGAAGCGAGATCCATACAGAAATGGTTTGTCAAGATAGGTGTGGAAGAACTTGACTGGCCTGCGCAGAGCCCTGACCTCAACTCTATCGAACACCTTTGGGATGAATTGGAACGCCGACTGCGAGCCAGGCCTAATCGCCCAACATCAGTGCCCAACCTCACTAATGCTCTTGTGGCTGAATGGAAGCAAGTCCCCGCAGCAATGTTCCAACATCTAGTGGAAAGTCTTCCTAGAAGAGTAGAGGCTGTCATAGCAGCAAAGCGGGGACCAACTCCATATTAATGCCCATGATTTTGGAATGAGATGTTCGACGAGCAGGTGTCCACATACCTTTGGTCATGTAGTGTACTTGATAGAAAAAGTATAAATTCAAGTAGACATCTTTATTGCAATCACACATATCAATCCCCATGAATGTTCTGTGTGAATAGGGTGTCTTCCAATGGTCCTACTGTAGATTGCCAGTCAGTTTCTCTCAGCCCATGTGTGACTTATAGGGTGAGATCCCCTCTCATTTTCTGCAGGCCAGGCTCTCCCTGTGGGGCTGCCAGCATAGTGCTGTCTCACTGATACAGTAAACCTTCCCCAGCACAGCAGCTGGCAGACAGGGCCTGGTCTAGCACAGATTGAACATGCACCTAGAAAGCATTCATTAGAATGGGTCGAGTCCAGATTAACAGAAATACCATTCAATATGCAACAAATCCCCAAACAAGTGAACGGTAAAGAGAGAAGGTGTTAGTATGTAGTCTTAGCCCCAGCGCCTGTCTGTGACATGTGAACGTGAGCGTCCTTCGGTCTGTCTGTGGCCGTGGCATTTCAAGGCTGTCATGAGGGCAGAGTGGCCTCAGGCAGCCATGCAGAGGGTCAGACAGGACAGAGAGGGAGCACCTGTGCAGTCCCCCAAGGCTGAAACCTAAATCATCTGACATGGGACACAGTCCTGACCTCCCCGAGCTCTGAGCCCTGTGAGCGGGGAAGAGGAGGAGAGGAGGAGGAGGGGAGCTAGCTAATCTGGTAATTACGTCTGCCCCTGCTGCTAACTCCACAAGCTCTAGAAAGGATGACAAGGAATAACAAGAGATAAGAGTTATGAAAACTCCATGTTCCCTCCCGCACTGAGTGGGCGAGCGGATGGATCGAGGGGAGATAGAGGATCCAGGAGTATATGGAGGGGAGATTGAGGGATTTGGGAGGGAGAGGTGCACAGCTGTTCTGCAGAGAGGGAGAACATCTATTATCAGACAGACGGCCAGCTGAATTCTGGGCCATGGGGGTTTCATCCCTCAGAAACGGCCCCTCTGACATTATACTGTAGCTTATTTCTGTGTCGGTTTTTGAGTAGAGGCATGTTCTCTACCAGAGGATTATGATATGTGATAACTAAACCAGATGGTACATCATGCCAGAACATAGCAACAACCAAACACACACAGACGCCCACAGTAGAGGAGACGTACAGTACATGAGACAGGAATGCAAAACAACTAAAACGCCAGAAGCAAAGACAGATTTCATCAGGTGTGAATATTCTCATCTAGGTCAGCGTGCTTGCGTGCATGTATCCACTATCTAACCTCTCCAGCCACGAAGAAGAGCAGTGGTGTCTCCTCCTCCTTGGCTTTGTACTTAGCCATGATCTTCTCTGCGATTGGCTGGATCAGCTCCTTTGCCGGCTCCAGCTCTCCCTCCTCCTCCGCATCTGAGTGAGAGTGAGAGTGAGAGTGAGAGAGAGAGAGAGAGAGAGAGAGAGAGAGAGAGAGAGAGAGAGAGAGAGAGAGAGAGAGAGAGAGAGAGAGAGAGAGAGAGAGAGAGAGAGAGAGAGAGAGAGAGAGAGATAACTGGGTGTGAAGGCATGAAGACCAGGATGGAGAAAGAATGTGAAGATAAATCAGCAGATGAGTGAAAAGACAAGTGAGAACAGGACAGGAGGGGGGGTGAGTGAATGGACAGATGAGCAGACGAGTGAGGAGACAAAAGGAGGAGAGCAGATGGTCTGTGGCTGACCCCTTTGGATCTGATCTCAGGGTGGCCTGAAATCATGAGGTCATCAGTGTGCACCCGGTCACTCCATTCTCACATTGCTGTATTATTGTGTCATCTGGCCTGATGGCTGTCCTGTCCACTTTGGCCTGAGCCACTTAGTAGAGCATGGCATCCATCTCTGCCATCTCTCTCACTGCTAACAGCCTAACAGACAGACAGACAGACAGAATAACCATTTTCTTCTGCTCCTTCGCTCTACCCTACTTGTGCATGTTCTCAACCTTTAAAATAGCATGTGGCCCTACAACTGATCTGTTCACTTTTACTACTTGCACGATATTCTTTAGAATGTATTACTATACATAGTCTGAAGGATTGTTTTGGTAGAAACCAGCGCTGAATGCTCCTCCATTCACCCACAAAGAGCACGAGGTAGGGCCTCTCATGGAGGTCCACGGTAGGGACTGACATTGAAATGTTCATCCACTTATCTACTCACCCACAAAGAGCACGAGGCAGGGCCCCTCGTGGAGCTGCACAGCGTTGGACTCGCTGAGCTCCAGTACGGGCCGGGGGTGCCAGGGGAAGAGCCGACACTCTGGGTCATTCAGCACCTCCACACGGCCCTGTCGCGTGATCATGTGACCCTCCGCATCCAGCAGAATAAGGGTGGGAATACCTGGGGAGAGAGGGAAAGAGGGGGGAGGGAAAGAGGGGGGAGGGAGGGAAAGAGGGGGGAAGAGAGGGGGGGGGGCATGGTGGAAGAAAAAAAGAGATAGAAACAGGGAGAGAGAACAATCATGAATTGTAGATTTTGCCACTGCCACTGCCACCTCCCCTCCTGTTTTTCCATGTTTGCCAGTTGCTTTCACCACGTATGGCTGTATCTTTCCCACTGTTTATCTGTGTGACCGGCCCCTGCTCTCTGTCTCTCTCTCTCTCTCCAGTTCCCTCCCTCTCTCCATCCATCTCTCTGCTCAGACTCCAGCTGCGTCCCCTGTTCAGGAGATCTTTCATAACGCCCGACCCTTTTCTCTCCCACTGTCTTTCAGATTACAATCTCACTGCCGTATTAACAGCCTTATCAGAAACAGACAGAGAGTGCACAGTGTGTGTTTGGCTGGGAGGAAGGGTGTGTGTTTGTGGTGATGGGTGGGGGTCAGTGTGAATAGCAGGGGTTTGAATGGGGAAACGGGGCAGTACCGACCAGTCCTGCAAGCATTCTGAACATACCAGCCAGAAGAGGCAATGAGCCAGCATTTTGACTACAACCACACTACTCCCCTCTACACACACAGAGAGACACAGAGACAGAGAGAGAGAGAGAGAGAGAGGAGAGAGATGGTGGTGGGACGTTAGCGAGAAGAAGAGGGGGATAGAGAGGTGGGGCGTTAGCGAGAGAGAAGGGGGGGATTATAGAGAAAAAGGCTTGGGTAGAGGGAAAGAGAGAGAGAGAGAAATGACCCTTACTCAGTGAGCGGAACAGTAAACTTGATTACCAGCCCACATTCCTTCAGCTTCAGGGCTATGTTCACTGTTCCCTACCCAGACCCAGCACAGAACAGCACACAGAGTAGAGCTGACTGCCATTAGGCCGCTTCTCCACATCAACACATTATTAAGCCAGACAGTTAGTGTTTGATACCCACTCTGAGCCTCATGTCCAGGAGGACTACAGTATATGAGTACAGGAGGAGACATCAGAGAGTATTGTACCTTGTATTCCGAAGAGTCTGTTGAGTCGTGATCGTCGGGCCTCGTCTGAGTATGGGACTGCCAACCAAGGCATCTCACTGAAGTACTGCTGAAAGGACTCCTCCGACCTGCGTTGGTTGGCAAACACAAAACAACCCTCAGTGCCACTGTCAACTCCGTTTATTCAGTCAATTCAATTAACAGCTCAGAGGAACATGAGACTGTGTATATGTGCGCGTGAGAGAGAGAGATTGAGCGTGAGAGAGATTGCGACAGAGAGAGAGAGCGACAGAGAGAGAGTGAGAGAGCGCGCGACAGAGAGAGAGAGAGAGAGAGAGAGAGAGAGAGAGAGAGAGAGAGAGAGAGAGAGAGAGAGAGAGAGAGAGCGTATGCGTGTGTGAAGGGAATACTGCATGAGTCTCACCTGTCAGCGCTGACGAACACTATCTCAAACTTCTGACCCGATTCCTTCACAGTGCGAAATGATTCTACCAGCACCCGGGTCAGACTGCGGCATGGAGGGCACTGCAGGGACAACACACACACACACACACACACGGACACCCACACCAAGTTATGGCATTAGAATGACGTAAATTGATCAGTCCCTATACAACTGTATATATAATGATGACAACAGATGTGTAGTTGTTGAGGTCAACATGGCCTTGGGTGTGTTTTCTGACTCTCTCTCTCTCTACATCTCTGCAGTACGTCACCCCAATGTTTCAGCAAAAACCAGGACTAACATTTCATTTTGTTTCCTGGCCCATTCAAATGTGAGAACCTAAGTGCTCAGGATGGAACTCAGGATGGTCTTGGCTTGGAGGCATTTGTTGTTGTGAGTTTTGAGAGCCCTCTCAAGTCAAACAGGGAGCATGACTTCATAGTCTCTGGTCTAGTGTGTGTGTTGTGTTCCCTCCCTGTCTCTCCCTTACAGGATTAGGGGCAGTAGAGTAGCCCAGCGGCAGCGCCAGGCTGGCTAGGGGCTGTGTGTATGTGTGTGTGTGTGTGTGTGTGTGTGTGTGTGTGTGTGAGTGTGTGTGTGTGTGTGTGTGTGTGTGTGTGAGTGGGTGTGGGTGAGTAGAGCGGCTGGCATTAAGATGGTATCAGAGTGCCAGCGGCAGCAGAGCTGTGTCTGAAGAAAACAAACCAGACCAGTCTCACTCCTCATCAGTCTCTCCCTCTTACAGTATATTCTCTCTTTCCATTCTCAATTTTCTCCTTTTCTTTCTCAGCCTCAGTGACACAAACACTGTGCACACACACACACACAGCTAATGACGAGGGTAAAGTCAGTGAGGAAATGGGTCGCCTACTCTATCCTGAAAAGGGGTCATTTCAGGTCATAAAAAGTAACCCCCTGGCCAGGTGCTGGCCATTTCACGCTTGGAACCGTCTCTTAATGGTGGGTTGGATTTACCTGGTAAGAGAGGGGAATGTAGCCTTAAAATAATACACAACCTATACGCTAGCTTTTGTAGTTCTATATGGACATAGTTACCTCAATTACCTTGTACCCCTGCATATTGACTTGGTACTGGTGCTCCCTTCATATAGCCATGTTATTTTTACTCCTTATTGTTATTCACTGTGTATTTATTCCTCGTGTCACTATTTCTATTTTACATTTAACTCTGCATCGTTGGAAAAGGACCCGTCACTAAGCATTTCACTGTTAGTCTACACCTGTTGTTTATGAAGCATGTGACAAATAAAATTTACAAATTTGTATTGGTTTGGAAAGTGGACCAGTCTGAGTGCTTCATGGCTTGGAGCTGACTGGTCTCTGGAGCTGAAGGCAGCACTGGCAGCTGGAGGGGCGTCTGCGGCCTGCGTGTGTGTGTCTGTGTGTGTGGGTGTGTGTGCGTGTGTGTGTGTGTCTGTGTCTGTGTGTGTGTCTGTGTGTGTGTGTGCCATCAGCTGAGCTCATCAGTGACACAAGCCTTTCATGCATCACCAAGTCATGACCTTCACACGGATGGGCAAGCCCAGCACTGACAGAGACAATGGGTCTGACGCCCACTGCCCACTTTAAAGGGCACTAGTTCGTGATGACAGCAAGGAGTGGAATAACTAGCTACTGTAGTCCCAGACAATGGAAGTCCCCTAACTACTCTGTCCATTCCCTGGCTACCGGCTGCTGTGTTTCCTCCCGCTGTGGCCAGCCACCCTGGCTTTCACTGATGCCTTTCTGTTTTCATAGGGCTACTTCTCATATCAGAGGACAGCTGGGTGCCTGAAAAGGAAAATGAGGGGCCTTTCCCTTCCTCCCTCCCTGCCCCCTCCCTGCCCCCTGTGTGTGTGTGTGTGTGTGTGTGTGTGTGTGTCCCCCTCCCGGCCCCCCCACCACTCACCCAGTGTGCTGAGAAGTACACTCCCACATAGTGGCCCTCCAGGGAGCTGATGTCTGTCGTCTGCCTGTTGTTCCTGAGCAGAGGGCCGGCCACCACCTCCGCAAAGGGCTTGGGCCCCCAGGGGAACTCCAGGCCTGAGAGAGAGAAGGGGGGGGGGGGGGGAGAAAAGGACAGCGGTGAAGAGGGGGTGAGGGAGGGAATGAGGGAGAAGGAGGGTGGGAGGGAGGGTTTGGTGTTAGGCAGAAAGGATAGAGAGAGCCAAGGGTCTGATTATTGAACAGAGAAGAGAGCTTTTTCTGTGCTAGAAACTCCCCATTCAAAACCAGAGCACTCTCTCCATCCCCCTGGCACAGCTAATAGATATGAAATACATGCACATGTGCCCAGCATTTGTCATACAAACGTCTAAACCCAGCGTGTCTCCTACTCACAAGCTCTTTTGTACTCCATGTCATCTGCGTTTGGAAATGGGACCGCACAACAGATGCAAAATGTGGTTTTAATGACGATTGAAAGCCATGCTTTTCAATTTCCCATACAGGGACAGGGAGCGCTGCTAGCCTTACCCCCTCTCTTTCCCTCCCTCCTGCTCTCGTTTCTTTTTCAAGTTGTCTTCATTGTCAGTGTCAAGCACTAGAAATGCATTTGGGATGACCAAATAAAAAGGTGTAATCATAAATAAAGCGCTGTAGGCTGTAAAGGTTCCTCTGTAGGGCTTCATTAGGCAGGGCTGTAAAGGTTCCTCTGTAGGGCTTCATTAGGCAGGGCTGTAAAGGTTCCTCTGTAGGGCTTCATTAGGCAGGGCTGTAAAGGTTCCTCTGTAGGGCTTCATTTGGCAGGGCTGTAAAGGTTCCTCTGTAGGGCTTCATTAGGCAGGGCTTTAAAGGTCCCTTTATGTGGGCCTTCCTCTGTAGGGCTTTATTAGGCAGGGCTGTAAAGGTTCCTCTGTAGGGCTTTATTAGGCAGGGCTGTAAAGGTTCCTCTGTAGGGCTTCATTAGGCAGGGCTGTATAGGTTCCTCTGTAGGGCTTCATTTGGCAGGGCTGTAAAGGTTCCACTGTAGGGCTTTATTAGGCAGGGCTTTAAAGGTTCCTTTATGTGGGCCTTCCTCTGTAGGGCTTCATTAGGCAGGGCTGTAAAGGTTCCTCTGTAGGGCTTCATTAGGCAGGGCTGTAAAGGTTCCACTGTAGGGCTTTATTAGGCAGGGCTTTAAAGGTTCCTTTATGTGGGCCTTCCTCTGTAGGGCTTCATTAGGCAGGGCTGTAAAGGTTCCTCTGTAGGGCTTCATTAGGCAGGGCTGTAAAGGTTCCTCTGTAGGGCTTCATTAGGCAGGGCTGTAAAGGTTCCTCTGTAGGGCTTCATTAGGCAGGGCTGTAAAGGTTCCTCTGTAGGACTTCATTAGGCAGGGCTGTAAAGGTTCCTCTGTAGGGCTTCATTAGGCAGGGCTGTAAAGGTTCCTCTGTAGGGCTTCATTGGGCAGGGCTGACACATCCCCACTGCCTCTGCTGCTGCAGCCTTTTATTGTTGTCCCCATTCACAATGTAAAAGTGCACTCCTTCCTGGCGCTGCAGGCAACTTCTCCTCCGCTCCGCCACTCAAGACGTCTCTTTCATAATGCTGAAAGAGAGAGGGTCCTGAATCCTCAACCACCCTCCCCCTCCCCAGCCCACCTCAAACTCTTACTACCCTGCCTGTAACCCCCCTGTCTCCCTTCCTCATCACAACATAAACAAACACACACACACCCCCTTTCTGCTACCGCTACCACACTACACACCCCCTCTAACAACTCTGAAAGAGGAGGGGATGGAGCAAGAAGATGAATCTCTTCCTTACCCACATCTAGTTGGTAGTTAATGAATCATGGGAATAATACAGTATGTAGTATATTGTGGGCTGGGATGGAGACTGGGATTCATTAAGCAGACAGACAGAGGATCTGTCATAGAGCTCAGCTCATGTGAAATCCATTCCCCCGGACCACGGGTTCTACTGCCACGATGCCTCCATTACCTCTCTCCCCCTCTCTGACTAATGGGCCTTTCTCATGTTGTGCAATAAGGGCTCTGAAGAGCAGGATGTCAAAATATTGCGATGTTTTTGCCATGAGAGGACATCCTCATCTCTCTACCAGAAAGGAATGCAAGTCTGCTCTTGCTAACAGGCAGTCTCCCACTTAAAAGCAGGGAAATTATAGGTCTGCAGATGTGGGAGTAAGACGGGGCATTTTATAATGTTCATGCAATACCAGAAGAGGACACAAATTGAGAAATATGGCCAGCTCTCCAGCTGGTGAAGGATGTGGCACAGAAACTTTGCAATATGAAATTCTGACGAGGCATTTTGCATGTAATAAACTGTATTCTTGTTTGCGTGTGTGTGTGTGTGTGTGTGTGTGTACTGGTACCCATGCAGTTTCTCAGTGCTGAGGCTCAGGCTGACTGAGGAGACTTACCTTTGGGGTCATCTCTCACCACCAGTAGTCCGTTCCGACACACCACCTTCCCTGTGGCTGCATCCACAAACACCAGCGAGGGAATACTGGTCACCTTGTACTTGTTCCACAGCTTCATCTGGACGGACAGAGGAGAGAAATGGGAAATGTACCGTTAGTATAAAACACCTATACTCTGGTCAATCGTCCGAGCAACAGGAAGAGAAAATCAAACAAATAAAGAGAAAAGTAATTGAATGTCGTACAGTGGCATGCAAAAGTCTTCACCCCTCTTGGCATGTTTCCTATTTTGTTGCCTTACAACCTGGAATTTAAATGGATTTCTATTTGGATTTCATGTAATGGACATACACAAAATAGTCCAAATTGGTGAAGTGAAATGAAAAAAATAACTTGTTTCAAAATATTCTAAAAAATAAATAATGGAAAAGTGGTACGTGCATATGTATTGCTATTTGCTATGAAGCCCCTAAATAAGATCTGGTGCAACCAATTACCTTCAGAAGTCACATAATTAGTTAAATAAAGTCCACATGTGTGCAATCTAAGTGTCACATGATCTCAGTATATATACACCTGTTCTGAAAGGCCCCAGAGTCTGCAACACCACTAAGCAAGGGGCACCACCAAGCAAGCAGCACCATGAAGACCAAGGAGCTCTCCAAACAGGTCAGGGACAAAGTTGTGGAGCAGTACAGATCAGGGTTGGGTTATAAAAAAATATCAGAAACTTTGAACATCCCACGGAGCTCCATTAAATCCATTATTATAAAATGGAAAGAATATGGCACCACAACAAACCTGCCAAGAGAGGGCCGCCAAACAAAACTCACGGACCAGGCAAGGAGGGCATTAATCAGAGGCAACAAAGAGACCAAAGATAACTCTGAAGGAGCTACAAAGCTCCACAGCGGAAGATTGGAGTATCTGTCCATAGGACCACTTTAAGCCATACACTCTACAGAGCTGGGCTTTACGGAAGAGTTGCCAGAAAAAAGCCATTGCTTAAAGATAAAAATAAGCAAACACGTTTGGTGTTCGCCAAAAGCCATGTGGGAGACTCCCCAAACATATGGAAGAAGGTACTCTGGTCAGATGAGACTAAAATTGAGCTTTTTGGCCATCAAGGAAAACGCTATATCTGGCGCAAACCCAACACCTCTCATCACCCAGAGAACACCATCCCCACAGTGAAGCATGGTGGTGGCAGCATCATGTTGTAGGGATGTTTTTCATCGGCAGGGACTGGGAAACTGGTCACAATTGAAGGAATGATGGATGGCGCTAAATACAGGTAAATTCTTGAGGGAAACCTGTTTCAGTCTTCCAGAGATTTCAGACTGGGACGGAGGTTCACCTTCCAGCAGGACAATGACCCTAAGCATACTGCTAAAGCAACACTTGAGTGGTTTAAGGGGAAACATTTAAATGTCTTGGAATGGACTAGTCAAAGCCCAGACCTAAATCCAATTGAGAATCTGTGGTATGACTTAAAGATTGCTGTACACCAGCAGAACCCATCCAACTTGAAGGAGCTGGAGCAGTTTTGCCTTGAAGAATGGGAAAAAATCCCAGTGGCTAGATGTGCCAAGCTTATAGAGACATACCCCAAGAGACTTGCAGCTGTAATTGCTGCAAAAAATGGCTCTACAAAGTATTGACTTTGGGGGGGTGAATAGTTATGCCCGCTCAAGTTCTGTTTCTTTGTCTTATTTCTTGTTTGTTTCACAATAAAAATGTTGCATCTTCAAAATGGTAGGCATGTTGTGTAAATCAAATGATACAACCCCCCCAAAAAAACAATTTTAATTCCAGGTTGTAAGGCAACAAAATAGGAAAAATGCCAAGGGGGGTGAATACTTTCGCAAGCCACTGTACATCTTACTAGTTGTTTTCCATCCAGTTTATAACATCTGTTGATAAATAATTATTTGTCAGACAGCCATTGATATCCAAAAGTTGATAGGCCTACAGCCATTTTCACTATCACTACACCAAAAGTGCAGAAGTACCAGTATCTATTTATAAGGCAAGCTGTTTCTCTGAAGTATAAAGGGACTAGAAAATGTGGCAGGTTGAATAAAACAGCAGCAGAGACACAGCCTGCAGTGAATTCGCTGAAGGCTAGAATCACACTACAGCTAACTTTAAAGGAACTGGCAGAGGAGGAAATTCACAAGGAGCGTTTTGCCCCTGCTGTGTCATGAATAATTGTAACACGAGGTAAGAGGAGCAGAAAAATCCACACTTAAAATCCACACATAAAAACCTTTTGCCACCGACTCTGCCTCTGTACCCCATATAATACCATTACTAGATCGTAGTAATTTTATGCTCATATAGGACTATTCTATGCTGTACCCTCACACTGTGTGTGGCACTTCATTTAGCCTATCCTTCTTCGAGTGAGGATAACACTAAAGTTTTCCGTCTGTTCAATACAGTATGCGAAGCAAGCATACCTCCACAGGAATTCATGGCTGAGGAACACACATTACATCTAATTATACTTAACAAAAATATAAACACAACATGCGGCGAATACAACAGGTGTAGACCTTACTGTGAAATACCTACTTACAAGCCCTTAACCAACAATGCAGTTCAAGAAATAGAGTTAAGAAAATATTTACTAAATAAACTAAAGTAAAAAATGAAATAAAAAGTAACACAAGAAAAGAACAATAACGAGGCTATATACCGGGGGTACCGGTACCGAGTCAATGTGCGGGGGTACATGTTAGTCGAGGTAATTTGTACATGTAGGTAGGGGTAAAGTGACTATGCATAGAAAATAAACAGCGAGTAGCAGCAGTGTAAAAACAAAGGTGGTGGGGGGGGGGGGGGGGTCAATGTAAATAGTCTGGGTGGCAATTTGATTAATTGTTCAGCAGTCTTATGGCTTGAGGGTAGAAGCTGTTAAGGAGACCAAGACTTGGTGCTCCGGTACCGCTTGCCGTGCGGTGAGTTACAGTTCATATAAGGAAATGAGTCAATTGAAATAAATTCATTAGGCCCTAATCTATGGATTTCACATGACTTGGAATACAGATATGCATCGGTTTGTCACAGATACCAGTCAGTATCTGGTGTGACCACCATTTCCCTCATGCAGCGCGACACATCTCCTTCGCACATAATTGATCAGGCTGTTGATTGTGGCCTGTGGAATATTGTCCCACTCCTCTTCAATGGCTGTGCGAAGTTGCTGTATATCGTCGGGAACTGGAACACGCTGTCTTAGACGTCGATCCAGAGCATCCCAAACATGCTCAATGGCTGACATGTCTGGTGAGTATGCAGGCCATGGAAAGAACTGGGACATTTTCAGTTTCCAGGAATTGTGTACAGATCCTTGCGACATGGGGCTGTGCATTATCATGCTGAACAATGGGCCTCAGGATCACATCACGGCATCTCTGTGCATTCAAATTGCCATCGATAAAATGCTGATTGTGTTCGTTGTCCTTAGCTTATGCCTGCCCATACAATAACCCCACCATGGGGCACTCTGTTCACAACGTTGACATCAGTAAACCGCTCGCCAACACGACGCCATACACATGGTCTGCGGTTGTGAGGCTGGTTGGATGTACTGCCAAATTCTCTAAAAACGACGTTGGAAGCAGCTTATGGTAGAGAAATTAACATTCAATTATCTGGCAACAGCTCTGGTGGACATTCCTGCAGTCAGCATGCCAATTGCATGCTCCCTCAAAACTTGAGACATCTGTGCCATTGTGTTGTGTGACAAAACTGCACATTTTAGAGTGGCCTTTTATTGTCACCAGCACAAGGTGCACCTGTGTAATAATCATGCTGTTTAATCAGCTTCTTGATATGCCGCACCTGTCAGGTGGATGGATTATCTTGGCAAAGGAGAAATGCTCACTACCAGGGATGTAAACAAATTTGTGCAAAACATTTTAGAGAAATACGTTTCTTTGTGCGAATGGAAAATGTCTGGTATCTTTTATTTCAGCTAATGAAACATGTTGCATTTATATTATTGTTCAGTGTATAATGACTGTTGTGACTGTATATTGTGACTTGATACGAATATAAAACATACCGCATAAAATCGGCAAATGTGTGTTTGAAACTGGGACTATTTATATTGTATATGTTCGGTGTAGTTCGGTGTAGCACATCAAGAATCTCACACAGAGGAAACTCACTTTCCATATAATAGGGAAGAAGATGGGTGTCGCTTGAAATGACTAGCTCCTGAAGAGTAACATTGAGAGTCTGAGAGGTCACTTTCCTGAGAGTTGTCTGAGAAGCATAGAAACATTGATGTTTGAAAGTCTGATAGCAAGTCTGAGCAAGAATTGTACCAGTGACCTTGAGATCGCCAAGCAAAAATACACCAAGGACTGCACCAGTCCAGACAATTTGGTATAGACACATAGTAGCATATAATGATTTCAGCACTGTGGTCTCTCTAGTCATTTCAGTGAAAGGGAGAGACAAATGTAGGAGTGAGGCCTGTCTGCAGTCTGTCTATGAGGCTCAGTGGGGGAAGCCTCCAGTTGGGTTCAGTTTCAGTTCTGCTCCAGTCCAGGCCTGGCTGATGATAACCTTTTGTTTCTCTTCTAATGAAAACAATGACTTCACTTCGGGAGCTAAGTTAGCGTTCTGACGTGCAGACGGAATCAGGGAGGCTCAGACCTCTCTGAGAGATTGGCGTTTTACAGGGTATGGGTTCCCTCTGCAGGGACTGTACAGGGAGGGACCTCCTCTCTACTGTGGGACTGGAAGAGGAGAAGTCAACCCCCACCAGGTCCTCTATGAGCAGGCATCTCTCTGGTCAGCCTGCCTGCCTGTCCTGGGGAGTGGAAGACCCAAGGCCTCTGGAGTGGAGTATGGCCGTCTGTCTGGAAGTCCCTCCATCCTGTAGTACCCCTCATTTCAGGGCCTGCCACAGTCAAAAGTTCCACCACAGGTTGCATGCTGCATACTCTCTCTCCCGGTCCTCTGGAAACTCTATCTGCCCCAGCGATGAGGTTAGGGGCCATGGCATTAACTGGGACTGTCTTGGGTAACCAACATGTCCCGCGCCACATCTGTAAAACTCACACAGCGGACGGTGTATACACAATCTGCCTGGACCGGACG